GTCAAAGGGCGAGGCGACGGGAGATAGAGAGGCAGGGGAAAGGAATGAGGGAGATAGAGGATAGAGATGAGATAGAGGGGAGCGAGAGGAGGGGGAGAGAGGCAGGGGAGTGAAAAGGGGTAAATATAGCAATGGGGGAGAGAGGTGTGGAATAGCGGGAGGAAGAGGGAGGGGAAAATGGGCCAGAACCGGGGAGGAAATGGAGTGGGTGGGCCGGGGTAGAGGAGAAAACAAAGCACGGGAGAGGGGGAGAGAAACAGCCAAAGGCAGAGAGAGAGAGACACACACAGGGGAGAGAGAATAATGGCGAAAGACCATGAGAGAGAGAAGCGACGTTTAAACAGATAGAAGAGGAGGAGGTGGTGGGGAGGAAGGATGAGATGGAGGCGGCATAGAGAGAGAGAGGGGGAAGGATAGTAAGCGGCGAGGCAGTAAAGAGTACAGGGGAGAGAGGTCGGGGAGGGGAGTGTTGGGGAGAGAGGGGGGGACCGCTACGTGCATCAGAGGCGATGACAATACACATCGCAAAAATACACGCTGTCCCTGTATCCACCCATGCTGATGAAGATTGATTATTTTATTTTTGAATGAAAAGCCTTAACTGTGAAGGAGGGGGGGGGTAAGATCGCGTAAATAAAATATGTGTCGTAAACCCTCCTCCACCCGACGCCGAGAGCGATCTCAACATTTACGTGTTCGACGGTCACTGGATTGAAACATTAATTTCTTTATCACTGCTCTGGTTGTCCTTCCCCCGCACCTCCAATTAGCACGGTTGGCTACGTACGGCGCGAAAGAAGTTCAACATACGTACACGTCAAATGCAATAACGCCAATTATTTGCCCAGGAAATCCTCACTTGGCCCCAGTGCTCTTTATTTTTTTTGATCGGGAGGCGCGTGTTGCGCTGCGGATGTCTTTGTCCACTTCTCGTTAACGAGCGCGCGCCTTCGTACTGGGAAGGAAGGAGCAGGGCGGAGTGCCCGGCATGAAACGCACACGAGAGGGCGAGTGGCAACTCGGAAGCTCCGCAAAAAAAAAGATTCAACCTTCCGCGAGTGGCCCAAATGTGTGACCACGCACAAATTGCCGTGCCCGCGATGCCCCCTGGCCGCTTCACTGCTCCGAGCGTGGTGGCGATGTGCCCCAGGCCTGTTGGTTGTCTCCCTACCCAGGTGCCGCTGCTGACCAGGCTCAAGCTCCCTTGCATAGGTGCCGAGATCCGACGACATCGGGCGGCTTTAAGGGTGATTCGGTTCGTTGGCCGAAGACTTTGACGATGCCCCCGTATAGCCTTAACAGGGGGCTGCTGGGTACGAGTGTTGTTCGCGAGCGGCCAATACGGCACACGACAGGGGTTGGGTGGTCACCGGCGCGCCCGGCCGCTTTTGTCTTCTCCCTTATGCTGATGTCAACACACTGGGCCAGGTACTCATTTGAGGCTGAGTCGACCTCGGGGAGGCCCAGAGATCGGCTCGGATATTCGTCACGGATACTGCATTTAAACTGTGAGCGCGAATCAAAACCGGGTCGCTGAGTTCGTAACGTAGCGCGCTATATATGCACCACCATCATCACCATCATCCGCTGCCGCCATCGGTGAGCTGCAGGCGACCTGGTTGGGCGCATTACTCGCTGCATTTCCATCTGCGGGCTCTCCGCATCGATTAAACAATAATGATGCCATTAAGGGACACGCGGGCGATTATTTTGAAGCTTAAATGCGCCGAGACAGCTCTCTCTCTCTCTTTCTCCCCTCCCGAATTGGCTGCCCAGGTCAAGAGAGCGAGAGCCGTCGACAAGCGCCTGCTCAGGCCCATGCGGTGCACGCTTGGTGATAGTTGTGGCTACCCGCAGGTGGTGTTGGTCATCTCAGTCAACCCATAACAGCTGGGGGGGGGGGGAGGTCAGTCCCGTGATGGTCATCTCAGTCAACCCATAACAGCTGGGGGGGGGGGGGGGGAGAACCGTCCCGTGACCTCCTCCCAGTGGCGAGCCTTAAACAATTCACCAAGCGAGAGCCTCAAAGTTCACCAAGCCTGGCACAAGCGCCGCGTGACTTGTCGTGGCGAATGGAATCGCGCACGCGCGGCAGAATATCGGTGATGTTCAATGTTGACACCAGCAATAGCGAATAGGGATAGGCATGATTGACATTGCTTATTAAAGTTGTCTGTAAGGGTTATTGAAATTTATTAGGATGACCGATGTTGCCGATGATTGTTAACAAATGATGTTGATAAAGAGGACAATAACGGTGAATATGGATACTCATGGTGACTATTTGGTGATATTTATTAAAGATGATGATGGTTATGATCATAACTGATTTATATTGATATATCCATGGTTTATATGGTTTACAATTGATATTGACTGAGAAGGCTCAATATGAATAATAATTTGTATGATTATTGCACTCATAAGGATGACGGGTAATTCTTGATAAAACTAAGAATTATGGATGCGTATTGATGACGATGAACATTTATTATGATGATCGATGAAGGCTGACCATCCATAATAGATGACAATCGCACACTGCGCAATGCACCGCACGATCTCGGACCAAGTCAACCAAACGCCAGCAGCGTCCCGTGCCAATTGTCGCCAGCGGGCCCCTTTGGAAGACTCCACCGCCCCGAAAATCCACCCTCCACCTGCTCCCGTCGCCGTCTGGAACCCACCACCCCTGGGTTTCGTGAAAGCCACGTCCGCCGGTGACGCATCTCGGGGAATTGTTCCGTCATTCTGGAGTCGGAAGCCGCACTCAAAGCGCCAGGTGCGGCCGCGCGATGCAGCGGTAATTGGGAAGCATGCGGCGGCCGCGGCGGCCGGCAGCGTTGTCAGCAGATGACACCGAACACGAAGCATGATAAAGGTCCCAAAATTAAATCGGCCACGTTTGGTATTCACGTCATTCTGGTCTATCAGGGAAGGAGACGTGGTCCCCACAGACAGTCTACCGATAAGAGGCGATGCTCGCCACGTTATTATGTTATTTTCATGTTTTAGTCCTTCTTGAAATCATTTTTTTGGATAATACATTTTTTAAGGGAAATGCGCGGACCGCACGTGACTCCGTCGTCGTCACGTACGAGCACGGGCTTTTTAACGTCTACTGTGACGCAGGCGTGGCGCGTATAATTTACATTCGATACACCCACAGTAATTAACCAGGGTTGGCCGCTGGGGTTCAGACCGCGAACCTCCGCGCCAAGCGGCTCACGCGGCCACCGTTTGGGCCGGGTCACCGCCCATATGACAGCGAGTCCGCTGGCACAGCTTTGCAGCTCAGGAATACGGGACAGAAAACGCCTCCCCACTGCGAGGACGCCGCCTGTGATGGCTTTAAACGGCTTTGACGCATCCTGCTGATAAACCCTTCACGGTCGGTGCACGCGCGAGCACACGCAGGATTATTGGGCGCAGATGTTATGCTAAATCAACAAAGGGAAAGAGACCTCTGACACCACGTATCCACTGGACAGCAGTTGCTTGAATGGTTTGACCACCACGTGCGAACAGGTCGCCACAGGGCTACGTGGTGGGCGGTGGAGGAGGTGCAGTAATATCGTTCTACTGTACTATGCCCTCGCGTCTATGCTCAACGCCTTCACCAACGAGCCAGGTGAAGTCGGGCTCGAATAACCAGCACTGGATCGACAACAGGGCCGCGCCTGTACTTGTGTGACGCGCATAGTGCACGCACACCTGGACCACCGGAACAGGACACAAGCGAAGCCGCCGCAACTCTTGTGTCCAATGATAATGCATGATCATTTGCTTCCCGTCGTGGGTTTTATTTTAAACTGCATCCCATCGTAAATTACATTGTTGATGAAGGCAATGGGAAGCCGCCTCTAACTAGGCTTCCAGTAATGATTTAAGGGTCCCCTAGCATGGAGGGTGGTGTCTCACGGTGAAGAGAAGGGGGGGGGGGATGGAGGGGGCTCATGAACGTGCCCTTGGGCAGAGAGAAGACGAGACGGACTAGCTCACTTACACAGACAGAAACCGTATCCGTTTCGTGAATTGCATCCTAAATGGATAAATTCCTGTTAATATGCTAGATCTAGTCTTGAGTGGCATACTATATCAAAGACGGGGTGGTGGGGGGGGGTATATTCGTATCGTTCTTGTGATTTTTTTGGAAACCAATTTTAATAAAAACGCAGTGCTTGTTCGAGTAAAAACAATCTTCGTTGTAAACGAAGTGCCGCCACCGCGTCACGGTCTCTGTTGCACACTCGCGAATTCCGAGACAAAGAGATCCCTAAATAAAACCATCCGTCTCAGGGCTGCGGCAGCAGCAGCAAATCCTCACGGAGCACCCAGATCTGACTTTGGCGTAAAAGGTCACACCCGTTTCAAGACTTAGTAGCTGCCGAGATTGGATGTATGGTGAATACCACGTCAACCCATGTGCTGGGTTTTTTTTTTTTTACCATATTCCTGCAGTATTATGAATTAACAAAACTTAATATTTTCATTATTAAGTCTTTTTTTTACAGGGAGAAAATGTATATATAATACACTCATTCTTCAGGCAATGGCTCTGCAGAACAAGACCCATTACTCAAAACGTTAGCGTGTTATGTATAATTTTTCATTAAGGGCAGTGTTAACAAAGTTGTGCATTTTTAAATGTGTACGCCACTACCACAGGTCCCTTATTGAATTTTATACAAATTTTCACTCCCCGTGAAGACTCAAAAGTCAATATTTTTTCATTCAAATATATGGAAAAAAACATGGAATTGACCAAACATTCCCAAGAAGAACCAAACTGCAAAAAATAACTGCCCGAGGAGAACTGGGGATGGTTTCCCTTGGTAAATAAAGGATTTACAATTTCCTCTGCAAATAAATGTTTCTTTGTTAATTTTTTCATGGTGCACAACTGCACCCGAAGTTCATTTGTTGCCACAGTTGGGTTCAACAGAGGCCTTGAGAAACCCAAACAACTATAATGCTCGCACACAGACACCGCACACACGTTGCAGGGATAGCAATTTATTAGGTAATATCTGAAGAAAAAGCGGTTATAATTGCCTTGGTTAAAAATTCCGATGGACCTCTCTGAACAATCTGCGGACTGACACCTCAAACCTTCTCACTCATTATTTCTAGAGACAAAACTCAGAACGGAAACTTGCCAAATGCCAACACTCTCCTAACTCTCCAGCACCCAGACACTGCTCTCCAGCAGCGGTGGGGTTCACGAGACGATAATAACGCCGCAGTCCCTGTAGGAACTCGGCAGAAACTTTGAACAAGCTGGCTGGTGACCGATTTCCTACAATCGACCAATTGGTAGCCGTGTAACAATTCGCTAAACTCCCCTCCCCCCATAATGCGATGAAGTTACATGAGTCGGGGGTTGCGATTTGATTCGATAATCGCATTTTTCTAATTTTTGTAAACATCAAGCCTCGAATTGTCTGCAAGGTTTATAAGGACTCAATAATTCAAATGTATACGAATCAAAATTACGATTCTTACCTGCATTATTTGATAAACGTATTGTGAACAAATTAATAAATTTTAATCGTTGAATCGTTACACGTCTACTAAAATGGCATGTGGCGCTTCAAAAATGGCATAATCTTTGTAAAACCGGTCAAGTATGCTGCTGCAAACACAACTGGTAATCACTTCTATAGGGATCTTTCAGACAGAGACCATCACTTTCAGATAATGACCAAAGTGATGACCGATCACTTTCAGCGAGATCAATAACAGCGACCCGCAATTCATTTCCATCGATGTGAAAATGAAAGGGATCTCCTCATTTGGCTTCTATTCAACGAAACCACCTCCACAGAATTTCATTTATTTTTTCTCCACTGCAATGACCAAAAGCACGATAGGGTTACAATTGGGGTGAGAGGACTACTCTTGCATCGCTATGGAAAATAATAAAAACAGAATGTTATGGCCTGAATAAATCTCTACAGGTGAACGGTCATTGATATGGCAGCCTCCAAAATGTAGCTGTTGTGCCGATTTTGCGCCTATTTGCTGCAACCACTCTCGTGTCAATCTTTAAAAAAAATCCCCAAGGAAGGGAAATTGAAATCAATCAACATCTCATCTCAAACCTTCACAAACACTTACTCTGATCCTTCTGATATAAAAAAAAACCCAAACCAGCTCTGGAGTCTGAGTCTCCGGAGCGTACAGAACATGTAACCAGGCACTCGCCAGCAGAGCCACTCGTCTGGCTCGTCAGGGAATTCAGAATATTATTGGTCAAGTACTAATGCTACAAATGTTAGCAGGAGGTTTTCCCGGTCACGGCCTGACCATCAACGTGCCCAGTAAGGTGTCGCAGTACCCACATGACGCCGCTCTGAGAACAAAGAACAGTTCCCACCCCCCTTTGGGGGTTTCTGGAGTGTGAGTATTGCACGACCAGAAATGAGGGTGGTGAGAAAAGGATGATGGTACTGATGGTGTGCAGGGATTGGTGAAAAAGGGGTGGTGGTGATGGGTGTTTTTGGTGAGGAGAGATGGGGTGGTGAATGAGTTGATGGCAAAGTGGAGATATGGAGAAGTGATGTTGTTTATAGAAGTGAAGGTATAGATGGCATATTGACCATGTGAAAGGTGAAGAGGGAATGGTGGAGTGGTGAGGTGGACAGGAATTGTTAGTGAAGGGAACAATAGCGTTGATGTCGAGGATACGGTAGTGACGATCTTATTAGGGGAGAGTCAATGGTGACTATACAGCGCCGATGCTGAAAATAGAGGGATGTGGTGAACGCCAGTCTTGCAAAAATGTAGGGATGGAAAGTCGAGAGCAATATTATTGATGGTGTCGACGAGGGGGTGACGACGACAAATCGTGGCGGCGATGTGAAGGGTGTGACAGCAGCGGAAGACGAGGAAGGATTTCATGGGCGGGCGACGGCGTGCACGGGAGAACGCGACGGGGCAAGGCAGCAGGTTGTGGGGGGATTCACTCGGCGCACAGCACGGCGACGCCACGCTCGTGGAAGCTGTGCGGTTCCTCCTTGGTGGCGATCTCCATGTCGATGGTGAAGATGAGGTCGGCGCGCGTGAAGTTCAGGTACACGGGCAGCGTCACCTGGGGGGATGCGCAGGCAGTGGCGTCAAAACAAAAAGAAAAGCCGCACCACCCATCGTTCAACGAGCGTCCACCGTGAATACAATAAGGATCGTCCGCATGTTGTCATTAAAAGTTAATTTTAAAAATAATGGAGACAGTTGCAGTGAACAAACAGAATGGCCATGAACACAGAAAAAAACTATCAATACATTCACAATAAGATACACATTGCTGCTTTGCACGGATGTATACGTCAGCGTTAATAAACAATTTAATTAAAACAGTACTTAATTCCTATTAAAGTTTACGATTTTATCTAACCAATAAAATATGTATTTGAACTAGATTTTATATTAATACTTTAAATAATGTATATTGTACCGTAGTTTACAGACTGCAGCAGAAACTGCTCCCAACCTAAATTGGTAAACCTCTGGGTGGTACAGACCAATTTCGTTATACGGTCAATCAAATGTCAAACTTTTTGACGATTATCCCAATATTATCCAAGGTTAGTCCTTTAAAAAAAACACCAGTGAGAGTTCCCACCTCTGGGTATACTGACAAGTGAGATAAATAACTGATCTCTACTCATGCACTGCTTACAATAGACTGCTCGTCTCAGTGCGCTCTCATGTACGTTTAAAACAACAAAAACTCAACCAACTTGTCAACAATACCGCAATAAAGGAAACATGAAGCGGAAAACCTTTTGGGCAATGACCATTTTTCATAGAAGAGAGACCAGCTCTCTCGACGTTTTTTGTATTTGTGCACCACTGCCACCAGCATCACATATAAAACATCGTTTAACTCGTAAGTTTAAACAAGAACTCCAAGATAGACGTTTAATCTCCAGCACTTGCCGCAAGCACTCGAGCCGAATCTCCCAAGAAATTGGTATCGACTCGGACAGTGACTGATGCAGAGCAGCGAGGCATACAAAGGGGGCACTACGGAGCCACCGATGGGGACGTACCAGGTTTGTTTTGGCCTGAGCCAACGTCTGTCGGATCCAGCGCAGCTGCGTCAGGGGCAGGTCGGAGGAGATGGCGGAGGACAGCGACAGCTTGTTGTTGTTGCACGCGGCCCCCTGCAGCTTCAAGCCTGCTCCGGGGGGAAGGGGGGACGAGGATCAGGCGGTTATGGGCGATGCGCCTCTGTCTTTATTTAATTAATGCCACACGTTTTTACGAGCTCCCCCGCATCCGCTTCAAACAACACACTTTTAGATTGTAGAAAACAGGAAAAAAAACCCATGCATACAGTTCAAATTTTAGGAGATATGAAAATCAAGAAATATATTATAATTAAATACAAACCAATTTTATATACTTCAATAGTCTGCGTGCTATTGAGACCGTGGAAGGGTCGAAGCAGAGCTATGTAACATAACCATGTAACATGGCTATATGCCATCGCCTTCCAAGCATCTAATTGCATTATTTATAGCTTACACTCAATTGTATTCGCACAGCGGTCACGAGCGGTAATAAAAACACATCACCAAACATGTTGCTACCGGTAGAGCTATAATGATTCCTAGCGTAAATAATTCAGGGAATCGTGATTCAGGAGTACAATTTGATTCGGGAGTCGATAATGTTCCTGCTTGATAAATGCAGACCGCTGTGAATTTGTAGAATTCACACAATTTACATGAATATTTAATATGTATAAATCAGACACACGCATTCAGTTGTGTACATAAAAAGGGATCATGGCGAGCACAAGGAGAGGTTTTATTAGATGACCAGATAACTTATCACGAGCTAACCACATCACAAGGCAAATCAACATCACAAATTGAACTCCACAAGCCAGCTGAAAGCCACGCTCGTGAACGGCCCGAGAAGAGGGGACACCATAGAACAATTTATGGAGGCAATGCGATGACTTTTACGCAGCAGCAACACATGACGGCACTTATTTTTCTATTGGAAGAGCAGTTCACCACGTGTCCATCATCCACTGGTAATAATGGATAATGAAAATAATTTGTTCCTGATAGAGCACCCCCTTTGTCCTTTGGGTCAGGATCTCTGAGCGCTTTACATGACAGCGGATTTCAACACATTTTAAAGGGTCATCTCACCAGTGGCAACTGCTCCCTTTGGGCACAAGGTGACTAAGCACCTGACCTGCAAACGGGTAATTAAACTGAATTTATTTTAAAATTTTACCGGGCAAGGCCCACTGAGCTATACAGCTCTTTTTCAGAAGCGACCTGGGCAACAAATGACAGCTCGACAAAGTGGCTTATCATCACGTGGACATTTATAGCAGCCAAATATTCTAAACACGTTTCTAAAAAAAGTCATCATTGTGACCATTGTCAATTATTTTGCCAGTAGGGGGTGATGTTTGCCATATATAATCTCAATTTAGCAAGTTAGGATAACCTTAGAAGTTTGCAAATTTAGAGCCTGGTGCACTTAGATATGTAAAGACCATCGAGGCTTTGTCTTGGGGTAAAGCAGAGAAAGCTGCTAAAGACCGTCCGGCATGACGTGGGCTTGTTGTGGCCTTATGCTCCACAGGGAGTGAAGAGGAGTAAGCTAAGCACTTAGATATGTTAATATCCTGAGCGGGGCTAGTTTAAAAGCTAAGTGCATACCCATATTTCAATTCATATACATTGCAGTTATTGGTGATTGGGTGAGACGATCAACTAAAAAAATGCATTGTTTAATCATGTTCAAGTGTCCTGATTTTGACCTCTATCATCTTAGTGCTGATTCAGTGGTCGAATACGACCAATAGGAGGCAGAGTACGACATCCACCTTCAGAACCCAAATCACAGACGTTTGCGATTATGAAGCTTAGCTCTTCGACTGCAGTCACCTGGCCACGTGATGTGAGCAGGCAGTGCTGGTTAAGGGGCAGGGGGATGTGTGGTGGCTAGGAAGCGTGACGAACCTGTCACGCCAAAGCTGCAGGAGTCGAGGGCGGCGTGCTGGAGGCTCGTCACAGACACCTCCAGCGCCAGCTCCTCCAGTGACCAGCTGTTGGCCTGCGCCACGTACTGCTGCGTGGCCGTGATGTACGCCTCCGGCACGAACAAGCCACCCAGCCACACGTGCAGGTTCTGTCGGAAAAACCATCATCATGACCATCATCAGCCATCGTGGGGGAGACTTTGTCTATAGCTTTGTGTCGATCATGGTTAATTGATATAGAGCAACGACTACAATTTCACATGAATGGGAAATTGTAGTTCTTGCTCTGCATATACATCAGCCGTACGAAAGAAGATGGCTAATGATGACGATGTAAAGCGGTGTTCTAGGTCTCTCGTGTAAAGAGTGAACGGTGGCGGGTGGGTCACCATGCGGGCGGGTGGGCGTGCGGGTGGGTCACCATGCGGGTGGGTCACCATGCGGGTGGGTGTGCGTGCGAGTGGGTCACCATGCGGGTGGGTGGGCGTGCAGGTGGGTCACCATGCGGGTGGGTGGGTGTTCGTGCGGGTGGGTCACCATGCGGGTGGGTGTGCGAATGTGCGGGCGCAAGCTGTGGGGAAATCGGGGCGGGCAGGGTGTCGCCCCCACCTTGAGCTCCTTGGCGCCGCCGCTCGCCGCACGCTCTGAGATGTGCTGCAGCTGCTTGACGCGATCACTGAAGTCAGACACCCACTGCAGCACCGTCATGTCGGCGGGAATCGTGTACAGCCCCCAGCTACGCGGAATTATGCCTACGACATAGAACACACACACAAAGATGAAAGTTTCTTCCCCCACGTAGTATTTAGTAGACTGTTTGCGAGTGCCTATTAAAGCCGGCATGGCACATGAGGGGGTGGTGATAGCCAGCATCGCACCCAGCCGCCTTTGTCTCCCCAAGTGGTGATGTTTACCCAATGCATCAGGATGTTTATTTAAGGTTAAGTCAAGAGATAGGAGACACAGGAATGGTTCAAATACCACTTGCGACCCATGTTGTGCATGGCTTAGAGGAGAAACCAGCTTGGCTGGGATTGGAGCAGAGTATGTAAACCACTTCACGACCACTCCAAAAACACTCACACGGGAACAGACAAAATTACGTAGATAAAAAACGCATGTGGCAGGGGCAACATACATCAAAGCTCCGCAATAACAGATTCAAGAATCAATCGCTCTATTTAAATCTCACTGGCCACCACGCAACCCAAACCTCCATCACCTGGTATTCTAGAGGAGTCTTCCCCACCAAAGTACTAACCAATCTCAACCCTGCTCGTAGCTTCCGAGATCTGACGAGATCAGGTTGATATGGGGAGCAAGGCGAAAATTCCAGAACACGATTGCCTGGGGCGCTCTTTCCTTGCCACGCAAAGGCATTTGACGACGGCGCCCCTTTCTCCTGGAGCCGAGAGAAGGGCACGCATGTGGCGACACACGGGGGAGGCGCTCACCCTTGACGAGCTGGCTGATGAGCGTGCGCAGGTAGTTGGTCTGCTTCTTCTTGGCCTCGCACACATGCACTACGTCCTTAAGGTCCCCGCGCACCACCTGCAGCAGCTTCATGCCCGTGTTCACCTCGCGCTCGAAGAAGCGGAAGAGCGGATCCTGGCAGGGCGCGACGGGTAGGGGAAGGGGGTGGGAGGGAAGAGGGAATGAGGGCTGTGCACTGGCGCCGCGAACCCCGAGCCACGGAGTGCAAGTGGCAAGACACCACGAAGTTATAGAATTATTTTCATCGACGCCAGTTATATTTTAATGATGCATACGATTGGCACGTTATGAGATGATGACATTTCCATTTGCAATTCCCAGCAGCAAGCACTGTATAATTACCCCATGTCAGCTGAAAATGTTAGTGGTATTGGTAAAACATCCCAAGCACTGAAAAATGTATCTGCGAATTACTTAATTGGGGTTACACAAAGCAACACTGCTCCCTTACTGCAAAAACTTGAAAAACAATCTTGAAAAATAATGTGGCTTTCTTGGGTAAACAATAAAAATAATATTAATAATGGCCAATGGGAAGTGATGACATAACTATTTACAAGGTCACTTCAATTGCCTCTTTTCCACACAAGGTGGTGCAACGTCACACATACAAAGTTAATCTGTTGTCATCTCCATAGATTTAAAGATACGATTTGAATACGATGGGGTTTTTTTTATCCACTCATTGGTGATAAGCCTGAGATGACCATCACCTAGTTACCCTTGACAACCCAGTTTAACCACAGGTATCTGAAATTCAAGATTTGTGACCTAGAAACTGGCTTCAAAAGTCCATGACAAACATGATCAGCCACCCCGAACCACCCGGTCGCCCGCTAAGTCCCACCGCTCACAGCCATCGCTGGCCACACTGGGCCCGGGGCCGTGGCCTCACCTTGATGTTCTCAACGGTGCGCTTGAGGAGCCCCACCGCGTCCGGCACGAGGCCCAGCCAATTGAGCGCCGTCGTGTGCAGCGTGCGCATCCACGCGGGGCGGCTGTCCGACGTGGAGCTGGGGCGCCGCTTCTTCTCGGGTACTTGATGAGCCAGGTCCTCCTCGTCCTCCAGAAGCTGCATCTTGAGCAGCTTGCTCAGCATGTCCGTGCCTGCGGTTGAGAGTGGAGGCCGACGGTCTTTAGATGGGTTTTTTTAAATCATCTTTTTTTTTATTATAAAATGAGCCCGGTATGAAGCCGCAAAGTATTCCGTAGACGATAAGCCCTAGGGGCCAGGTGCCCACAGGGCAAGGGAAGGTGGTTGAGCTCACTGCCCTACTCACGTAGGGGGCAACATTTGGGATCTTTCGATGCTTTTTAAAACAAGGGGAATACTAATGTCTCTGTCGGTGGTAATGGCAGGAATTTTGGCGAAGTGGTCTGCGCCGTGCGACGATTGGGGATTAGGGGGGACGTGCGTGCCGTTGTTTGTGTTGTGTGTGCCCATGCAAGTGCGTGTGTTGTGCATATATGGATTTGCCAGTTTGTGTATGCTGTATACACAGACATGCGTGGGAGTTTGTATGCAGAAGTATGTAAATATATTTGCGTGTGTGCTGTGCATATGCCAGAGTTGTGTGGCCGTATGTGCACGTGTGCATATACATCCACGCGCGACATCACTCAGTTGCCCTACCTTGCGTGGTGAGCAGAAGCTTCTCGGCATTGTTGGGGAGACCGAGCCAGGATGGCGTCTGGTTGTCGGGCAACATCTCCACCCACTGCACAAATTCCTCCCGCCTATCTCACCCACAAGCACGCACCAAGAAAATACGCACAGGGGTGAGCAAACACACACAAATGTGCACAAGTGCCATCGCCCTCAAACTCCCAAGCGGACACTGCAAAAACAGCATTGGCCGCAGGACCCTATCATCCTTTGCACTGCACGGGATTTTCTCGTACCGTATGCCGTCCGGCATGAGGATGTCGGATTTCCCGTCCACCATCCGGACGAGCCGGAAGTCACCGTCGAAGCTCGCCGTCGTGAAGAGCCGATTGATGAAGGTGTTGAGCAGCCGCTGGTCGAACTCGTTGTCGATGCGGCCGCCGTAGATCGACTGCGACATGAGGGTCCTGAGCGCCGTCCACGGCACCTTGTCCGGCGAGATGTTCTGCCGGCCCTGCGGTGGGAGAGCAGCACGGCGTGCCGTGAGTGCGGCAGCAGCGATCGATGCTTCAGATGCAGTTTTACACCGAAGGGCAAGGCATGCACGTGTATATTAAGCGAGTTGCGGCAAAAACAACTGGATGGATAACCATTTTACGAGATTCAAAACAATGATTGTGTAGACATAGTTGCAGTGAACATAAAGCACGATCACACTTTTGACGAGACAACAAGCTGTTCACTTGTTTTTGCCGTAAACGACTCTGCCTTTGTGCAAGAGGAGCGTGGAATTGACGAGTGGAACGTAGGAGTGGACCAGGGGGAGCTGGGGTGGATGAGGAGCCGGGGAGGGGGGGCTGAGGTGCATGGACGTGGGGCGCACAGCGATGGACGAAGAGAGGATGACGAAGAAGAGGGAGGGGGGACAGCACCTTGGCGGTATCGTCGAGCCACGTGTCGACCGTGTCGAACGCTGAGCGCAGGTCGGAGTCACTGAACTCGTACTTCTTGGCCCAGCCGAGCGGCGCGTAGCGCAGGCGCTCCTGCACCACAGCGTGGAACCACGCCACCAGGAAGTAGAGTCGCGCCCGCTCGCCCGGGGCCTGCGGTGCGGCAGGAAGTGGGCATGACATTTTCCCGAGCAAAGGGGAGGGCGGAACATCGTTACAGCAGTGAGGATGCGCTCAGCCGTTCATCTGCAGAAGCAGTTCTCACCTTGTCGAGTCACAACCCCTATATCAGGGTACCCTTTGCCATGAGAGGGGGGTAGTCACAAGCCAAAGCGTTTGTAATTAATAAAAAAAACATTCCTGCGGAGGGAGCTGGTAGGAACGTTCGGTTGCTCGGTCAATGGCCAGGGTCAACGTGGGCACATGGTGTATTCTACAAATATGCCCGACTGTGAGGGCAGGCTTGGCGGCTTATAATGTAGAGATTGAGAGCAGCCGCATACTCCAACCGCATGTTGTTGATTCTCCACGTGGAGGGAAAAATGTCGTGAAGATGGCCGGACGTGGTTGGTGGCCACCCACCCCCTCGTGTGTGCCGTGGCCGCCTTCCCCACCCAGCCCCTCCCTCCCCACCCAGCCCCTCCCTCCCCACCCAGCCCCTCCCATTTTTGGATGCACGACGGACGGACACAATAAGCCCTGTGGGCTGGTGGAACCAGGAGGTTCCTACCAGTATTAGTCTGTTTAATCGGCAAAATTATATTTAGGTCAACTGATACCATCACACTTCTCTGGGTCGTACGTTTTATTAGCCACAGAGAAATGGGGGTCTATGGTTAAAAAGATTCAAGGACGTCTGGTCTCTAAAAAGCTTTGCTTGCGTGGCTGTTCATTGTACAAAAAATCATCTGATGCAAGGGTTACCCAAATAATAAAAACATTATTATGAACGTGTTCAGAGCCATCAATGAAGGTGCCAATGCTTTCTTGGGTTGGGATGCACAAAGTTAGAATTTCTGTACTCGAATACTACATCCAGATTATTCCCATCTTAAAATAAACGGTTGTGAAAAATATTGCACCTCGGCCATTTGCCCAGTTATTGGTTATGGAAGCCATTGTCACATTTTCACCAAAAATAAAAGAAACAGGCACATTTGCTCATTACGAGACTCTGGACACATGATAATAATTCTATTTTGTGCCATTTCATTCGTTTATAAAAAAAAATACTTCGTGTAAATTTCACCCCAACGGTTTCTCACCCATTTCTAAATTAAGCGACTCAGTCATTGGTGCAAACTGGCTCTCGATATTTTTGTAACGAGTCAAGGGTTTAATTACGTAATCGCCGTGACACCAACAGTGCTGAGCATATTTTCAGCTTAACACAGCAGATTTAATGCTTAAATACAATTAACATGCAGTCTTGTTTGCGCAATGGTAATGAAGCATCGTGAACCCTGTTCTCGTGTCGCCATGAGCCATGGACCCCCACCTTGCACATGCGAGCGGCCGACACGCTGCTCAGTGTGCGCTGCATGTTGGCCTTGACGCCAGGCGGAGGCTCAAACACAAAGCTGCGGCCAGCCCTCAGCAGGTTCACCGGAACCTGCCAGAGACATTGGGAGGCGGGAGGGATATGGGGGTGGTGGAAATCGAACGGAATGATCGATCAGAGAGATAAAGAAGATGTAAGAGACATGGGGGAAAAAAACAATGGATAATTGATACGGTAGTTAAGAAAGAGTGGATGATGCAAGTGAGATAAAGACCAGAGTAGATGAGAGATGGGAATGACAAGGAGGAATGGGAAACAAGAAGAATTGAAATAATAAAAAAAAGGCAGATGAGAAATACAAGGAGAGAAAGGAGGGAAGGTGTTCCACATCTCAAATCATCCTTGCTCTTTTAACATCATTCATTACCAATGACTCAAAGCCTGAGACACCCCAAGCAACTGCCCAAAGCACTGCCTCTGCCCCCATAGGGGTTAGGAGCCATACCTTGGGGTTGATCTCCATGGTGAGGAAAAGGCGGAAGTTGGTGTGGGGCTGCAACGAGTGCAGCTTCTTCTCCAGCTGCATGAGCCAGCCGGGCGCCAGGTGAACGTTCTTGAGCATCACCCACCTGCGCACGCGGCACCGGGATCGAGGGTCATGATGGTGGAGGTCGTGAGGTCATGATGCAGGTCAAGAGCTCGTAATGTAAGCCACAGGACTGGCATACGGGCACCACCTTAAGCAATCCGTTAAAATAATTTGTACATGCAACTCATTGCTGCACTGCTGCAATGGTTAGGCTTTTGACCTTTGTTCAGTGTAAGTTGACAAATTATCATGAGTCCATGGATGGTATTCCTGTCGTCAGGAATACGTTTCTGCTGTCTGAAACTACCAATCATAGACACATTCGACACAGATTCCCCATCTCATTCGAGGAGCCTTGAGTTTGGCTCGTAGAGTCTCAGGAAATTTCTCTCACCCAACATAATCAATTCTTACTCGCGTTCAGTATTCATTTCAGCGAGCAGCAATTGCAGTCAAAGAAAATTAAGCACTGAACAAAACACTCAAGCCTTTTGCAAGGTGCTATAAATACCAACTATCGCTTAACGAACGTTAACAGAACTGCTCCCCACCTGCCAGACTTGACGGCGGAGTTAATGGCCTTCTCTGCCTGGTTGAAGCCTTCGGCGGAGCCTGAGTGGGTCGAGCAGAGGTGAAGAAAGAGAAGGTGGAGCGGAATCCACCGTTAATTTTTAATCGCTGACGGCTCAACCCCGAAAAACACAGGCACAAAAGGTATCTGGACAAGGAGTGATGGACTGCGTGGAGACGCGCACCATACACGATTGATTCTTCAGGAGCGTTATAAATTCTGTGCACGCAGCTGGGTGCAAAGAATAAAGTATCACCCCCCCCCCCACCCCTTTGTGAGGTTCTGCATACTGCAGCTCAGATAGCTGTCCAAAGAACCCAGGAGAATGTCGTAAAAAGGTTTGTGGATTATCTGCAGCAAGTGCCAGGGAGAATAATTCTCACTCATGAACATGAGTGATGATCATTCAAATAGGAATAACACACACGCACTGTTGTAAGACGTGAAGGAAAGACACAAGGTGGCACGGGCGAAAATGAGGAAGAGATTAAAGGAGAAACAAAATGAGAGAGGAAGGGTGGGCCGTGTGACCTTACCAATGGCGATGGAGGTGAGTGGTTTGCTCTGCTCCGTCGCGAGATCCTCCACCTGCCCGCTGGCATCGTAACCGGGCACTGAGCACATGAGCACCGGCGTGCCGGGCTTCACCTGTCCACAACAAAGACGATAATGATGATAACAGCTCCGCGTAATTAACGTGAGCCGAGATGAAACCGATAAAATCTGTTTTAGTCACGTGCGGCTCAGCGCTCTGACCCAGTATTATCCTTTCTTTCCACATTCCATATCAGGTGAGCATACACAAAAGACAAAGATCTTCTGTATTGCCTTTTTACAGACCGTTGGGGCAAGTCCTGTGAGCGAGCACCTTTTTAGGCTGGTACAGCACACTAGGAAGTGGGTGTCCAGATCCTGCCCACGACACACAAGCCCATCCTCACCTCCGCGTCCACGATGGCACCCAGGTCCATCTGCTGCTCGGATGCGAAAGCGTCGCCAAACACCTTGCCCACAAACAGGTGTGTCATGGCAAGCAGGCGGTCTGGCCTGAAGGCCTGGATCGCCAGCAGCTGGTACATGGCCTGGCCGCAGGGGGCTGCACGACAGCACAAGCAGTCGTTACGACGGGTCTCCGAGCACCGCCAAACACAACCATCGTAGAGGGGATGGTGCACAAAATCCACGACCCACAGCAGAGACAGCTGACTCAAAGTGAGCGGTGTTTATACAACTGGCCTAGGAGTTTAACATTTGAATTGGAATGGATTGAAGGTTTGAAAACCCTTCTAAATTGTTCAAACAATTGTATTTACTCACCCAAGAAAGTCTCAAGGCTCTTTCTCTGGAGCATGCTGTCCTGAGATGTTTGGCCGATTACATGACCGAGTGTTTTGTGTGCGAGAGGAAACCAGAGGATCTAGAGAACACCCCCCACACATGAGGGGACAGAACTAAGAGCTCAACACTTTTATGGACTGCCAACTCCTGGAAAAGGTCGATGTTGAGTTTAAGCGCTCACATCCCCCAGCTTGCTACAATTAAATGGTCTCAATGGACTCTCTTATGTTTATGATGAATAAATATATGGATTAGGCATGTAACGATACATGAATTCACTGATTAAACTTGATTTTTCAACTGACGGTAGATTGTACATGTAAGATTGTATTTATTTACGTTCCGCATAATTGGTCATTTAAACCCATGCAGCCACTAGAGGCACTATATTCACAACAATGTAAAACTAAAACTGATCCATTCTTGAATTGCATCATGACCACGCATTGTGCCAATTCATCGATTCATAACAGGGGAAAAAAAAACAAATCACACGCTCGGTGCACCCACACAGCGTGCAGCCATGAGTGACTGCACACACTCACTGAGCGGCGTATCCACGTCCCACACGGTGGGGACCATGTGCTCGGGTGAGCCCATCTCCAGCCAGATGTAGAATTGCTGAAGCGACACAGGGGACGACGGGTTCGGGGTGGGAGAGCGAACGAGAAATAGCGTTAAACCTAACACGACCGTGATTTGTGCTGGCCTTGTCGACGTGACATCGCCAACAGTGAAGGTCGAACTCTGCCACCCCTAGCCCTAACAAACTAGTCAACCAGACCCTGCCCCCTATCACTAACCATAACCACACTCGTGAACTAGACACGAAGTCTACCTATAACCCTCACAAACTAAGCAACCAGACATTAGCTTTATCCCCAAGTAACCAACCAAACATGAGCCCTTCCCTTAACCCCAACTCGTTAACTAGATATCAGCCCCATGCATAACCAACTTTCCAACCAGCCCCTTGCATCACCCCTTACCAAACTGTAGTTCTACCTCTTGTACCTTTGCTAAGCCCCCCACAACCTTTTCACTTTTCATTCTATATTAAATTTTGCTGCTCACTTCTTAAAACGACTTTGGCAGCCAGACCGTGATGGAACCCGGACGCAACCCGCTGACATTTTGTCGAGACGTGGCTCACCTCGTCGGCCTTCACATGCAGCGGCAGGTTGTTGAAGGCTGGCACGCGGCTCAGGCGCATCATACCCTCTGTCTGCTCGGCTGAGAGACCCTTCACCTTGGGGAGGTTCGCAGTGTTCAGCACAACCTCCTTCCCGCGCAGGAAGTGCTGAAATTCCTCATCGTACGACGGCTCACTGACGTACGAACACACACACGCAGGTATTTACATAAGCAAAAGGTAAGTGCACGTGTATAGAGAGGCACCCACACGTCCATACACAGCAAGCACGCCACACAAGCGCACACACAGGAGCACGTGCCCACAAATCCTCAGATAGCCCAGAAACTCCTCGCTCTACAGTACTTCCCTCTACAGATAAATCCGTCATCCCAGCAGGTTTGGCATCACACTTGCACACGCGATTGATACTTGCGCGATCCACAAACCCCGCTTCCAAAGCCATGGATAACACGTGTGTGCTTCCCACGGACGGCATATTAGAAGGGAGGCACCGAGATATTCTCAAGGGAACGAGGCAACCTTTGACGATAGTCGGACCGTGACCCAATTTGACTTCCCGGGCATCGCTGCACCGTGACACACCTGGTGGTGCCCTTGAGCTTGATGCGGGCGAGCAGCACGGCCAGGGAGACGTGGTCCTGGTGCAGCATCCCACGAGACACGCGGCTGTACACAACCTGCACACGCGCGCACGCAAATATCGTTAAGCGTGGCGAGTCCTCGACCCATACCTTGTTACGCGAGCTACTTCATGTGCAGGCAGGTACCATACTTGTGTATGTATGATGTTGAAGTTGTTTCACACCGTACGTTGCCAACCGTGCTAATCGGAGGTGCTAGTGGCAGTGCCAATGTGTGTGTTGTGTGTGCCGCATTGGTGTACAAGCACTCGTGCGTGTTCCAAAGCGCTGTGCTGCGAACCGCACTTGGAAGAGGTCTTTGGTGATGGTGTCGAGCCGAGCTGTGTGGTCGCGCACCCCCTGCAGCCGCGGGTTCTCATACAGAACCGCATGGTAGATGTCCAGGAACAGCTGCAGCGAGTACTGGTACAGGAAGTGGATCTGTGCACCGCACCACGCACATTTTCAGACACACACACAAATACAGATGTAAAGAAGAGTTCATCATGAAGGCGTTAAATGTAAGATTCACTCAAAATCAGGGATTCTCACAGTTCCGTTTTCGTGGAACCTAGCGGCCACTCTACTCCAAGAGAATAATCTTGTTTATATAAATGACATCAAAGAAGCGCTGTAGAACATCTATGTCTACATTGTCAATTTCCACAAATATATTTTTTACGGATCCTGTGACTTGTGCAGAAACTGATTCGCACCCCTTGTAATTCAAGAAATTGTCACAATTCAGGGTCGTGATTCAATTAATGTTTTTCGATTTATTATTGTTAATCCTGCTTCCAGCTATTACCTACGACCACCCATCCACCCCCAATGGCTGTCCCCTTTAGAACCAGCACCACCACCTTTGCCACCCCCTCACCTGATTGAGGGACTCCATGGTGAAGTAGATGGAGCTGCAGGCCTTGGACAGGGGCAGGTACAGCTGCGACACGGCCTCCACCTCGGCCATCACCACGTCAGTCTCCTCGACCTTGCGCGTCACCTCGGCCGCCTCGCGCTTCAGGTTCTCCAGCGTCGTGATGATGGTGTCGTCATCGAGGATGCGCCCCTTTACCTCGTTCAGCGCCTGTAGCAGCGACTTCTCCAGCTGCCGCAGACGCAGCTGGAACTCGCCTGCAGGCCGGAAACGCGTAACGGGCAAACGGCAAGGAGGGCGTCGCAATTCAAGGCTTCTGCGATTTGATGAATCGTCACAGTTTTGGAGTCACGGCAGGATTCCTGAATCACACACTTTTCTTTACGCATGTGATAGATGATGGTACACATTAACAGAAAATACTTGATTGAACTTTTTCAAATCTAAAATCAAACATTACCTGCTCGATTTGATGCACGTATGATGGCATTTATTGACACAGGAAAGCCTCGTTATCTGTGTTTAGACTACCCTGCGAACAATTGAACTGACCAATCCAGGCAGGTGTACCAGTCTAACCAGGCCTGCTCACCTCCTATCTATACTTAGTTGTTCAAATGAGAGGTGAAACACAGGGTAATGCGTGACATCACAGCAGTAATGAACGACGCGGCTCTAAAGTTCTCTCCATCAGGCATGTCATCCTTTGCCAGCTGCCAAAAACTCACACCTCAGCTGCGTGCGATTCCTGAGCAATTCGGACAGGATCACCACGCTTATACAATTAAAGGAGAACAGTTAGTCAGCGGACGATGTCACCTGGTAGAGTAAGCTATGCAATGTGTTGTAACGGGCTTGCGTTTTGTGACGAAAAAATGTTTTTAGTCTATGAGCAGGCTTCCCAGGAGCAGAGGGGTGGTATCGATGGAGGGACAGTGTGGCAAGCTTTCCGACCTTGCAGCTTGAGGAGGTCGGAGCGCTTCTCGTCCACGTCCGGTCGCTCAGCCTTGAGCACCTCGTTGAGGCACTGGCTCTGAAGGCTGCTGCGCGTCACCGTGAAGTTCACGAAGGTCACGCGCGAGCACAGGTCCGGCGGGAACTCGGCCTGTGAACGAGCGAGAGAGAAAGAGACAGCGAGAACACCACGTTCGTTTTGGGCTCAACGAATGTCACGAGCGGAGATGTGGGAAGGCAAAATGGTCAGTACCACCGTGAATCGACAATGTTTTGGAGACGAAACAAAAAAGTGCCTCGATTGTGTCGTGGGGTTTCGTATTCCAGTTTAGAACGCAACAGACAAATTGGGCGGTACCGTGGGATCTCGGGTGGAGAGGAAGATGACGAAGGACGGCGACAGGTCGATGTCCTGGTCGCCGAGCGTGATAAGCACGCGGCCGCCTGTGCGCCGCACCTCCCGGTTCAGCACCGGGTTCAGGATCGGGTCATAGCTCTCAACGTCCTGCGGCAGAAACAAAGCGTGACGCGTTCACGACCCCCACTCACCAAACATAAATACGTGAAAATTCATCGCTTAAAAGTGTCAACTATTCAAGGCCAGAATCACATTTCAAGAAAACACCAAGCTCACTCAATGCTCTCACACACTGGCATCACCAACACAACTGTTAGGGCATGTGTAGCGATGTTGTAGTCGAGGGTGGTCACCTGCACAAGCAGGGGATTCCCGAAGCGCAGGGCGCTCTCCAGGTTCTTGCGGAAGGCGTCGTCCAGGAAGCTGGTGCGCGTGATCTTACGATCCTTGAACTCGTTCATGATGAACTCGGTCGCCTGGCCCGATGGATCGATGATGAGAGGGTACCTATAACGGAGGTGGTGGCGGTAAAAAATAATTCACGTTACGATATGAGAACGGAAAGCAGTATTACCACCTTGCATAATGTAATTTTATGATTTTTTTTTAAAGCAGGTTGGCGGAGGGGGTAGCGAGAAACCACCGACATTTTAAACGTAATAATGACGCATCACATAGTTGTATCGGAGAGCTAATGCGAGCGCACGTGCTCACCTGTTGTAGCGCTTCAGCATGATGGCGTTCTCCGTGCACAGGTCGTCGGAAGGTAGCGAGTTCGCCTGCCAGCGGAGCCTCTCGTCGGCGTTTGAGAGGTACTCGGTGCGTGCGATGTCCGAGCGGAACTAAGAAGTGACATCAAAAAACAAACATTTTAGAAAATAAATAAAACAATCTTAATGTCGGTTTATTTTACTTCATTTGGTAAACACATTTCAGCTCTGAGAATGTATCACTTTTTATTTTAAATATTTTTATTTTGACATCTCCCTGCAACAGAGCAAGTGAGCAAAGTGCAACTCCCTCTATTGCGGATAAGAGGTCATTGACGGTATTTCAGAACTAGCGGTGTTTCACGCAGATTCCGTGGACCATCCTTTTAAGCACAGAGTGAAACACGGATCTGCGATGGTTTCGAACTGACGCTTCATCTCACGACATGACGCAGAAAGCATGAGAAATGCCACCCCGACCACACGTGTCAGTGTTGTTACTATGCTCCATTTCACAGCAACCACTGTGCCACGACTCGACTATAACCGAATCTCTTTCAGGAAAACCAATGGGGGCTTCATTAAGATGTTTTTTTTACAGACGAGTTCGAGCTCATTCAACAAAAGATGCGTGATTCACAAAGGGAATTCTGTTTCAGATTTCAGAGATGCAGCAGGGGCTTGTACCTGCAGGTTGGCCTGCTGCAGGTAGTGAGTCCAGGTGGTGAAGAGCATCTGACGCATCTGCTGGTCAAAGTAGCCGGCGTAGGCTACAAATGCGGCCGACAGGAGGCAGTCCCCGGCGATGGTGGACATCTGGCTCTTGAAGGTCTCGCTCGTCTGCTCCCAGCGGTCCTGCTCCGCCGCCAGGCTCTTCAGCAGCGCTGTGCTGCGGTTCACCTTTTGGGGTGAGGGGCAAAGAGGGGAGAGGAGATGGGGGGGGGGAGAGGGGGTCACCAGGGAGCGGCACCAGGGTTAATTGAGAGGTCACCGTCGAGGAGTGGAAAGAAAATAAAACGAATATCAATTAATATTACCCTCAAATAAATATTTCACAAGTCATCCCTAAATTACTTTACAATGTACTCAAGTAACGACTAGTCTTAAGATGTGATGACAAATTAGTGATTGAGTCCGTGACTGGCTTCGGGAGCAAGACAAACCTGTCTGGGTGTCTTGAAGATTTTGGTTTAATTTACAAGAAGGCCAAAGTGAAGCATCTACTGAATCTAGACAACAGCAAGAAATACACAAAACAGCCAGTGCTGTAAGACTAAAAGGTGACAAGCTATTGAAGGCCTTAAAAATTCTGACACATCCTTTGAGGTTACAGATCATCATGTACGTATGTATGTTGAACTTCTTTCACACCGTACAGAGCCAACCGTGCTAATTGGAAGCGTGATCTTGAAGTCTAAGTGGCCCGAACACCCACGCTCACCTTGGCCTCGACGGTGGCGAGGTCGGCCTTGATGGCCTGAGCCTGCGAGATGAGCAGCGCGTACTCCTCCTTGTAGCGTGCGATGCTGTCCTCCAGCTGGCGGATCATGCGCTCCACCTCGTCCGCCCGCACTTGGTTCTCCTGCGCGTCCTCCTCCAGCTTGAGCAGCTCATTTCGGAGTGGCTCCACGCGCTTCAGCATGTCCGCGTAGTTCAACTGCAGGGCACAGGAGGCCGCGGTGGCGAGATGTTAACTACCTCGCCTGGTATTCAGGAGGTTGTGGGTTCAATCCCGACCCTGACGCTTGTATATTTGGAGCTTGCATGTCTCTCTCCCCGTGGTTGTGCGGATTTTTCTCCGGGTCCTCTGGTTTTTCCCCCCACGTTTAAAAACATACGCTACGAATGTTTGGCTGCTATAAATTTCCATGTGATAAGTCACTTCGTTGAGCTATCATTTGTGGTCAGGTCACTTCTAAAAAAAGGAGCTATATAGCTCAGTGTGCTTTACTTGGCAAAATAACAATAGTTAAGTTAAGAGTAGTTAAGTCGGAGGTTCGAAGTCTATAATGACTACTGGAGATTATGAAGCAGGCTCTGACCCGCTGCCCCTCAAACTCACCTGGGCGATGGCCCACTTCACCATGGGTCCGCAGGCCAGCGACGCACGGTTCACCATCTCGTAGTTGTAGCTCGGGTTCGACAGGAAATTCTTTTTCATCTTGTCACGGGTCACGTCACTGTCGGGGTTCATGGCGGGGGATGGGCGTTAGCGTCGGGTGTCAGATGAGTTACGCAAAAAAAAAAGGCGATAGAAAGCTAGGGTAAGCCATCAGGGTCTCCCCACCCACCTGATCTCCTCCGTGTTGAAGTTGACGATGGAGGTGATGAAGTTCTCGCGGATGATGACCTGGCGGATCTTCTTCCAGTCGTTGGTCTCCTCTCCGAGCAGCAGGCAGATGGACTCAAGAGCCAGCTTGACGGCGGCCGGGGGGTTGCCCATGGAGCGCACCTCCACCAGGTGCTGCTTCTTTATCGAGCTCACCGCTGAAACGCGCATATGCGTGTACACACGCGTAAGTAGGTCAAATTAGGTTTTGTTCCTTGGTAAAAAAACTTTTTTGATGGTCGGTGTCGCCGTCCACTGGACTTTACTATTCTTAACATTTGGCCCAAAAGAAATTGCGAAATGAAAATAATAAAGAAATCCAGTGAATGGTGACACCGACATTCAAAAACATATGAGAACACATGACAAAGATCCCCCCGTATAGCCTTAATACTGTTGGGGCAAGTTCTGTAAGCGAGCACAGATGAAGACCGGCACGGCACATGAGGGGGTAGGTGGCCAACACCATGCCCGACCGCCTTTGTCTCCCTCGTGGCGATGTTATCACATCACACCAGATATTCATTTGAGGCTGAGTCGACCGAGGGGATGCCGAGGACTGGTTCGGATAATCGTCACTGGTGTTGGTCGTGAGCGGGAATCGAACCTGGGTCGTCAGGTTGGTAGCACAGCGCACCAACCGCCACACGACTGCTCCCCACAAGTACACAAGCACCTTCACCACCAACTAACCCTCCCACATTGATAGAGCTGGCCATTACCTACACTAGTCTCAGCAATGGCCAGTTAAGTCTTACAACTATCAATATTTAGCTCAAGGTCCTTTTTTTACTCGTGCTCCGTTGTATCCATCACATTGAAAGATTTTATTAAAGCTTTCATATGTTATAATTCCTGAATTTTTTTAAAATGGCTGTACATGACCAACATGGTCTTACAATTTACCTCAAGTAGTTGTCTACTTCTGGTGCCATACACAAAACAACATTAACTTGAAGTACATTAACGCAATCAGAAAAAAAAAGTTCCATGTCGATTGGTGGTGGCCACTGGGATGGTCCGAAGACCTGAGCTTTGGACTCAAGTAGAGACACAACGCACAGCGTTGGGGAATATCTTCTGTCGCTAATTTTGGGTTTCGTCTCTTGCAAGAGAGCTCACCGTTCTGGGCGTCGATGACGGCCGGTTCCACCTGGTTCAGGTCCTCCTGCACGCTGATCTTCTTTTCGGCGATCTTCGCCTGCTGCTTGTGCAGCGACTCCTGGATCTCCTGGCTCATGACCTGCGTGTCGCGTCGTTCCAAACTGCGTGTTAAATTCATGTCGCGGCTACCACTTAATATTACCCCCAACCCTACCGTATACGGGTAATAATGGAATGCCATTCAAAACCTCCCTCCTCTTAATTAATACATAGCAAAGTGCCCAAATGTTAAAACAGTAGCAAAACATTTACAAACCTACAATGCCACGAGTGCTTTATATGTTACTGGAGTGCATATTGCTAATAAATCATTGTGGCCTGTAACATCATCTGAGCATGTACTGTATGAATACCAGATCCCAATTAACAAAGTATGTGCTGACAAAAAGAGACCAATAACGATGACAAAAAACACAACCCTACCCACACACGCACCACCCTACCTTCTTTTTCTCCGCCTCCTGCTGGTCCTTCACCATCTTCTTCAGCTTGTCGTTGGCCGCCGTGTTCTTCGCCTCGAGCTCTTGCGACTTGATCGACAAATCCTTCCTCAGCTCCTCCACCTGACGACGAGAAATGAAACGACAACGATAAAGGTGGCACAGCCGAGCAACGTCAGGCCAGAGCCCAAACCCGACGACCTGTTCGCGTGCCAGCGCGCTCATGCTTCGGCAGCGGGGCAGTGGGCGTCACCTGGTCGACGGTCTCCTTGATCTTGCGCAGGCCCACGTTGAGGTGCATCTGCTGCTCCTCGAGCTCGCTGCGCTTCTCGTTCAGGAGGTTTGCGTAGTGGTTGATGAAGTCCAGGTAGTGGCGCGGCGTGATGGTTGTCGTCCGGTTGCCCCTCTTGGTGAGGCGCAGGTTCGCCTGGCGCACGCAGGAGAGCGTGCGGTGCACAGGGACAGATAGTTAAGCAGGCGGACAGGTATACAGGTGGGGAGACAAACAGCCAGACAACAGGCAGGCAAAAAAGGAGGCAGACAGGTTGGCAGACAGGCAGCCACACAGACAAATGTACCAAGCAAGAAAGAGCCAAAAAATGGGTGGACAAATAGGCAGGCAAAAAGAATGACAATTAACCAGACAGACAGACTTACAGTCAGACAGCCAACAAATCAATAAGACAGACACGTGCACACACACACATAAATACGAGAAAACTGGATGATGAGCAGACTAGTATGGTGGGGGCTGGCAGGCAAGCAGGCTGGTCGTGCATGGGCAAGGCAAGCACGTGCCACCGAGGTGCCGTGCAGGCTCAGCAACGCACCTCGTGCAGCGTCTGGTGCACGAACACGAATCCGTTGACGATGGCCTCGCGGTGCGACGGCGGCTGCGGGAGGTTGTCGTACGCGGCCGGCATGCTGTCCGGCGGCACGTAGTTCGGCTTCTCGAGGTCCATCTTGCTCGTAAACTCCTTGCCCACTTGGTACAGCGCCTCGTTTGACCAGTCGCCAAACCAGTTGAGCACGCACCTGTGGCAGGGAAAGCGTTCGTATGTATGTTGAGAACTTCTTTCGCACCGTACATAAACAAGTGCTAATTGTAGGTGCGAGGAAAGGACAACAAATTAAACACAAAACAAAGTTATTAAGAAATTCGTTTTCAAATGAGTGGAGGGGGGGCAGGGCAGAGGTCACCGAAAGAGGGTTATAATTCAAATTTTTAAAAAATATTTTGTCAAAGACCTCGATGCAACCTTTTGTAATAAATTGGCATTGGCCTATCGGAGAGCAGGCCTTGCTATCGTTTGAGACTTCAAAATACAATCAAATGAAGCACCTGAACAGCATAGTATTCTCAGTGCAATTATCCATGTTTACTTTGAGATCTTAGTGACAGGTTGTGTCTTGACGTCAGAATAGTGGTGATTAACAAGTGTTTATACTTTGAGCGAGAGACAATTACTTTGGGATAACGACAATTAGCCGTGTCTTTACGTTGGCTTAGCGGCAATTCCCCAACCCTCCCAAGTTGTCGAGTCCGATTTGGGAAATATGCGCGCATTATAAATTATATTTATTATTGTTTACTCTGGACCAGCAAGCGGTTAAATCAATGCTCAATGGATGGGGGTGGGGGCGGCGACTGTCACCTGTTGAACAGCGCGGGCGAGGTAGCGGCGCGATCCTTCAGCCCCTCGGAGGACGGGTTCATGGTGAACACCACGTGCAGGTTGCGCATGACCTGGCTGGTGAACCAGCGGTACAGCTCCTCGTGCGAGTCAAGCATGAGGCCCTCCTTCTGAGATCCCTCCTTGCAGCCGGTCATGAGCGCCGCATACTCGTCTCCCTCAAACAGACCCGGCACCTACAGGGACGAGACAACGATGAAGACGGCGGCGGCGTCGGCGTAGTCACGATCGTCGTCGGCGTAGTCACGATCGTCGTCGGCATCACCATCACTGTCATTATCGCACCAGTTCCAGCGTTATCATGGCCAACGTAGTCATTTTTATCTATGTCACAATCACCATCACTGTCAGGGTTATCATCATCAGCATAGACATCATTGTTATTGCTTTAATCTTGTCATTATAATTATCTCATACACATTATCGTCGCCATCTCTGTTATCCTTAGAGCCACTCCTGTTGGTAAAACGATATATCCAGAAAAAAATAAGCCTGTTTGAATGAAGATTTCTGTTGGCACTAATATTCGACAACTTAACATTACTCATTTACGACTATAATGAGCCAAGAATGTCTGTGTGTCCCGCACGTGACGTCACTCCACGTCGGCCAGCCCCCGTCATTAATAAGCATGAGCAGGTGACGTCACTCCACATCGAACAGCCCCCCTCTCATTAATAATCATGAAGAGGTGACGTCTTCCAAATTGACACCCCCCCCTCGCCCCCTCCTCAGCATCAACTTATAACCCTCACGACAAAGGCAGAACCTGCACGTCACGCGATCTCCGTAACGCTATTGAGACAGAAGTAAAAATGACGTCATGATGAACAAGAGATTATAACCTTTAAATGAAATGTCTGTCACAGTGGCCTTACAAATTGCACACGAATTGATGCAATGAGCATCACGTCGCGGTCTGCTTTTCGCATGCAGGTTTCAGATTTACTGAAATAGACCCGTCCTTGGACAGGCAAAAGGCTAGTAAGTAAATAAAACTCCTTCAATTAATACAATCCTTCAAATTAACCAGAGCATTTGCACTGCATTCACAATCATCATCCATCCCCCCCGCTGCTCCACAACGCATCCAGCGCGGGACAAAGTTAGAAAATGAGTCGGCGCGGTTCGTCTCGGAGGCGCGTCAGCGGTCACCTCGCCGTTGGCGAGCAGGGTGTTCATGCGCTCGAGGAAGCTCGAGTCCAGCACGTTAGACTCGTCCATGATGAAGGCAATCTTCTCGTTCTTGCAGCCGGCGCGACGCAGCACATTGCGCAGGTCCTCATCGAAGTCCTCGCCGGTGTACTTGCGGTGAACCTGCGGCGCGGGAAGATGCGGACGTCGGGGGAGCGGGCGGGGAATGGACGCAGCAGCGTTCAACTCGCATCCATTTAAGCAACAACCGCTGTGGCGATGACATCTTTCAAGCTCACCCACCTTCGCAAACATTTCCCCCATCTTGGCAGATTTTCCCCATGCTCACTACACGCAACCCCTTCATACACATTTACACGAAACTTAAACCACCTTCATTTGCCTTTACTGCATTTACCTGCCAACAACCACCTTCATTCCTCTTTGCTCGCATTCTTTCGCATTCGCTCATTCCATACAGCACAAGCCCAACATCAGCAATGGAGTGTGGATTTATGACAGGTAAAAAAATCGGCACATAACAATTTCCGGCTAAGGTTGAATTTATTTTTTTACGTCAGGGTGTGGGCCCCACCTTGATCTGGTAGACGCTCAGGCCGTTCATCCAGGCCACGAAGCGCGACAGCGTGGTCTTCCCAGCACCGCTCACGCCGATGAGCAGCAGGTGGCCCTGTGGCTGGCGGAAGATCCTGCACAGCGGAACAAGCGGAACGAACGTGGGGGGTTTAAAGCGGAAGCCGCGCTTGCGAGAGATTCCCAGCAGCCGACATAAGAGGACTCAACAGCAACGAAGACGAGTCTTCAGGTCACTTGGGAAGACCTACGTTTTTGACCGTTTGCCTTTCACTGACACGTCATCATCAGCATTTTTTAAGAGGTCACCTGTCCTCCCCCCCACCTGGGTGGGGCACAGTGAGCCCAGTCTACCCCCCTTCACCATGCCCTGCCGCGTCGATCTCTCGCACAATTTTTGTCCCCCCCCCCCCCCCTTCTTGTTCTGTGATCGGTGCTATGTATCTGACTCATGTTGAGTTAGGGGGGAAAAAAAGGAGAGAAAGTCACCTGTCAATGCGGAGCACGTGCTCAAGGACCTCATTAAAGAGCACAAGAGGGACGTCCAACTCCTCCTCGTAGAAGACTTTGAGGCGCGCCTTGACGTACTCGCGCAGTTCCTCTTGCTCCACAGGCACGTAGTCCTGCGCGACGGGGGCGATGCGGCAAATCAGCACAACCCGGCACAACTACACAGCGATTCACGCGGCACGATGGTACACAGGCACCGCTGATAATGCACCCATCCATTTTAATATAACGTCTATGTGGTGACGCCACTGACGTACCAGTTAACGTATACTTTCTTTTAATTCACGAAGCTTCAAGCTCATCATTAGACCTCCTTTGCCAGTACCAAAATATAATAAAAAAGCTGTCCCTTGGTGTGGACCAGTTTCAAGGACAATGCATATATTACCATAGTATGTTTTTTGTTTGCATTTTGACTGCAGGTCTTGTGGTTAATGCAGACATGAATCCTTGTAAAAATGTTTCAGTTTTGTTGCCAGAAAAAAAGTGGAAAAACCCGATTATTACTTCAAGCTCATGTCGAGCAGTCCGAGACGCACAGCACTGGTACGCGTATATACAACACGAGAGCTGTTTGTGCTTTGGTTTAAGTCTTCCTTTAACCGACGAATTGTGCGGAGCGGTGGTGGAGGGTTTGCACCTTGGATAGCCAGTTGCTGTAGAGAATGGGCCTCTCCAACGCCTGCTTGCGGTCGATGTTGGGGAAGTGCTTCAGCGCCACCATGTTGATGTTCTCGTCCGTCCAGCGCCTCTCCTCATCGTCCACGAGGCTGCCGGGTAATGTATTCACTTGAACCGAACCATGGTTTTGGCCGTCAAAAGGTTATACGACTCATCGTAGCAGCAGTCATTTACCGAGAAAATCCTCGCCGGGTATGAGGACTCTTTTGTTCGGGAGAGACCTGCATCGGGTTGTTTGGCCAATTCCACTTTTGTGTAAGATGAAACAACAGTATCCGAAAAAAACCCACAAATACCAGAGGATAAACTCAAAACTTTGCACCGACAAAGTCAATCCGGTAAGCGGATAAGGTCTATCTGTAGACCCACAGCTTTCGCTGTATTTCCAGCTTCTGACTCCTTGTAACCCTTGCAACGATACACCTATAACACCTTATATGCAATGGCAGTCACCCATCCATCCAACACTCAGTCTCACCCTCATTGCTTCAAAGATCCCACAAAGACATCTGGTGCATTCAGGGCAATCTGGTCATATGTTAACTGCTAAATGCGAGCGAATGAGTGAGCGGCCAAGCGAGTGATCGAGCGAGCAAGCGAGCGAGCGGTGCCTCGGTTACCGGTCCTGGAAGAGGCGCAGGCCCTCGTGGGCCCAGATGCGGACGAGGCCTTCGACGGGGAGGCTCTCAAGCGGCCGCAGGGCCTCGACGATTCCGCGCACCCAGCGCGTCATCTCGCGCGGAGAGTAGATGTAGTGTGGCTGCATGTCCTGTGTGAAGCGCTCCTGTGGGGTTCACGTGGGTGGGCAGGAGAAGGAAGACGTGCGTGCGAAGTGAACATGATGTGCGGATTTCAAAGCTCCAATGCCTATAAGTTGGTTCCTGCTGTCTCTCTCTATATACCAGAGGGTCCATAATGGCTGTGTTGAAGGATAGAAGGCAGCATTACTGTGGACGTGGGTTAGACATTCGGCAGTCTCTCTTTCCCATGAGGGGGGGGGGCTTTATAATGGTTGTGTCAAAATTGATTAGCACCAGCAAGATGCTGACTATAATCCCATTTTCTTGGTCAATCTCATTTTCTGTCTCTTTGGGGTTCGTAACAACGGTGTTGGAATCACCGAGCGAGGACTGCATAGGACCTGGGGTCAAGCGCAGTGTCTGGTTGTCTGTACTCAAACTCCCATGCAGCAATCTAACGTCGATATATAAAAGTGCCATAAATAGTACATTGCTACTCAATTCAGCGAAGGGCAGTGCTCATTTCTAATGGTACTTTTCAAGCTGTGATGCTGTAAATTCCACATTCCTTTACGGCAGGAACTGGCCGTCTGGAACGCTCTTTCATTTCGATATTAGGAAACCACTGGAGCTATGCACTTTTAAATCTAGTTTGAAAATTCATTTCTTTAGAAATGCTTCGTGTTTAGTTTGTTGTCCTTCCCCCGCACCTCCGATTAGCACGGTTGGCTACGTACGGTGCAAAGGAAGTTCAACTAACATACATTTCTACAAGCACTGCTAAAGTGTGGCAAACGCAGCCCCTGAAATCGCACACTCGCCACCCCTGTAAGTATGTATGCTGAACTTCTTCCGCACCGTACGTAGCCAACCACGCTAATCGGAGGCCCCTGGGACCGTTCTTCACCTGCGACATGGTGTAGAACTCGACCATGGCGGCAGTGAGGGGCTCGGCGAAGGCCCGCAGTGCCGGGATGAGGCGCAGCATGGCGCGGTTGAAAGTGCCGTAGATCTGTGTGAGCGATGCGGGTCCCGGGTAGTCGACGTACACTACCGGCACGTGGCGCAGGAGCCTGCAAACAGAAGTCGGGGTTACAGAGTGACAGAGTTAGGTTAACGTGTGGACGGGGGGACGTGAAGTTTAGAGGGCGATGGTAGTGGTGTGACAGTGGGGTGATGATCATATTGGTATTGTTGGTGTTGATGGTGCAGATGTTCGTAGTGGTAGTGGCGGTGATGTTCGTGGTAAGTGGTAGCAGTAATGGTAGAGATTCCAGGGTTGACGGTGGTGAAAGTGCTAGCGGAAATACCAATGGCAGTAACGGTGATAATGGTAGCGGTGATAGTAGCAGCCATCGTTGCGGTGATAGTATCAGCCATCGTTGCGGTAATAGTGGTAGTCATGACCATGGTGATGGTTGTGGTAATGGTGGCTACGGTGATAGGAGTGGTGGGAGTGATGATGGCGGTGATGTTAGGTGGTGTTAATGGGTGGTATACCTTGCCCCTCAAAATCCACCTAGTCTGACACAAGCTCTGCCACCGTGGAAAATGGCAGTTGTTGTTGGTGAGCAAAACAGGTGTAAACATTATATTGGCCTCATGAGACAATAAGCAGGTTCCACTTTGGAGTTTTGACCAAAATTTAATTTTGCTTACATTTTTCAGTGGAATGCCCTGAGGAAATCCCAAGTGTACAAAAAGGATGTTCGTTTCCTCACCTGTGCGACAGAGGCTTCCGGCCAGGGTCGGTGGGCGGGTTGCACGCGCCGACGAACTGTATCCTCTCGAGCTTCACCCATGTTTGGTCCGATGTGCGGTAGAAACCTCCATGCTCCACCATCTGCAACGTGCACACAAGTAACGGGGCGAGGACTCATCGATTGAAATGGACCCTTAAAGCTCACGGCTGGATCAAACTGTGCGTGCAAGATTACATTGTTTCAAATTGAACTGCTGTTTGCGATTGATCGCGTAAAACCCGCAGCCATCACACCAATGAGCAACAAGGATTCTTGAGTCAAATGGTGACCCCCAATTCGTGCCAAATCATCTAGTCTCAGTGGAAGTAAATTGTTACGTGCTTATGTATGAACTTCTTTCGCACTGTACGTAGCCAACCGTGGCTAATCGGAGGTGCTTAATCTGAACTATGAGCTGCATCAATTCATAGCCATTCTGACAACATCAACGGAAAGGACAGGATGTTGATTTTAAACGCTACTCTGCTGAAGCAGTCGGCACCATTGGTTACTAATTCATCTGCTCTTGAAATACGAGTCAAAGAAGTCAATGGCCCAGCATTAAAAAAGCATATTACAATAACCCTATCTTATATCTCTAAATAATGTATATAGCGCCTTATCCAAGGCACTTTACACAGAATTAACAATAGTACATATGAATGGAATGGTGGAAATGAGATTAATTAAATAGATTAGAGGAAGCAATGGCCAAATCTGTGATACGTGAAATCGGTGAAAGCTAAATTGATAACAGTAAGTGATGATGAATGGATTGACTAAAAGCCATATGAGAATATGAAGAGAGAAAAGTAACAGTGGCGGATACGAGGTGAAGATTAAGGGGTTTTTGGATGAGCTAGGGAAAATAAATGAGTTTTGAGTGAGGAGCGGAAACTAGTGAGCGAAGGTTACTGTTTAATGTGGAGGGGGAGTTTGTTCCAGTGAAGGGGAGGGCAAGAAGAGAAAAAGAACGAAACCATGGATTGAGCGCAAGGAGAAGGAGGAACACAGACAGCAAAGATTGTGAACGTATAGGGCAAGAAGGCACAAAGAAAGAAATGAGCGTGGAAAGATATGGTGGAGCAAGACCATGAAGGGATTTGTAGACAAGGGTGAAGAATTTAAACAGGCAATGGTAATAGACGGGGAGCCAGTGCAGTTGCACGAGGGTCGAGGTATGGGAATTATAGGGAAAGTTTAATATGAGCCGAGCAGAGTTGTTTTGGATTTGTTATGAGTCTACATTGAGTGGGGATTAGTCAGATACACAATGATGTCTTTTTCCTTTCATTAAACAAAAAAAGCCAAAAAGCTTAAGACAAACAGTGCACAATGGGGCAGTGAAATGTTCATTTCTGGAAGCTCAGCTGATACTGGAAAGTCTTATCTGACATTAATACTTGGTCAGTATGGGGGGGGGGGGACGGAGAAAGTAGAAATAGAGAGAAAAATAAACAATCGGGATACCCTGACGTACCTGGCGGATAAAGGTGAGCACGCGCTGCGTGCCGTACTTGTCCATGTCAGGCAGGTTGATTTCGTCGCAGAAGAGCACCAGCCACTTGCCAAGCTGCACGGGCGCCAGCACCATGCCGTTGGGTGTGCGCCGGTACTCGCAGTAGTGGTCGAATGTCTTGAGCAGCAGCTCCGGGGTGGTGGCACTCGAGAAGTTGAGACCGACCACCTGCGGCAACGACGGGTAGGGAGGGAAAGGAGGAGGGGGCGGGCAAGTCACACGGGGTGCATTTTCGCAACCTCTGCCAGGTGTTCAAACGAAGCACAGACCCTCACCATGAGTACTGCTTCTTGGGAAACCACCAGTGGTTGTCATATAAACAAACAGCAATGTGGTATTTTCACCACTGACGTGGGATCATCAGTGGAGAGGAATACCACCCAATACTTGGGTGAAACCAAAAGAAGCGTTTGAACACCAATCCTTGTGTTAACCACTATTTGGCAGAAACATGGCTGAACCTCTGCTATTTTTCACTAAATTTGGAGCACCGTTTACAAAAACAAGGGGAAACTGTCCTTTTGGCCTTATTTTTTATAGGGAAAAAATGTACCTACTTTATTCCAGTTGTTATAAGCATCATGGTTTAGGACGAATGTGTCCATTCAGAACTGCTGTAGACACGTGACTCGTAGCCACCACAGCCAGGTGGAGGGGTATACTAAATGTGGTGGGCTGGGTGTGGATATCCAGGCCACCGACCCAAACAGACCCAGCTCAAATATATGTATTATGTCACCAACCGTGGTAATCGGAGGTGCAGGGGGGGGAAGGACAAATTAAACACAAAGCCTACATGTTAAACAAAAAAACAGTTCTAAAGAAATTAGTTTTCAATCCACATTTAAAAGTGCATAGTTCCAGCGGTTTCCTAAAATCAGGCCCTGGTGGGACAAACAACGTTCACGTACCTCCATGTCGGGCAGTGCCCGCAGCGCGCTGAACAGTGTCATGGTCTTGCCGGAGCCAGGCGGACCGCACAGCACGAGCGGCTTGTGCTCGGCGAGCCACGTGTAGAGCAGCGCCTCGTGGCGAACGGTGTCCAGCGTGGGCACCACCACATCGGGCGCCGCCACCTTGTGGGTCTCCACCTCGATGTGCGGGACCTTCGCTTGCCAGGGTACCCACTCGCCTGAGATCGACACCTGGTAGCAAACGGGCGTAAACATTGCAATGGTTGGCCGATAAACATCGATTCCGACTGCTTGTGATGCGTGCGACAAACCGTCCACGTAAGAAATCTTTAATTTTGATTTGTATACCTTGCAAGCGGGTGGTTAGTGCCCTGTGGTTTTTTTATATCCAGGAAGGGCTCAGAGATTCTCAACAATCGATTTTAAGAGGGATTTGCTTGAGATGTTGGGCCAGTTCATAAAAAAACAGCATGTGGAGGCAAGCTGTCACTCACACGAGGGGATAACAGGTTTGCTCAGTAAGCAGGCTATACATCCAATCATTTAATGTCTGGTGGAATATAGTAGGCTACACTATGGGCACACCTACACACTGCATAAAACTTATATGTAAACCCCACAATGCTGTGCAGCCTAAATGTGTTTTCAAGTTAGCATGTGCCAGTGGAGAGAACAAAGCTACATGGTGTGAGACGCTCACTTTACCAAGTGATCAGGTGCGTGTGGGGTCAGGTGAGCCATATGCCTCCCTCACCTCGTAGTCAATAATGGGTACGTTGGTAGTTGATGGCAGTGGAATGGAGGTCACCCGACGGATGTAGTCGCCCAGCTCTGAGCGGATCTTGAGCTTTCCGTCACCAGAAAAGGACCATAGGATGGAGTACACGAGGTAGCGCTGCACAGAAACAAATGCCACCACCAACACCCAGCCTTTAATCATTTGTTTCTCACTCACACACCTTCAAGAAACTCTCTCCGAGTCTTGAGACTCTGCTGGGAATGATGGTCCTCGCCGGTCATGCAGCACTTTGGAGGCAAGGGTTAAGGAGCACGCAGATACTTGTGAAACTTCCAAAGCCACGGGGCTTAGAGGCAACCAGAAGATGGCAGTACAGCAATGTTTGTGCACTCATTATGCGGACATTCTCCAGATATCCCAGTTTCTTCCTGTACCAAAAATATTTCTTCAAAATAAACTGTCAAAAACCCATATGCCAGGAGGCACAACTATAAACTCCATTACTCCGGCCAGCAATCTAATTACTGTACTGCCATACCCCGGTCAACTTGCAGCTCGACTAACGTCAAGTCTCAAGGGCACAATGTGTGCGTAATCCACCAACCCTGCTACTCAGGCGCTGTTTTACAAGCATGGTTCATCAAAGCCTTGGTTCGCACAGAACAAAGGAGGACGGGATATGAGCAGGCAGGTGGAAGTGGGACGAGTGGGCTGAGGCTGGATGGGGCAGAGGCAGGAGAGAGGTCACCAACCTGAATGTACTTCTCGAGCTGCTCGAAGGGCATGGGGAAATCTGGGTGGTTGGCGTTGTAGAGCGCCACGTTGCGGCACGCCTGGTGCAGCAGCGAAAAGAGCGAGCCCAGGCAGCGCAGGCGCGTGAAGTCCATGATGTGCTCGAGCCGCGACGCGTGCTCCAGCGACTTGATCACCAGGCTGCCCGACGCGAAGAATGGCTGCAGCACCGACGCCACGTCGCGCTGGATCTGTGTGGGGGTGCGGAAAAAGATCCCGGACGGCAGGAGGAGAATGTTGAGGAGAATAGAGAGAGAGCAGGGGCAGAAGATCATAAGGGCACGGCGTTAGTGGTGGCGGAGTCAGTCGCGCGGTGTGATTTTTTTTTCTGATTGAAGATGAGCTTTGGTGGCAGTATTCCTACTATGTCTGTTCGAGACAATGGATGGATTACAATAATAATACGATAATAGGACTCTGACCAAATCACCCACAATGTGCCAGATCTCATCAATTCTACGCAAGCTAAGCAAGGCTGAGCCTGAACAGGGCGACGACCACCTCGCATAAAACAGATGTTGTAGGCTGCTACGGGAGCTATCCGGTGAACAGCAGAGAGCAGTGCAGCAGTTGTAGTGTATTACGATAAACTAAACACAAAAGCAGTTCTAAATAAATGAGTTTATGTATGTATGAATGTTGAACTGACCATGGAGCAAGGAAGCACTGGAGGCCATTAAGAGTTGGGGGGACGGAGGGTCGTTTACCTGCAGCATGGGCGACAGGGCCTCGGTCTCCTCCTCCTCGACCACCTTGGGTCGCCGCTGGGTGTCCTCGTCACCCTCGTCGAGCGGCACGTTGCGCAGGCGAGTCAGGAACTGGTTGAACACCATGTCGGCGCTGAGCACGTCCTCGCTGAACCACACCATGCCGCAGCGCGACACCGTGGCCAGCGTGGCGTACTTGAGGTCTTGCACTTCGAACATCACCCGTACCTGCGCATGAGCACACAGACGACGAAACGCGCCAAGGAGCAGGCACGTGCGTGCCGTGGAAGAGAATGGTCGATTAAAAATAAACATGGGCATGGAGCGTTTCACCAGCAGACCAGATTGAAATGCATTATTTTCTCCTGTATACGTCATTAAAAATCGATTCTAAGACTCGTGATACACGTATTGAATGTGGGCTCATAAGACCGATTCTTAACAATGTATGCACATTCTATGAAAACGTTATCCTTGGGCTAATGTGGCAAATGAGAAAGAACAAACAATGCAGACAAATTATTAAATTGAGTTCTTAATGAAACAGGCATCATCGGACGTCAGTAAATCGTGGAAGGGGTGAATTATTGCAAGCATATTTACCAGTTTGTATTCAAGGGCAGACTAGGACAGGTTTTACTCCGGGATGGGTTACAGTTAAGATAAACAGTGCCAATGCTCGTCACCTAAAGCAGGGCAGCTGTAGGTGTAATGCTAAAGTAAAGGCAGTGGAGTAGCTGTCAAGTGTACAGGCAGCGAGACTGCACCGATGCTCACGGGCCGGAGGGGTCCAAGTGCTGGACTACAAATAATGTTGAAATGAGACAGGGGGCTGCCATAATTTAATTCCCTGCACCCGGGGTCATGTTAACCAGGCGTGACCACTGGGTAAAGAGGGCGCTGGCGGGGGGGGGGGTAAGGGCGGCGAGTGTCACTCACGTTGGGCGGAAGGCTGAGGCGCTCTCCGTTGGGCAACGTGAGCAACTTGTTGTCGTCCAGCACAGAGTTGAGATTCTCCACCCACTCGGGGTCCACATCGCCGTCGAACACAATCCATTGCCGCTTGTGCAGCTCCCCGCGCACGTTGTCGATGATCCTGGGGGGGGAGGGGGAAGACAGAAAATACGGTTGAATAAGTTCCCAAAAAAATCCGGCTCGGTTAGCGAAGTAGCAACGTGCTCCCAATTGTGGGGTTGCAATATCAAATCCCCGTCACACGGATAAATCTCACCATCACTGTCAATATCATCATCATTATTATCACTATCACTATATCCATTATCAATATTATTTTCATCACTTTCACAATAATCATTAGGTATGAACTTCACTCCCTAGTAAGCACAACACAACTACTTCTGAATGACGACTCTATTTATCTCATTCATTTCCTAACTTGCTCACTCAATATTAGTATTATTATTGCTATGCTTGTTTACCCAGGAAAGCCTCACCAAGACTCTTTTCTTAAGACGGTCCAGTCCTGCTAACTCACTCCCTCTCACTTGCTCCCTCATTCACTTACCAACTGATTCAATTACTAACTTTATCAATAACTCGCTTATTAACTCTGCAACTCCTACGTTCATTCTCTCTTGTATGTATGTTGAACTTCTTTCGCACCATACGTAGCCAACTGTGCGAATCGGAGGTGCGGGGGAAAGAAACTAAACACAAAGAGCAGTTCTTCTTTGGTTCTTTCGGTAAAGTCACGTAGAATGATAATAAAATAATAAATTGATAAAATAAAATAACACAATAATATTCTCACGACGTTTCTAAAGAAATTAGTTTTCAATTTATATAAAGAAGTGCATAGCTCCAAGTGGCTTCCTAATATCAGAAGGGCGTTCCAGACGGCCGCATAAGCGCATCCGAAAGCGCTCTCTCACTCTTTCGCTCGCTTGCTCACTGACATGTTCAACCGTGCCACACTCACTTGCGCAGGATGTGCGTGAAGAGGCCGTCAGTCCACTCGCGAGTGTTGGGGTCCAGCGTGCCGTACAGGTGGTCCTTGCTCAGCGCCTTGGGGTCGATGATGTGGGCCACACCCTCCATTCCCTCGAGCCGTTCCAGGGCCTTGAGCAGGGCGCGCCACGCCATGGACTTGCCGCTGCCCGACGGGCCGACCATCATGAGGCCGTGGTTGATCTGTGTGATCTGGTACAGCTGCAGAACCTGCAGCACGCAAAACGACCAGCATGTCAATAAACGTGTGACCCAATGCGTTCCTTCGGCAGCTCACGGACCATGTCTTGGTTGTGTACAAAACGAAGCGATTGTTCAGCTGTCAGGCAAGCATTTATCACACATTTTGTCTTTCATTTGGGAAGTGGGCTTGGTAGATCACAGACCATCACTGTGTGTGATATTATCACATACAGGGTCAGCGAGTAGAAGGCCGACATTTCTGTGGAGGCTTGAGTTATCTCTAAAGCAGGTATTATCTCAGAGTGCTATGGCTTCTTGCACAAGAATAACAATTTCATTAAGAGATGGCCAAATATGCCAAGCAGAAGTCATGAAGCAGTCTAGAGACTAATGCAGTCACGGAACAGTGGTGCCTGTGACACACACATCCTGGACACGCACCTACAAGATAACAGCTGTTTGCTCTTTCACTTCGAATCTGTCGTTACAAACCTTCGCAAACATTGGCGACGTGGACGGCATGCCCTGGTCGACTAATCGCCTCCAACCAAGGATCAAATCCAACGAGCCGCCGCACAGAACAATACGTCAACCCCGCAGCGGTGTGCACGCTCACCTTCTCCACCCACATGCTGCCAATCTCCTCTCCGTCGCCGTACGTCAGGTGCATCTCCAGGCAGACCTTGCGCAGCTCCTGGCGCAGGGCGTCCATCTCGCCGCGGTGGTACGGAATGCCGGGGAACACGTCCGACAGCAGCGAGAAGAGCAAAGGGATGTCCTCCGCCACCAGCTTGGGCACCATCGTCTCACACACGCTCTGTATCAGGATCTGCACACAAGTGAGCACGGTACGAGCAAAAGTTATAGTACCAACCGGCCTGTCCCGCAGATGGGGTCGTTGGTTTTTGTTTAAACTAGGAATGGTAATGAAATCGCGGAGCACGAGGGACCTGAAGGCGACCTGGGTTATCCCTCCACCACCCAGTCACTGTTTACATGAGACACATGACCGCACTTTGTCTCCCAGGTGGCAGCACCTTCTGGTTAAGAAGAACTATTACTTGAGTCCACAAAAGCTACTCTATTAAGTTCTGTAAGTAACTGTGGGATAATTAAGAGTTTCTGTATGTGAAACTTAATTTAGCTTTAGACAAATGGGACTGTACAAACAAGATAAAAATGGTTATCGATCCTTGGAATTAAATCGTGATGAAGAATTTTGAAAGTTAGTAAGATTTCAGGGTTTGAGGACCGTATCGTAAACAATCAAATGGGCGCGGTTCACGTCACCTCTTGCTCGGGCAGGTTCTCAGCGATCTGGCCCTCGTCCACCTCCTCGCCGCGTTCCACCTTGTCGCGCTTGATGCGCTGGATGCGCTCGCGCTTCACGTTTCCGGCGCTGACGAGGACGCTCTTGAGGGCACGTAGCCCAAAGTCGTAGTGGCTCTGGGAAGAGAGCTGCTCGTCACAAAGCCTGGGCGGAAGGGGACAGCGGTAGAAGGAAATCAGAGACCGTCAATGCTGCTTACACCGCACGTTTTAGACCGTGCAGGTAGCTAAGGCACGTTCCTACTTCCTGGATTTCCCTGACGTTACATTACAGAGTGAATGTCTTATCTAATGACTACATTTGGCTGTCGAAATTATTCTTCAACTTACCGGTGAACAATAAAAAAAAACAGTAATAATTGGCTTGTTAAACGCTTGTACAGTGATAATTACATTTTTGTTTGGATATACCGGAGTGGTGAGGGGGATCTTACGATACAGTTTGGGCCAGATTATTACGTGGCCTCACCCAAAAAACAAATAGGAATAAAATGTATCTCCATACGCATGTGTGTACGATTAAATAAGTGTTATGAGCGTATCTAGCAGATGACATGAGGAAATCTTACCAAGTCATCCGTGCGACCTGGCTGTGGATAGAGTGAGAACACCGGAGCTTCCGTTTGAGAATCATGCATGCATTATGCCGGCCGGTGGGGGAGGAGGGTCCTCGAGAAGGTGAGAATGGGGGGAACGGCGCTCACTTGAAGAAGGGCACGATCTTGTTGGAGAGCACCTCGGCTGTGCGGAAGCCCTGCGAGTAGAGCATGACCTGTGCGATGAGCTGCCGGTCGGGCTTGGTCATGGCCAGGCTGCGGAAGAGCTTCTTCAGGTTGTCGGGCAGGTTGGAGCGGCCGGCGTAGCCCGGATTCATGGTGATGAAGATGGCCATCTCGGCGCTCACCTTCACCTGCTTGCTGAGCAGCTCGCACGTGACCGGCGGCGATTCTGCAGGCGCGCGCGAGACAGGGCACACGTGCACGCGCACACAAAGGACGTTGCGTTTGCGGCCCTGGTTGTGAATGTCACTGCTGTTGAGGCGAGTGTGACTGCTGTTTGAGTAATTAGAATTAAGAGCTGAAATTATTGGCTGAAAGAGAAGACTTTTCGACTAACATTTATAAATAGACTAATTTTTACGTACTGGATTACTCAGGTCCCCTTAAAAAATTATTGCTGCCTGGAGAAGCCATGGCCGGCGTGACACAGTTGATGAGGTAATCAAGCCCAGCCATTCACCTTCTGACCAGCAGCACATGTCTTAAGAGGTGACACGTTTTTTACAACTATTTTCTGATTAGCCAGTCGATTAACTAAATTGATAATCGGAAGAATGCTTAAATAATCAGACAGCCCAATGCTAACTGCAATTCTTTTATTCACCGACAAAAGGGTTAGTGAGCTTAAAAAATATATTTACAGGAAGATCCTGCATTGAAAGTTTGACCATTTCCATTCATGAGTTTGGTATCGAAGAAATGGCAAAACCCAGAGAAAGCCCACCAAATAATGAGGGGATAAAGCTCACAGCACCTAACCGATAATATCCAAGAACTCATTGCTGTCCTGCCATCTCCTGGCCGACCCGTGGTGATTATGGTTATGGTGTTTCCGTTCACAGTTGTGGTTATCGTGGTTATCATGGGGGCATGTTGGTCACACACCGCGCGTGCGGCTGGGGTTGGCGTGCTCCCGCAGTGCTTCCTGGATGCACTGCACTTGCTGCGACACAGCCGACAGCATGCGCTCCTCCAGGCGGTTAAACTCGTCGAAGCAGCCCCACGCGCCTACCTGGCACAGCCCTACGAAGATGCGGCCCATAGCCTACACAAACACACACACAGACAAAGGTTATCTTATAGACTGTCGGGGCAAATTATGTTAAACGAGCACCTATTAAGGCCAGAATGGCACAAGTATTCCCAGTACCACGCCCAGCCACCTGTGTCTTCCAGTGTCGATAGTTATGCAACACCAGAGTACTCATTTACGGTTGAGTCAACCTAAGGGAGGCCTAAAACAGGTTCAGATACCGTGGACAAAAATTACATTAATGTCACCAGGATCATAGCGCAATACACAAACTACTAAGCCACCTCTCCCAATATCCGCACATACACACAATCAGCATGAACGCTACATGGACTCAGGCACACGTGGCCACTGCAGTGCCGCAATACAAATCACTTGTTACAAATAAAACTTGCTGTTAACCTGGAAGTCGAAGGTCTCATCGCAGTTGAAGACGAGCACGAAGCGCCCGAGCTGATTGCCCAAGGCCTTCACGGACTCCGTTTTGCCTGTCCCGGCAGGCCCTGTGGAGATGCACGGCACGGGATTACAAGCAGAAGGTCTACGGTCATAAACACAAGCCGGTGTTCGAAAATGTTTCAACTGGATAAGATAAGGAGTTTATATTTTAAAAAATGTACTCCATTTGTTAGGCATGGGGTAGAGTTTTTTCGGATGGAACAGTTTAGCTATATTTAACTGGTTTTACGTGGGTATGTGGGATTTCCCCAAGCGGAGCATATACCTGCACAATTATTTGACTGAATAACTCAAAAAAATAAGCCATTATATTCTGTATGTGGCCAAATTATCTTGCCTAAAGCCCCAATTCTAGATTGTAAGGCAAAATTATATTATCTTAACCTCTTGTTGATTTATAGTCGATAAAAGTTTAAATATTTAAAAAAAAATGCTATACCGATTCTATATGACGTTAATATTGAACTTTCAACAAAAAAGAATTATGGAGGTCTGGACACCACAGCATGACCCTGTAGTACGACACCTTGATAAGCAAGTGGCGGGCTGGATAGCAAGGCGAGTAGGCCGGATAGCACTGCGGACTGGCCCGCGCAGTGAAATGGAGACAGCACAGGAAACACAGAGCTGGATAATTCGGCTGGCCAGAAAACGCAATTGGGCCAGAGAGCACAGTGGTGGCAAGAAAGCATGGCTACCCAGATACCATTTGCTGGCCAGAGATAACGTTGGGGCAGATAGTGCAGTGGGATCGGACAAAAGAGTGGGCCTGAGAGCGCAGTCGATTGGATAGCCTAGTGGTCCTGATTACATCGTACATTGGATAGCGCAGTGGGTTAATTACATGTTGGATAGCCCAGGGGGGCTGATTACATAATACATTGAATAGCGCAGTGGACTGGATAGCACAGTGGCTCACCAAAGGGCGATCCCCCGAGCCGAGCCTCCAGAGCTTGCGTCATGGTGAGGTAGCAGCGGTCAGTTAGCGGCGTCTGCACCAGCTTGTCCTGTACGCCCAGGTACTCGAAGCCGTAGTTGAACTTGGCATTGGCCATGTGGATTGACAGCTGCCGCAGCACCTCCGACTGCCAAGCGCAAACGCGAAAGGGAAGGGAGAGTGTCAAATGTTGGACACATGGCCTTCTCCTTAACTTCTTCTGCAGGGCGATTTAGTTCACCAGAAATGGGCCCACGCTCATCGGATCTCAGAAGCTAAGCAGGATTGAGTCCAGACGGTGCGTGGGTGGGTGGGCGACAACCTTGCATAAAACAAGTGCTGCAGGCTGCTGCGGGTTTACGCTTTCAGCATGGGGTGATGCAGAAAAGTGTATCGTTGGACTGCACTATGCCTAAAATTCTATAATCCCCACCACGCGGTGAAGTGTCGATCAGCGCGGTGAAGCATCGTAAAATAACTAGCAAGACCCGCATGACGTGATGAGGCCCTCACCCCACAGTCGATTGCCGTAAGGGCTACACATGCACACGCACAGATCTATCAGACCACTACCTCACACTTAGATATGTTGTTGAGGTAGAATGGTGAGGGGGGGGGGAGGAGGAAGAACCGCACCTGCTTAGGGTCAAAGTAGAATCGCATCTGGCTGAGCCACTCGAAGGACTTGGGGTTGTTGACTTTGCTGCGCAGCAGCATGCGCGTCACGTCGCGCTGGTGCACAAGTTCCGTGATCTGTGAGGGCCGAGCCAATGAGTGGGAGCACAAGGAACAAGGAAGAAGAGGTAAGAAATTGTGTTTTTTTTTGTTAGTGACAAAGCTTATTCAACTGGGCACTTCGTCCCAACCAATACCTGGCTCACTCTACAACACCAAAATATATTTAAAAATACCTAACTTACATTAACCCAGGAAGGCCTCAATGAGACACCACGTTCTGAAATCAAAAGCATCGCTCTGGATGTCCGCTGAAAAGTATGATCTTGAGTTTTGATTATAATGTGCTGATCTTTAAAGGTGCATTTAAACATGTTGATACTCCTGCTGTTATGGAGTGACTCATGCTGCCAGCTGTGGCTGCAAAGTTTGGTCGTACATGACATGTATTTCGTTTATTGTTAAATTTGAATCACAGTTTCTATGATCACTGTTACATAGTTTTTATAGCTTTATTTTGGTGATTTCGAAAACGTATGGTTAAGCCATGTTTGTTTGTTGAAATACAGAGTTAGCCTGATAACTTCAATCCAAATTGTCTTATGGTTGTTACTGTTTGACTTGCATCCCACTGGGATTTTTGCACACATTATTGATATACGGTGTTTTTTCTGAAAGATTTTGCTGTTTTTTCCTGGATGTTTCTGTTGCGCGTCGTCACGTTAAGATGTTCTTTGTTTATGTTTTTTGTTTGTTGCGGTTGCACCCAAGTCAAGAGCCGCATGGCTCACAGGGCTATACCTAATAAATGAAACTGAAAACTAAAATGCATGGCCAATTCTTCGTAAAGTAATTTTGTAAGATTAATGTAACTGATTGTTCTTAAAAAACATATTCAAGGAGACAGCAATCAAAAACATGGACAGATAAATTATCAGGCTACTCGATGAACAAACCACGAGCCACTTCATCGCACGTAGGCAGTTGGCAGTCTAACACACATGACAATATCTGCACAGTTAAACCTAGTGTTATTTTACCAAGTAAGGCGCACTGAGATATATAACTTTTTTAGAAGTGACCTGGCCACAAATGATAACCCAAGAAAGTGGATTATCATGTGGAAATTCATATCAGCCAAATATTCTAAATGCATGATTATAAATGTAGAGGGAAAAACTGGAGAACCCGGAGAAAATCCACACGACCACAGGGAGAACATGCAAAAATCCAAATATACAGGCGTCAGGGTCGGGGATGAACCCACGATCTTCTGTATATCAGGCGAGGTAATTAACTCTGCCTTGCATGTACCGTGCAAAGCCAAAAACCCCAAAAACTAGTGAATCACAGGTGACCATCCAGCTCAGGGATTATAGTGCTGAGCCAGCACCAGTGATTAAACCAGGTTGCATGTGTAGTGGGGTTGATTGCTCTCAGCCTGGTCATAATTGATGGCACAAATAACCCATAATATAAAATATTCTTGTTTGTTTATTTTGGCTAACTTTAAATAAGTATTGGTCTAACTGCCATGTGATAAATATTTCTCTATAGCATGGTGAGTAGAAAAGTGTGTCTTCCTATTGTTTGGACAAAAAAGGTCACTTGAAGGAATCTTTAAAGCAGTTCCGTGATATCGACTTCCACAGGCCATTCTTTAACATGGGGTGAGAGAAACACTGCTGTGCCAGATTTGTGAATGGATACTTAAATTTGTGACATGATGCCGATAGCAACATCAAAATAAAATTGGGAAAACATAAGACTATTTGAAAAAGGTCAAGATCACAGATTTATTTGCCGAGAGAAAATTTAATTTCTACAGTTTTCTGGCTTAACACTGTATGTTTATCTGTTGAACTTCTTTCACACCACCCAAGTGAGCTGACAATTGCAAAACCTTCACCAGGTTTCCAATATAATGAAAAAAACACACAAACATTTTAAAAGTCGTGGCGAATCTTTGTGGCACCACTTCCATCAAGAAGTGTTCTGCTGGTCAGGGGGGGGGGGGGGGGGGGCGTCGTACCAAGTGTTCGAGCTTCCTGCGTCTGAGCGGGGGCTGCTCCATGAGCACGGAGTCAGCGAGGACGGTGAGCGTGGCCTCGACGTTGGTCAGCACGGCCGAGAGCGGGCCCTGGTCGTCAGGCTGCCCCCCGGCAGCCACCGTGTTCAGTGCATTCTCCACGCTCTCAGACCACGCGATCTGTGCCGACAGAACCACGAGCTGGGCCTGCACAGCACCAATGAAAGACAAAAATTGTATTGTCAACATTTCATTATTATTGTTGTTACATCTTTCATCGCACAACATTAGAAATGCTTTGGTAGTTAGATATGATACAGTCGAGGCCTGCAAGGCATCATGGGGAGAGCACTGTCTGCAATAGTTATTTTTGTAAACATTTTAAATGAAACCTGTTTAAATCACCCTGCACAATAGCTAACTGCAGGTGGCGCTTGAGTGGCACTGCTGTGTGGAACACTGCTGATGTGGAGAAAAATAATACTCAGTCGCCCTAACCATACCCCCACCTCCAATCCTATTGTGCATTTATAACCCTAACCCATACGTGGTTATGACACACCCATTACCGCACCAAAATTTATTCTGGTTTGTGGCAGTAGAACTTTTCAGAGTACGGCATTTTTGGTCCTCACAATGAAATCGATTTGTGTACCCAGCGGGTGAGACAACCGGTGTGTTAATGGACACATCACATGGTAGCCATTAATGTGAGGAGTTAAACAGGGTTAAATGGATTAGGGTTATGGCAATATAATTACTACAGCACTATTTTTGCCCCCCCCCCCCCCCCCCCCCGAGCCAAATCATATCGCTCTACAGCCCTACTGTCCCATCACCTGGTACATGTCGATCCAGGAGAGGTAGGCGGCCGGGTTGATAGGCCTCTCCTTGCTGAGCGTGCACAGCTCCGTGGCGGCCTCGGCCAGCAGGCGAGCCAGCGTCACCCTCATCTCTTTCTCCAGGAGGGTGAGCCACTCGTTAATCTTTGGGTGCTTCACGATCGACACGGGCGTCTTGAAGATGACCTGCGGAGAACGCCATGGGGGTGGGAGGGTGGGAAATGGACAACGTTTGTGGCCACTCGGCATTAACCCTAGCGATTCAGTGCTGCCAAAAAATTGTCAAACGTTACGAAAACTTTGGCATGTCCGTACCATGGAGTCCACTTTTTAAAAAAATCCCCACAATAAAATCAGTTTTTTGGTGTGTAAGCACCCAGTCTGATTACTCCCAAATAATTTCTTTGCATTCTCAAATATTGACTATATTTGAGAATAATATGACAGATGACACTGATAACCAATCACCTCGCTTATTATTTTTAAACTTTTTATTTACGAAATCCTTTCTATAACTGAATTTGTTTAAATACATAACATTTTGCACCCCGTTTCAGGGCCGAGTACTGCGAAAGGGTGACACAGCGTGCACCCCCCACCCCTCACCTCTTCGCCCTCCCGGGAGGCAATACCCAGGATCTCGCCGTCGTTTTCGTCCAGCAGGATAGCGGCGATGCCGGCGAACATCTTCTTGAAGTGCTTCTGCAACTTCGCCACGTTCTTGCTGTTGCCAATGATCTCCAGGAGGTCCTCGTCACCAACAAAGTAGAACCTGTCAATAAGGAAAATAAACATTTCAAAGAAATGAAAATCGATCCAAAATTGACGTCTCGTGGCAATTTTGGACTAAAGACATGAAACTTGAACATGCAAACAGGATGAAGACAGACTGACGGGTAAAGAGATAAGTAGGCAGGCAGGGCAGAGAGGCAGGTAGATATTTCACAGAGAGAAGCAAGCACGCATGTAGGTAGAAGGAAAAAAAGATGGCTAGACAGAAGTTCAGGAATATCAGGAGGTAGGTATAAATTCAGACAGGCAGGCAGGTTGGCAAGCAGACCAGCAGAAAGAGACAGGCAGAGCAGAAAAAGTTTTCCTCCATTTAAAACCAGTACAAATCTGTGCAAATCTGAGCATTGCTATACTCAGTAAGTATGATACTGCTTCACCAATACCCCGATATGGATGAACCCCAATTTTTTTTAAATTTTGGACCCCTGATCGTAAGAGAACAGAAAATGGAACATGCCTTGGGAAGGACGCCCTCTCCCGCTCCAGGTATTCGCCCAGGGCCTTCTGGATCTTTCCCAGGAGGTCCGCGAGCCTCTCAAGAGAGCGCTGCACACCCTGGATGTTCAGCACATCCATGACGAGTGGCGACTTGGACACCTTTTTCATGAGCGCCAGGAACTCCGTGCTGATGCTGTGGCAACACGACAACGTATACATAAAAACCACTACGTGCACCTTACACAAGTCTACAGCATGATGTGACATGACGTGACGTGACGGCGGCAGCTCACAAGAGTCGCGCACGAGGGGCCCCACGGGGTAACGCGACGCTCCTACCTCTGGAAGCGGCCGGTCTCAACTGGCAGCAAGTTCTTGATATCGGCACTGCCCGTGAAGATGCCCTCGAGGTAGACCCAGCGGCGCTGGACGTCAATCCAAACGTCGAAGAGCGCCAGGATGCGGTTGAGTTTGTCCTCCCAGCTCAGGGCGTCCTCCTCAAACACCTGTCCCATAGCGGCAGCGAAAAGAAAGTAATCAGGGAGTGGCTGAAGTGGTGGAAGGGGTGGGGGCAAGGCCGAGTGAAAGGTGTCGCACATGATGCATCAAACTATGATCAAGCGGTAATTTTAAAAAGGTTTTTTTTAATATTTCACAATTTGGCATGTAAATGAGAATGTACATTTGTCTCTAGGACAATTATTTCAAGTGAACGTCACAATAGATGAGTGGCCTTTATTTATGAACAGGTAAGAGTCTTTTGAGCCAAGGAGTCGAAAGTGTTTTTTGTTGCAATTTATATAAGATGATTTTATGAAGTTAGAGCAAAGGCTACGGTATTCTATTAGCAGTGTTTTCACAAAGGTGTGAGTTGATCACATTCACATAAATGAATAATCAAATTCAGGTAAATCAATACTAATGTAGAGGAGTATTGTGAGTAATCAATGAGGGGGCAAACGGAAGGAGGTGCGAGCTGGTTGAGAGTTATGCGGGGCCAAGGATGACGTCACATCACGGGTTACGCAAGGGGCTTTCGGAAAGCACTTTCGGGAAAGTGGGCGGGGCCGAGCTGGGGGAAGGAGCCACCCAAAGGGTTCTTAAGGGGGAACACCCCCCCCCCCCCCCCGTGACGAAGGCGTGGCAGGGTAAGGAACGGCTGGAGTAGGGGTCTCTCTCCTCGTCGCGGGGCGGTGTTGGCTGATCCCCTGCCCCAGGCAGACGAGTGAGAGAGCCAAGGGGATAGCCGGGGTAGGATCCAAATAGTTATTCAGTGTCCGTGTGAAGGACGGAGATAGAGTGCACCTACACTGGTGTGAGTGTAGGATGCCGAGTGAGAGTGTGCATTAATAAACGGCAAGAGCTGTTATAGTATTCCTCGCCTCCGCGTGATTGTACTACACTACACTAGCATGATCATGAGACCAACGAACAACAGTACATGGATCACCTCCAACCATGGGACCACCTCTTCCTAAAGGATGGAAAAACTCGGAAATAACAAATGAAAGTGAAAACCAAATCCAGAAGTTCAAATAAAATAACGACGCCGGGGGCGCACCTTGTAGTAGGGGGAGAGCTTCATGGCGCCGACACTGTTGAGGTTTTCCTTCACGCGGTTGAAGAGGTCGTCCCAGCCGCGGATGATCCGGCACTTGTTCTGGTAGTTCACCATGTCCAACTCGTACGAGTTCCACAGCTCCTTTATCTGCGGTGCCAGGGACGGGTGAATGCACACATGGGCCGATTAATGGACAAACCAAATCTGCAGCTATTAACAGATACACAACAATGGAAGCATTTGCTAAAACAAATTAATTAATCAACACATGGATGCAGTGCAATGAACATGGTCACGTGGTAGACAAAAAAATAACCAAATTCATTCCTGGGGCTTAACAGACACCTAACAAATGTGAGGTATGGATGGCGTAGCAATCAAACCGACGAAAACTCCTGTGAATTGGGGGGGGAACTGGTGCCAGCACTGGAGGAGCAAAACAGATGCAGGGGAGGCGAAGAGCTTCGGGGAGGGGTCAACACACACACACACACACCTGCTTGAGGAACTCCTCTAGCGCCATCTCTCCCTGCGCCACCAGCAGCACGTCCTTGACGATGGCCTCATTCTTCTGAAGGTCGGCCTCCCAGATGTGGCCAAGCGTGAGCTCCGACAGCACCCAGCTGACTCGCAGGCGCTTCATCAGCTGCTTCCAGTGGCGGTCCTTGAGAGCTTCCGACTTGAGCTCCACCACCATCACGTTGACCTGAGCGCGCACCCCCCCGCACCGCGTGGCGTGAAAATCCGCATATGCGCTCACCAGCCCCAGCTCTCGTCTGCTCAGCGGGTCTCCCCATCGGCTCTTGAGCGAGAGTGCTCATTTGCGCACGAGTGAAGGTCGAGGTCAAGAGGTGACCACCGGCCAATGCGGCTGATGCCGACGCAACTCGCATTAGGGCTTCATCCCTTTGCTAGCCACGGCACCAGCATACAACAGCCTAAAGCTTAAAGTTGTATATGTTTAAGTTTACAAGGCAGCGCTAATATGGACGGTGGTGGTTAAGTACATTTAACCCATGTCTAAACCTTCACTACACCAGCCCACACTGACCAGCGTGGCGAAGCATGGTTGTGTAACCCCCACATACCAGAGATCGTGGGAAGGCTCCCATCCAGCAGTTAAATGAAGGGCTGTACATGTACGTGTCAAAACCACCATCAACACGGCCCCAAAATGTTTACACAAAGCAGAGGGCTGTATCTCGGCAGAGCGAGTGAGCAGGAGGGTGAGGGAGCGACTGAGCGGGCGAGCGACAGACCTTGAGGTAGCCCTTGAGCAGCTTCTGGACATGCTCATAGGAAGCGTACTGGCGCAGGCGAGCTGGGAAGTTCTTCAGCTGGTTCACCAAAGCATCTAGCGCCTGTCGCAGCTGTAGACAATCACAGCCACCACCCCAGCCATCACCATCACATCATGACGAGAGGAGGGGGCAAAATGCCTAAAACACGACCTTCTGCAAGGGCCCTTTCTTCTCCTGGAGCCACGGGTAGTAAAAAGTTAGCAACTTACCACTCGTCCTCACCGAGGTAGGTACTGGGACATTATTAATCAATTATGATTCAATTACACCTGAATGTCGATTTCTAAAACAGGTATTTTGAACTCGTAAATATATTTGGCAAATTAGTGTAAAATGTATAGATTTGTACCACTATAAAGATTACGTGTACCACACAACGACAAATAGGGAAATGATTAATAAATCGGGTATCGACCAATGTGTGAGAATTCATAAAATTCTGCAGGGAGCAAAAAATTATATCCATAGGCGTTACTATTATCACCACTTACTGCACAAGTAGCAAATTATTTAACTCACCCATACAACCTATATTTCTTACAATATTAATTCAAATTTCTCGAGTGATCACCTTGCGCGGCTGTACAGAAATCCAGGGCTGCTCTTTCATCTGATCCATCTGCTCCCACACCTTGGACAGCTCGGACCAGACGCCCTTAAGATCCTGCAGCTCCTCAAGCGCCACCTGTACAACCGGCACGCGACATCCAGCAAATCCAAACATTCTTCACGTTGGTCCACTTGCAGTAGTGATATGGGTGACGGTAAGACAGTGGTGGCGGCGGTAGTGGAGGTGGTGGCATTGGCAGCAGTAGTGGGGGAGCAGTGGTGGTGACGGGAAAGAAAAGTGTGGTGGTAGCAGTGGAAGTCGTGGTGGCAATGGTGGTGGTGGCAGTCAAGTAGGTAGTCGTAGTCAGTGGTAGTGGCGTTCGTGAGCGATAGCAAGTGGCAACAGTGGCGGCAACGACTGTTGGAGGCGGTGGCGAGGGTGGCGTCAAGAGGTGTCGGCGGCGGCAACGGACCTGCATGCGCTCCTCACTGCCGCTCAGCACCCCCGTGTCGGGTAGCTCCAGTGCCTCCTTGGCGCGCGCGCACTTGTCGCGGTCGTCCTTGAGTCGCCCGAACTTGCCCTCGTAGATGGACAGCGTCTGCAGGGCCTCTTCGGGGCGCAGACTCCCCTAAGGGAGTTATAGGACCATGGGTGGGAAGGAGGGATAATTAAAAAAAAGTTTTCATGGGGCCAAAAGAATAACAATCAGTCATGCCACATGCACTATCGTAATCCTTATTGCTATAAATACTATAGAAATCACAAGTATCATCATCACCATCACCACACATGATCAGCATAATCACAAAAGTGTCAGACATCACCATTGTTGTTGTTTTCATATTCACCACCACCATCATCAGTTGTCATCATAATTGCCACCATCACAGTCTTACAGCAGAAGTGAGCATTCTTTAATGAAGTCATACTACCAAACCACAAAGCAGTCAATAACATGAGTAGGTCAGCAAGTTAAATCCAGCAAGTCGACAATTCTGGAAAATGAGCAAAGTGCGCCGCCGATAGCGGCAGAACAGCACGTTATATCGTGTGGGGTGGGAGACTCACGCCGACGGGCTTCCCGCGCTCCCACTCGCCGAGCAGCTCCCCCGTGCGCGACTCCACGGCACGGTCCTCCTGCACGATCTTCATCTGCAGGTTGGCCACCTGCTGCTGTATGGCTGTGTCCTTGCGCTTCATGATGTCATTGAAGGCACCCCACTCGCCCTCGATGTTGTCGATGTAGAGCCACGACGGCGGGAACTGAAAGCGCTGCTTCTCCAGCAGGCGCTGGCCACCGCTGTACATCTGCGTGTGTCCGTGCGTGCGCGTCAAAGGGCGATTCGGACAGGGCGGAGTAAAGTGTAGAACATGTGGAGTGGACAAAACCTCCAACTGTACCAAGGGGAAGGGGTCACATGCCGTTGATGAAACCGCCGTTGCTACCGCTTCCATCTCTTCTGCTAGATTAAGCAGGTATTAGACCCAACATAGAACCTCCTAGGTTTAGTTTCCTTACAGCCACCATCTGGCTCTTGGTCTTTGCCCTGTCGCACAACTCAGACATCCATTTACGACAGCACAAGCAATTTCATAATTTTTGAATGCCAATGTCTTGCATTTGTATTCCCAGCGAAATCTGCTCGTATAAAACCACATTTTTATGTCGACAGGTCAGATTTCCTCGGCGCGCACAATGAAGCGAGAGGCATCATCAGAATCCCGTACCTCAACTTGCTTCTCGAAGCTCTTGATCTTGCGCTTGAGGGACTGAACGAACGTGATGAAGGTGACGGCGTCCGAGGTGCTCGCCGTGTCCACCGAGTGCTGCTCCAGCTCCTGCCTCGACTGCGTGAGAACAAATGCGATAGTTGTCGTTACCGTCATCACCAACGCGGTCCGGGCTCATTATCATCAGGAGGCAAGCCTCGCTTCCTCATGAAACCTGAGCAATTATTTATGGAGTGACGTTTAAAGTTTCAGCCACTTTGCAACTTAAAAATAAATAACACTTACCTAGCAGATAGGCAATGAAGCTGCGTGTCCGCGCCTGTTCAATGCAAACTTGAAGCTTCATTAATGAGGATATGTGCCACTTTGAAAAGCGCAACTGTGCACTCTAGTGCCGCCACTATACTATGACTGCAACATCACGAATGATGTCAATAGTATGCTATAATAGTGCTCTTCAGAGTTACACTTAAGTATATTTAATATCAAAACTTCTAACTCGTGACGGACAGCCTGGGACACATAGACAAGGTATTCATTCATCTACAAGATAAAAGTTAATCCGTTTATTGCTGGCGTCTTCCTTTATCGTGGAAAACAAACCACGAGGGGTAACAACACAACGGTGGATATGGGAGCCAAAATACCATCAAGCACCAGAAGCTCACCTTGGAGATCTGAGCGTGGAAGTCTTGCATATTCTGGCCGAGCTTTTGGCCAAACTTGCTGAGCACCTCCTTGTGCCACGAGTCGTACTTCAGGTTCACCTTCGCCTGAACCTGCGAACCGCGTGCACAAAAAACAGGGTGAGCATCGCCGCCTTTTAAAACAACAAAACTAGGCCCGCCATGTGGCTCAACTGATAGTGTCAGATTAGTGAGTTGGCATTGCTGAGATGCCGAGTTTAAATCAGGTTTCAAGATAGACCAAACAAGTACACAATGAGAACGGAGTCTCGTATCTCAGCATTACTCCGAAAACTTTACAATTAATGGAAACATTGGGGACGTGAACTGATAACTGTAATTCATCTCCGAGTGGAAGTGTGTGGTGTCTTCTGCAAACTATTTGTGGGAGGACAAACCGTGGTGGCGGCGGTGGTTGAGTGTGTGGTAAGAGCTCAAGGGAAGCTCGCTCGCTCCACTCACCCGCCCGTAGTCAACGACAACGGGCCCGAACTCCTTGCTGGACTCGGCGTTGTCGAAGGTGCTGCGGGACTGGCGAATGTCGTGCAGCATGTTCTGCCACAGCCGCAGGTCCTCGCCCAGCCGCCCGTACACGTTCTCAGGCTGCATGTCCCACAGGCTCTGGTACTGGAGCCACTCCTGCTCGCAGGCGACGAGAGCAGAAGCGAAATCAATGGGTCAGGACTGGAGCCAAACGTCGACTAATCGACCAAGAAAATTGTAATTGACCGATTTTCACCATGGTGGATTACCCAGGCCCCACACAGACAACCTTCTTCCCAAAGGCAGAAACCACCAAGCCATGCGCCAGTGTGGCGTGGTTGACGATGCCACCGATATTCGCAAGCTCAGCTGTTAAAAGTTGCGTACAAGGGAGCAAAAAGGTAAGATTTTTTTCACAACCTATTTTTCTGTTATCCAATTAGTCGCGCACTCAAACCAACACATGGGAGAGTAATCGATACCTTGAATCATTCGATAGCCCAGCTCTACTCAAGATGAGTGGATCCCTCGTCTCTGCCCATCAGACGCCATCGTCAGAGGAAACCTGGCAATGAATGTGGTGGCGAGGGGAGGGGGCAACTCACCTTTACATACTTGGCCACCTCCATGCAGGTGATGATGATGGCAGAGTTGGCCTGGCAGAGCGCACCCTCGCCGCCTGGCATGTGCTTGAGCGCCGTGCGGTAGCAGCGCTCATCCTCCGTGATGTCGTAGTGCACGCCCACCTGGGGATTAAAATTCGAGTTGCGTACAGTGGCTGTGTTCGGGCCGGAGACAGGTTTAAACTTTGGATTAAGGCTAAGGTTTGAGAAATGGCGGATATCTAAATTCTACAGCGAGGATTAGTGTTAGGTTCAAAGTGAGTCAGGGTTGGTGTTAAAGGCTAGGGTGAGGATTCGTTTTGGAGTTATCATGGGAATTGGTATTGGAAAGTGTTGAAAATAGTATGAGTGTAAAGGGGTATAGTTAGTTTTATCGATCAGATTAGTGTCATAAATATTTTAAGATTTCGAATTAGTGTAATGGATAGGGTTAGTGTAATGACTATAGGGAATGTGATGGATAAGATTCGTTGACTGAATAGTTGTAGGATCGGCGTTATGAATAATGTCCGTGTTATGGATAAGGTTCGTGTTTTGGTTAGATAGTTAGCCCAATGGATAGTATTCATGTTGAGGTTCGGAGTTCATGCTACACGTAATATTACAGATAAGATTAGCATTATATAACCAGGTAAAGCCTCAACTGGTTGTTGATGTTTCCATCCTACCTGCCATTGCCAGCAGTTATTTCCGACTCTGAGTTACATTACCAATTTACATTACCAAGTTAAATGTCTTTAGATTAAAGGGCTAAATGTCTCGCTAACAAAGCCAATGTTGCCTCTTTCCCTCGATGTGGCGGTGGCTCTCGTTTTTTTTAACAGTCTATAACTGGCTGTGATGTTGTTGTGTCTCTCGATTTGTGTGCGTCTCTCTCTGTGTGTCTCCCTAGATGTCTCTCTCTCTTGTGTCTCTTTGCGTGCATGTGTCTCTCTCCGTTTGTCAATTTGTGTGTCTCTCTCTCTCTCTGTGTGTGTCTCTGTGTGTGTCTCTGTGTGTGTCTCTGTGTGTGTCTCTGTGTGTGTCTCTGTGTGTGTCTCTGTGTGTGTCTCTGTGTGTGTCTCTGTGTGTGTCTCTGTGTGTGTCTCTGTGTGTGTCTCTGTGTGTGTCTCTGTGTGTGCCTCTCTCTGTGTCTCTCTCTGTGTCTCTCTCTGTGTCTCTCTCTGTGTCTCTCTCTCTGTCTCTCTCCTTCCCTCGATGTGGCGTTGTCCCTCGGTTGTTTCCCTTGTTTTCTGGTGAGCTGGATGTCTCACTAGCACAGCCACCATTGCATTGGTTCGTTTACATTGACATGATGTGAGAGGCATCATCAGAATTCCGTACCTCAACTTGCTTCTCCTCCCCATCTCGGTTCCCATCTTTGGATTTCCCACTCACTTAGGCACAATCTCTAGCCCCCACCCTCTTGCCCGATACGGCAACCCCCCCTCTGCTCTATATATAAGGACTTGTTTCAGCAGCCTGTTTCTCTCTCCCACCTGAAGATTGCTTGTGTTGCGATCAAAACGTTGTGATCTATAATGTTTTTCTACCTACGTGACTTTACCTTAAAGAACCAAAGAGTATGGATTCCTGCAGTCACGAAAGCTTGAAATCAAGATTATATATAGCGTTAGAATAGGGGGGAAGGGGTCGTTACCAGCCAGAGCGGCTACGACCCGGCTAAGGCGGCACAGCAACACACCTGGTACCGCTGGCTCTGTATGCGCGGCAATGCGAGGATGTGGTGCTCCCACAGTGACAGCTCCTGGTGCAGGTGGTACAGCGCTTCCTCCACGGCCGGCGTCACGAAGATCACCTGGTTTGCGATGCGCAGCTCGATGACCACGGGCTGGAGGAGTCCATGGGTGTAAAAAGATAAACATTCACGGTTACTTTCTCAGAGGGAGAAGCCTTATATTTGAGAGAATATGGGAATCGTACATTTGAAAGTGCACCCCGAGAATAGTGAATCATCCCCCAATGTTCAGCGATACAAAACTAATTATATAAATGTGTGCAATTCGGAACAAACTCACTAACCTTGTTTCGGTCTCATCTCCGACTATAGCAAGACTAATAATGTAATACAAGTACCGAAGAATGTTAACGTGTATGCAACTTGATGTAACCCAGGTCACTCTTGCACGAGAGGCGATGCTTCTTGTGTCTCAATGGGTTTATTTCAACTCCTGGTTAAATAAAGCATACAAACTATGGTTTGACTGTAACAGATTATATATTCGATGACTCCGAGAGATGACCATTGTGTACTTGTGCGAGTATCTCAATGCAAATGCAGTGGTTGAATGTTTACAAATATTCTTTTTGTATTATTTTTCACATGCACCCTGCCGCGAAGTCATAGGGCGCACATCCACCTGGGACCAACATCAGCTCAGAGCTGGTCTTTGCTTAGATAACGGCTTAATTAATGAGGGCACCGGCAACCTTGGAAACGTGCACAAGAGCTCACTGGAAACAAACAAAACCGTTGGGAATAGGGATTAAATTAAGATGCAGTAAATTGGCTACAGACAACAGCAGCACTCATCACAGGCCAACTAGTCACTTTATAAGAAAAACATTTAAAATATACCTATGATGAATTCAAATTAGCCTTGAGACTTTCTATGGAGGATCCTCTGCATGGTTATTTGGACGATTCTTTACACGTTGTTTTCCATGTGTGGGAAAAAAATCTTGAGAAAATGCTCAAATATAAGAGGACAATGTTCAACAGTCCATAAGTATAGGACAGCAACCTACATTTCAACTGATATACGAGTGCTTTGATATACGAGTGCTTTGGATTACAAACACGCTTCCGGAACGAATTATGCTCGCAATCCAAGGTTTTACTGTACAGACCTCCCCATTGCCACGCAGGCTGGGTGCTAAATGTGACGACGTCTGCGTGATCCAACCACCTCTGATCCAACGTGCCAGATTACTGGCAGCGTTGTTCAGCATGGCCACAACCATGACCGGGAGACATTGAGGAGGCATTTGTCGCAGGTAGTGATGGTTAACAAAATAACCTATATTTATTTTACCAGTTAAGGCCCACTGAGCTGTATAGTATTTTTTCAGAAGCGACCTGGCTATCAAAAATGATAGCTCAACGAAGGGGCTCATTCATGTGGAAATTTATAGCAGCCAAATACTCTAAACGCACGTTTTTTAATGTGGAGGGAGAAATTGGAGGACCCGGAGAAAAATTCACAGGACCATGGCGAGAGACATGCACACTCCAAATATGCACGCGTCAGGGTTGGGATCGAACCCACGACTGCCTGCATACCAGGTGAGGGAGATAACATCTTGCCAACAGGGGGCCCACAGGGCGTGGCCTGGGACGGTGAAGGGATATGGAGGGCGGTAGGCAATTTGGGGGGGGTGGGTGCGAGGCGGGGGGAGGGGAGTGGGGGCCCCACTCACCCGGATCTTGGGGTCCCCGCCGGGCTTGTGTCCAGCTGACGGCACTTCGGTGTCAGCGTCCGTGTCGGCCTTGTCGTCGCCGTGGCCCTGCAGCGCCTGAATCCAGGCGCGAATCCCAGCCTCCAGCCTCGTGCCCAATATCGTCTCGATCTGTGAAGATGAGAAAATCATCTTAATTAACCCACATTATATTAAAATGTTTTTTTGTTTAAATGGCATCAGCTGACCTGACAGACACTTTGGGAAAAAGTGCTGCACACATGGCTACAATGGATTAAAGTGGATTAAGGATGTGACGATTCAGCATTGATTCATACAGACACCTACGCGCACTCCAACAGGGATAGAAAAGTACATGTAGGAAGTGGATTATGTACAGTTTGTACGTGTTACGGATATAGTATCAGGATTTGCATTCATATAGCATTTAAATGTGGTATGCGGCTGGGTCATGCAAACCCTGCAGCCAATATGGATTCTGCGTGCAACAGAAGGACAGAAAATAATCTATTTGAGAATCACATTGTCACCCTGAATTGTCAATTTATAAATTCGTGGAGGATGATTTTTTTTCATTTTTACCTTCGCAGGCTCTTACCACTTACAATAGAATAATGTATAAACAATGCCCCTATCGGGGATAGTATGCGTCTTTTCAAAAGACATCTGGGATTTTCACGCAATGTTTTAGATGTTTAACTGGCATTTACCTTTTAATCCAGGTCAAACTAAAAAAATGGGCTCACAAATCCAATGTGAATTTTCAAAAGGGAAGCCAGACATTCCCTGGCTTTAACTCGCATAGAGACGAGTCGTCAGTTTTCAAATCGCAGCGCGTGGTGTTAACAACGGCTCGCCTGGGTATCCAGCTTGGTGACCCAGATGTGCAGGTTGGAGTAGGAGTGCAGGTTGAGGTCGTCAACCGCCTTCTGCACCCGTCCCAGGATCTCCAAGAAGTTCTTTTGGTCGTAGGCGCACGTGTCCAGGGACCGCACCTCCAGGTCAATCTTTTCCTCGATGAGCAACAGGTCGTCCACCTGCCGTGCAGCGTGAAAACCGGGACGGAACGTTTAAATGAAATCCAAAACGGCGACCTGAATCAGGCACGTTGTGAATTTTTCTAACACTATAAATGCCAGTTTGGTAGAAATGAAGAGTTGTTGAAAGAATATTTCAAGAAGCAAATACATATCATAAGCAATGCATAAACATATATAAGCAGAATGGAGTTCCATATCTCAACATATAAAGAAAAAATGTCTTAAAACTTATTCTTAGTTTTTTTCGGTAAAGTCACGTTGAAGAGAAACAACAAAATAATAAAATATATATAAAACAATAAAAAATTCACGACGTTTCGACCATAACTCAAACGGTCATCTTCAGGTGCCCGTTTGAGTTATGGTCGAAACGTCGTGAGAATTTTTTATTGTTTTATATAAATTTTATTATTTTGTTGTTTCTCTTCAACGTGACTTTACCGAAAAAACTAAGAATATGAATTACTGCAGTCACGATAGCTTTAAATCAAAACTTAAAACTGTTTTTGATCTTCTAGGTCTCATTAGCAGTCAGACTTGTATAGTTGTCAAATAAACAAAATCTACAATTAACCCAAAAAAAACTCTTCCCCCCGGAAGGTCAATGTTTGTGAAAATGAATCGATCAGAAACCCGGCATCGCCGGCCTTGACCCACCCTCTCCTGGAAGTTGACGACGGTCTCAGCGAGGCGCTGCACGTAGGGGTCGAGCTTGTACGACTCCCAAATTAGTCCGACTCCCTCGGCGACGAGCCCCTGCACCTCCCGCTTGAGCCCCGCGACAAGCAGCGCGATGCTCTGGCGCTCCTCAACGCGCTCGCACGTGCGCTCGTACGTGCGCACGCTCTCGATGAGCGAGATCGCGAACGGGTACAGTTGGTTGGCCTGGTGCGCCTTGTTGACGATGGCGAGCGGCACGCGGAAGCCCAGCCACTTGAGGTTGCGCACCTCCTTCGACAGCGTGATGATCTCAGGCAGGAAGTTCACCTTCAACTTGAGGACCGTGCCCGAGCGGGTGCGCGCGCGCGTGGACTCGATGGCGAAGATGCGGCCCGTCACGCCGAGGTTACGCTGCTGCACCTTGCGAGCCCAGTCATCGAAGATGTCCTGCGTGCTCAGCTTCACGCGGAACGAGTCGCCGTCCTGCTTCAGCTTCTGGCCCTCCACGTGGTTCTCCCAGCCCTTGCCCAGCACGTCCTCCACGCGCTTCATGTAAGCCGTGAGCTGCCGGTCAATCTGCTTCGCCCATATGATGGAGCCCGACACGGGCGGGAGGTCGCGCACGTGGCTCATGCGGCACGCCTGGCTCTGCGGGTATTGCACTGCAAGATAAGAGCACGCGGCGGACAGAGGGACACTTAGCTGCGGCCTTCTCAATGAACGTTCTTGGATATTCCACACAAATATGTGCACTTTGGGCATTAACACTGAACAGTAAGAATTCTAAATGTGCCTTAGTGTGAATGAATAACACTCGGCCATGAACACCAACCCCTAATAATCATATATATGGGAGCCTGAGGCTGGCTCTAGAGAACACCGAACCCTAAAGGTCACAGAGTTTGGCTCTCTGAGCCACAGGTATAATAACTGAATACAAGAATCCTTCAATTCAGACTGAGCCTCAGTCGTACAAATAATGACGATGCCTGCTGTGCGTGACATCACACACACAATTTATTAAATACAGGTCTGGCAAGGAAACAAGGGTGTATTGCGGCTATCATCAGTTGTACCCTCCTCAACACCTGGCCCCTGCCAGACCAGGGGCGGCACTCCCCGCGCTCTTCACCTTTGAACTTGTTGTGCAGAGACTCAATGTCGTCCTTGACGCGCTGGATGAGCTGTGTTTGGTACTCGCGGATCGCCCCGCGGATGTGCGGGCGCACGAAGAGGGCATTGAAGCGCGAGAAGATGCGGAACATCTCATTAGCGTTCTTGGCCGTGCCGAGCTGGTCGCGCAGCCGCGACGTGATGCACGTCTCCACTCGGTCGATGCGCTCCTCGTAGCGCTTGATGGCCCCCTCCCACATCTCCGAGCCCTCCTTCGACACGTCCAGGCCGTCCACCTCCTTCACGTGCTCGTAGGCCAGGTTCACCTCCTCGATGGCGGTGGCGTCGGCGGCATTGAGGGCGTCGCCGATGCCCTGCTCCACCAGCTCGGTGCCGCTCGGCTGGGAGCTTGGAGCACTCTGCTAATGTACACAAAGACAAAGATCCCCCGTATAGCCTTAACAGACTGTTGGGGAAAGTGCTGTTAGCGAGCACATATGAAGGCCGGCATGGCCCACGAGGGGGTGGGTGGCCAGCACCACGCCCGGCCACATTTGTCTTCCTAGTGGCAATGTTTACACACAGCACCAGGTACTCATTTGAGGCCGAATCGACCTAGGGGAGGCCCAGGACCAGTTTAGATAACCATCACTGATATTGGCCGTGAGCAGGAATCAAACTCGGATTGCCAGGTTCGTAGTGCAGTGCGCTAACCACGACACTTCCGCTCCCCACTGATGTATGCACACAAACACAGGCGTATGTGTTTGCCCGGAACTCTGGCTGCATCTACCATAACCATCATCAATACATCACTATAAGCATCATTAAACAATTACATTCTTTAGTCCTAATTATAATGTCTAGTCAGCACTGCAGTGAGCAGTGCACCACCTTGTGCCACAAAAACAACCATGGAAAATAACATCGCAGGACTACTGTAAAATCTCTTCAACAGGGCTCTTATATTAACACACGGGTTAATTAACATCTCTCCAATTGAACACCTCATCTCCAGACGGGAAATAACAAAAAAAACATAAAATAAAGCAAGCAAAAAGACAAAGAAAACTCTAGGAGAACACAGAGGCGTGCTCGCTACCTGGGGGCGCAGAACACGCACGATGACGGCGCGCAGCTGCTCGTGCTGCCGACGGAACTTGCGCATCTGCTCCAGCCGGGCCTGCAGGCGACGGTGCGCGGGAGTGATGCGCCACACCATGCGGAGGTGCTCATCCCGCTGGCGCCGCACGATATCACGCAGCAGCACCTGCAGCTTCTCGTACTCGTCGTCCCATGTCTGGAACACTTCGAAGCACACCACCATCACCTGTCCCGCATGGGGCACAGCGACGCGACAATCAGCTTCGTCGTCATCATCGTTAGCCTTATTTATACCATGCCTCCCGTGCACACGATTTGACAGCCAGCTGACGTCCATCGCACATGGAAAAACACAAGCACCAAGCGATCAAATGCATCTCTTGTCGAGCCACGCAAGGCAGTCACCGGCGTTCGGTTCAACAACTCGCGTACGCCCAACAGTTGTCAATCAAATTTCCATTGACACCCCTAATTTTACGTGAACCCAACTTAAAAGACAACAAAAAACAAATAGGGTCACTACCACACTACCCCCCCTGCACCCACCAACCCTCAGCCTCCACTACCACCCCCCACAACTCCGCCTCTCCCAACTCACCTTTTCGAACTCCTCGTAGGAGATGTGCATGAGCTTGCGCGTGCCCAGCACCTTGAGCAACTGTGCACTGAGGTCGCGCGAGATGGCCTCGACCAGCCGCAGGGCACGCTGGATCGGGTATTTGGTGTTGCGAATCTTGCGCAGGTGGGTGAAGATGGCGAGCAGCGCCACACGGATGCGGTCGAGCTCCGTGGCCGAGAGGAGGTCGTTGAGAGGGAAGTCCTTCATGAGAGGGTTGTAGTCGTTCACCATCTCAAGGGCCTGTTTTAGGCCTGCAAGCACAGGGGACATGGTAGGAAGGACCAGAGAAGGGAGATAAAGATGGAAAAAACAAAATATTTACCCTGGCATTGAAACTCTTTTTATATTGCCGTTCCTAAACCCTCACGCATATATATCCAAGTGATCGAAGCAAACAACTTCTTGGATCAATTAGGGATACTATTACCCTCCACCACCCATTGACGTTATAAATACATTATCTAAACCCAAAATAAACCATTTACTCTTTTATTTTACCATGCAAGGCACACCGAGCTATTTTTAGAAGCAACCTGGCCACAAATGATAGCTCAAAAAAGTGACTTATCACATGGTAATTTGCAGCAGCCAAATACTCTAAACGCATGTTTCTAAATGAGAAGGGAAAAACCGGAGGACCTGACCTGGAGAAAATCCACGCGACCACGGGAAGAACGTGTAAACTCCAAATAAGCAGAGGAGTCAGGGTCGGGATCGAACCCATGTCCTCCTTATACCATGCGATGTAGTCAACATCTCGCCACCATGGCACCCCTAACTAATTAGGAATGACTAGACTCTTGAAAAAGCGAGCGAGCGAGCTATGAGCGAGTCAGCCAGCGTGCGCAAGTTGGCCAGGACGACGTCGCACCCGTGTCGGTGTCGAAGCTGACAGTGGCGAAGAATCTCTTTCCATGCTTGAGGATGTCGAGCGTAAGCAGCACCTCGGGGCTCTCTCGTTTCTCCTGGATGCGGTAGAGCGCTCGCTCCAGGTTCAGCCAGAAGCTGATCTCCTGCAGCGCCGTTCCCGAAGCCGGATCGCGATCCAGTTTTGTGACCTGGTGTGCATGGCACGAACCGGGCAGGCAACGTCAGCCGAGTTCGATCACAAACAATCGCACGGTTTATAATCGAGTTGAAATATCGGATTATTTAAGTAATCTATTGCTCTAGCTATTATAGATTTAATTTCGAATAATCTGCGAACATGAATATAATTAGAAACAAGTCCCAGCTGATCCCAGGTGCTATTGTAAGTGTGGTGATGGGTGGCACTTGATAGCGTCATCGGCATCAGCCGCGCCATGTTGGGCATGGCTTACAGGGGAATTTTCTACATTCGGCAGGCAGGATGTAAGGTTGGCAAGTATTTTTAAAGGGGCCGAAGTAATCAACCACAAAAAAGTAGATGATTACAATTATTCGTCAATTAATGAAACCAATCAACAAATAATTTCAACCCTACTTTACAAGTTTGTGCGAGTCAGTGTATGTCCCCTGCCACCCCACCCACCGGAGCACCCATCACGCTCACCTTCTGGATCTCCCTGATCCAGCGGTTGACGCCAGCCTGCAGCTGGTTGAGGAAGGTGGCGTCGTCCACACGGTCGCCAAAATCCGCCACCTTGGCCTTCTCGTCGCGCTCGAGACTCTGCCGCAGCACAGAGCTCACGGTGGCATGGATGGGCAGGCTGATCTCGGGGATCTCGATGTTCTGCTGCAGGTGCAGGAGACCCATCTCCAGCTCCGCAATCTTCTTCTCCACCGACGGCGCCATCTTGTCGCCGTCCCTTTGTGAATTGCAGAAGGCTCATCATGACTTTCTGCATGTATATAATCGGCTAGTATGAGAAAAAGTTACCACGTTACATTTTATATCTGATTGGACAATAGATGTTTACTGAGAGGATGCCAACAAAAAAACAAATGGCTCGTCGTCTGAGTGTCGCAGGCTGTCTGACAAAATCGAATAATGAAGCTTCATTTAACAGAAAAAAGCATACTTTAAAATCTGTCAAGTTCACCTTCTAGCAATGTCACTCATACATTTTAACACAACAGTGCTGTCACTATAGTTGCATGATGGAGCACATTCAGAAAGCTTCAAAAGCGATTTGTTTTGGGGGGGGGAGGGGATGGGAGGCGACTATATATCTTTTCCAAATGTCTTCTTCTTTATATAATTTAACAGCATAAAAAATTGTTTCATCCCACTGTAGTGCTGGCTAAATCAATCCTCGAGTAGTCTCCTTCCATACCCTTCAGAACAGTGTTAATTATTTAAGGATCCTACACATCACAGCATCTGCTGTGGATGAAAATGGCTCTGCGCTGGGGCTTACAAAGAGGGCGACAAGTTCACCCTAACCCGATTTAACCTCATCTCGGCCTCGTTACGACAAACCTCATTATAAGCAATCAAATCGTAATCCCGGTTGGGTAGACCGCCTGCACACACCCGAATGACGCAAGGGGAAATGCACCACAAAAAACAAAGAGCTCTCTCTAAACTCGTCTCAACTTGCAGAGAGAAACATAGGCTGTATCTCAGACTGTTTTATAAATTAGAAGTTTTGGGAATTATGGAAAACAAGGTCATGCTCAGGCACTGGCGGAGCCAATGGGGGGGGGGGGGTGGTACGTGCCCCCCCAATGATCCAATCGAAATCTCTAATTTCAATCGGATTATTGGGGTTTATTAGTAATAAATCGGCATTTTGCGACCCCCACTGCCACTGTGTAGCATATTATTATGTGCTGGGGACTCTATGAGATGATATGACAATAGTCTGAGTCCATAATTGGCAATAAGAAACGGCAAATAAGTTATAAGTGAATCAGAATTGTGCGCAGTTGCGTATAAAGTACATGACTTCCCTGAAGGCATACCTTCAGCGAGCGCAATGCCAATCACACGCGGTTCGAATTCGACCCTCGATCGATGGCTGCGCCATCGCCGCACACACGTCGAATAAAAATAAGGGGCAAGTCCTTACTTTTAACAACTCCTATCATTTTTCATTGCTGGAGGGGTTGCCCCCCCTACCTGAAAATCCTGGCTCCGCCATTGTGCTCAGGAGCACTCACAGCAGTGTCATCAACTTATCAGAAGAGACCGGAGGCCAAAGTGACATTATTTAACCGTAACTTTAAATACTCTTTTGTTATTGATGGAGGTTCAAACTCATGTCACACACCACAGGACATACCACCCGAGGTAAACTAGTAGATAAGACCTTTCAGTTGCTTCTCTTTCTTTATGGGTTAAATGCACAAATATTTTTTAATGAGCATGCAACGATTTGTTTTGATAGAGCACCCTCCTATACTCTGGCACGTCTCAAATTAACAAAACTGTACAAATTACAAAAAATAATCGATTCTGGAATCGAAAGGCAACACCAAAATTGTAACAATAAAATCACTTGGAAGGGTGGGGGTGCGGGGTTTCATCACCAGATACCCCATTCGTCATCGCATGCCCCAGAATTATAAAAGATCAACGATTATAGCAAGGCGAAGCCACCACCGCGGGCGCACCTGTCGGCCCTGCTCGTCTCGCGGATGTAGGACTTGAAGAAGGGCGCCACGGTGTTGCTGATGTACGAGTGCAGAGTCTCGTAGGGTGAGTCGTCGCTCAGCGTCATCACACGCAGCTGATTCCTGATGGGCTTGTCGGCGTCGATCACAGCCGAGCGCTTAACAAAGGCCAGGCTGTCATGACAGGCACACACACAAAACAAGATACAAAGATCCTCCTATATAGCCCGAACAGACTGCTTGAGGCTAGTGCTGTTAGCAAGCACCTATGAAGGCTGGCACGGTACACGAGGGGGCAGGTGGCCAGCACTACGCCCGGCCGCATTTGTCTTCCTAGTGACGATGTTTACACACCGCACCAGGTACTCATTTGAGGCTGAGCCGACCTAGAGGAGGCCCACAATCGGTTCAGATAATAGTCACTGGTGTTGGCCGTGAGCGTATTTAATGTGTCGCTGTACTCTGATGTAGGAGAAAACATTTATCCAAAAGTCTATTTTATTAAGTAGAACGTGTTGTCTATATTTATTTAAAGTTGCGCATTTTGATGTGACGTCACATTTATCACCCCCCCCCCTCGTCACACATCGTCACAAATGTCTGACCCCCCCCCCCAGGTGCGTGACGTCATTTATAGACGGCCCCTATGCAGATTAGACAAACCAGGAAATTCATGAAAAATGCTGGATTGCGGATTCAAACTTTTTAAACATTTCAGGCAGCATTAGAATACTGCGTGTTGCCCATTAAGACGGCACCTGTTCGACTTGATGCCGTAATGGACGTCGCTGGTGATTTTGTAGAAGGCGGCGGTCTCTTTTTCTTCATCTTCGCCCACATCCTCTGCTCAACGACCACAAAAACAAACTCAACACTGCATCCACAGCCACCACCTTGCAATTGCACCAATAGCACCTTTCTCCATCATCTTTAATCTCCTCCATCACCACCTCCATAGCCATTCCTCAACCAGCTCCATCACTTCCGAGTTAATAAACCCCTCTATCACCTGCTACATTACCAGTCCCATCACCTCCTCCACCTCCACTCCCACTATAACCCCCTCATTCACCTCCTCCATGACCACTATATCACCTCCTCCATCGCCGGCTCCACCACTGCCTTCGAGGCTGAGCCGACCTACATAACCGGTTCAGATAATAGTCACTGGTGTTGGCCGTGAGCGGGAATCAAACTCGGGTCGCCGGGTTCATAGCGCAACGCGCTAACCGCTGCACCACCGCTCCCCACGACAACAACGACGCGGCCATTGGCCGCTTGGGGGCGGTGACGTCACCACGGCGCTTGTGCCAGGCCAAGTGCACTTTGAAGTTGACGTGAGGGTGTCGAAGGCTCGCTGCTGGCAAGAGGTCGCGGGGTAGACCCTCCCCGGTGCCATGGGTTGACTGACAGATGACTGACAGATGCAAAACAAACATCCCCTGTGTAACATTAACAGACTGTAGTGGTTAATGCTGCTAACGAGTAGCACCATTGAAGGCCGGCACGGCACACGGGGGGCGTGACCAGCACCACGCCCAGCCGCCTTTGTCTCTTCCCGGTGGCGATGTTTAACTACACACAGTACCAGGTACTAATTTGAAGCCGAGTCGACCTAGGGGGGGAGGGGGGGGGGCCCAGGACCGGTTCAAATAATGGTCGCTGGCCGTGAGCGGGAAACGAACCCGTGTGGCCGGGTTCGTAGCGCGGCGCGTAAACCGCTCCACCGCCGCTCAGGTGCCGTGGGGGTTGACCGACTGAGATGACTGGCAGATCCACCACCGCCACCACAGGCCCCAGTTACCACTTTCCCTCAGCGCGCGCACCCAACGGGGCAATGCCCTCTCTCACCCTTGAGCATGGTCCTCTCCACGAGCAGCGTGTGCACCTGCGCGTCCGCCAGGAACTTCTTCATCACCTCCACGCTCTGCTTGTCCTCGAGCGCCGCCGAGAGTCCCGGCGCCTCGCGCCCTCCATTCTCGAGCAGCAGCGGCACCAGGCTCCGCAGGAAGTTCTGCAGCACCACGGGCTCGGCCACGTTCTGCACGGCCAACGGCGGGGCCGCCACCTCGCCTCCGTCGTCGGCCATAACGTCGTGTGGTCCCCCGAAGCCGAGGAAATCAAACTCAGGTTTGCCCAACAAGCGGTCACCGGTCGCTGCTGTTTACCGCACCGGGCCGCAGAAGACAGCGGCTGATGGCGGACGAGAAGAAGGGAGGGGGGGGGGCGAAGGGCGGGGCGAAGGGCGGGGAGTAAAGCGCCAAACCGCGCCTACCCTCAATTCCCATTGGCCGGCACGGTTCCCGCCAACACCGATGATTGACGGTGGGAAACCACGCCCCTCCGGCTTTCGATTGGACGCGGGATGGGCGGCGCCCGCGCTCATTGGGCGAGCGGTCCCAGTCACGTGGTGATGGGGACGGTTTATTCTAATTTTTTTGAGGGGATCGATTGAGCCCGTGGAGGGGGGCGGAGTCGAGAAGACCGCGGGGTCTGAGGCTCGTGCTATAATTTTAACACGTAGTAGGGTAACGCGACTAATATCATCCGTAAAATATAGGGTTTGTTTAGTGTGAGATCGCGTAAATATAAATATGTCGTTAAAGCCCACCACCACCCGACACAGCCAGTTCGCAAGATTTGTCACGTAAACAGAACGTGCCAAGAGGCCGTCCATAAATGACGTCACGCACCTGGGGGGGGGGGGGGGGGCAGACATTTGTGACGATGGGTGACGAGGGGGGTGGTTGAGAAATGTGACGTCACGTCAAAATGCGCAACTTTAAATAAATATAGAATTGTTAACAACACTCATTGTTATAACAACACTCCTACAGCATCAGAGTGCAGCGCCACATTAAATACGCACTCACAATGACAATAGTCTTCTTGGTTCTTTCGGTAAAGTGACGTAGAATGTAAATAAAACAATAAAAATAAAACATAACAAAATAAAATTCTCACGACGTTTCGGCCACAACACAGGTAGCCTTCTTCAGGTGAAGAAACATGACTGTCTAGAAGACAGCGCTTGAGTGAACACTGCCAAGCATGGACCGTGTCTTTTAAGCTGTGTGGGCTGAATTAACATGTGAATTAGCATGTGACCCAGCACCACCACCGGAGCAGAGGAGGGGCGCTGGGTGCACATTAAAGCAAAACAGCCACAGTGAGCTGCTCTGTCCTGTGTTGCGTTATAACTATGTTATAAACTGGACTACTATACAATGCAATAATATACCTTCCAATCTAAACTACATGGTACAATATCATATCCATAGACAAATTCCACCTTTTAATTATACATTGCGCTACTATACACTACCCTATACCACGCTGCTGTATATTCACTATACAATTACGATACTATATATTGCCTTATGAATTATGTTAAACATTACAATGTTATACTATTTATTATTATACCACATGCTATAAACCATACCATTGACCATCGTGTGAAAGGTATTAAGCGCCAGTGCCAGCGAATGGACTGCGGTCTGAAGATCACCGTAAAATACAATCAATTAAGACCCGAAAAGGTTTATAACATCTTTCCAATGGTTACTAAGCCAGAATCCATTTTCTCGGTTGAAATTGTCTCTGTGTTTGTATATGTGGATGGCCTCATGAACGAATCTCTCATGGTAGCCAGAGAACCTCCGTCATGGAGAAGTCAATGTCATGTGAACCCACTGAATTATAACAGTGATCTGCCACGGCTGAGGAATTCGTCCTATCGTGTTTCAAGTCTCCTTTATGTTCACGGATGCGGTCCGAGATATGTCGTTTGGTTTAACCAATGTAGCTGCTACCACAGAGGCAAACTAGTTTGTAAACGCTTGGGTACTGTATGTCTGGAACTACATCTTTTACAGACGGAACCAGATCACGGATTTTATGTACTGTGTTATTCAAGATTTTGGAGATCTTTTTTGTGACCCCCGCAATGTAGGGTAATGTGATGGTTTTGAATGGCTCCTCAAGAGGATCTATCTTCATGACTGGAGTGATGGCTTTGCGGATTGTGTAGTCGGAGTAACCATTCGCCTTGAGAGCTTGGTGTACGTCCTTGAGTTCACTGGCAATGTGTTCCTGGCCGGAAATGCATTGGACTCTATGGTATAGAGTCTTGATGAGGGAGTTCTTCAAGGATAGATGGTGGTGGGAATCTGGTTTTAAGTAAGCATTCGTATGGGTAGCTTTCCTGTAGACAGAGTGGCTCATTGAACCATCAGGTCTCCTGTTAATTAGGACATCCAAAAAAGGTAGCTTGCCATCTTTTTCGACTGCCATGGTAAATCTGATAGCTGGGTGTATGGAATTGATGTGGTTGAGGAATTGGTCTAGAGTAGGCCGGCCATGTAGCCAGATGACAAAAGTGTCATCCACTTACCTTCTACGTGACTTTACCGAAAGAACCAAGAATGCGATTTGAAGCATGTTTTATTTTCAAAATGGAAATATGTTTTTTTTTTGGGGGGGAGGCAGAGTTTTGTGACGTCATATTTGAGGGGGGGGGGGTGTTCTGGTGTCCTAATTAAAAGGAGACCTGATGGTTCAATGAGCCACTCTGTCTACAGGAAAGCTACCCATACGGATGCTTACTTAAAACCGGATTCCCACCACCATCCATCCCAGAAGAACTCCCTCATCAAGACTCTATACCATAGAGCCCAATGCATTTCCGACCAGGAACATATTGCCAGTGAACTCAAGCACGTACACCAAGCTCTCAAGGCTAATGGTTACTCCGACTACACAATCCGCAAAGCTATCACTCCAACCATGAAGAAGGACCCTCTTGAGGAGCCATTCAAAACCATCACTTTACCCTACATTGCGGGGATCACAAAAAATATTTCCAAAATTATTGAATAAACACAAGATCCAGGTCCGATTCAACACATTACATAAAATCCGTGATCTGGTTCCATCTGTAAAAGATGTGATTCCGGACATACAGTACCCTGGCGTCTACAAACTAAGTTTCCTCTGTGGTAGTAGTTACATTGGAGAAACCAAACGACATGTCTCGGACCGCATCCGTAAACACAAAGCAGACCTAATACACGGTAGGACCAACACCTCGGCCGTGGCAGATCACTGTTATAATTCAGTAGGCTTAATTGACATTGACTTCTCCAAGACAGAGGTTATCTGCAAGCCATCTGGCTACCATGAGAGATTCGTTCATGAGGCTATCCACATATACAAACACAGAGACAATTTCAACCGAGAAGATGGAATTTGGCTTAGCAATCATTGGAAGGATTTGATACACCATTTCGGGTCTTAATTGATTGTTCACGCTTATGGTGGCTTTCAGACCGCATCCATTATTTTCGTCTCCCCCCTCCTCTTTCCGAACATAGATGGACTCGTACATCTGAATAACTGCCAAATCGCTCTCTGTGGTGCTAACGTTAAAAAAAACGCCACTTTTTTCAAATTTTCTTGCTGTGGTTTTCACACCTGATGATGATTGCTTGTGTTGCAGTCGAAACGTCGTGAGAATTTTATTGTTTTATATTTTCATTATTTTATTGTTTCCCTTCTACGTGGTGACTTTACCGAAAGAACCAAGAATATGAATCCCTGCAGTCACGAAAGCTTTAAATTAAAAATTATGCTTCAAATCGCTTTAAGCTATTGTCATTGTAGTGCGTATTCAATATGGCGCTGCACTCTGATGTTGTAGGAGTGTTGTTATAACAATTAGTGTTGTTAACAATTCTAGATTTATTTAAAGTTGTGCATTTTGTTGTGACGTCACATTTCTCAAACCCCCCCTCGTCACACATCGTCACAAATATCTGACCCCCCCCCACCCCCCCCCCCCCAGGTGCGTGACGTAATTTGTGGACGGCCCCCTTTGTGTAGAATATAAGTTTATACAATTGTAGTGACATCGATGGTGTCACTTTATGGTGCCGGTCCGACAGGGCCACGGCACGCAATGCACTGGCATAGCGGGCACCCCGTAGGCGGGTGTAGTACCAGCCCTAGCGGGGCTTGGCGTGCGCTGGGATAGCGCGGGCACCACACATAGCGTGCAGTGCGGGCTCCCACAAGGGGGGAGTAGGAGAGTGTCAGCCCAGGGGCAGGGTTGCCCCGGGCCATGGCACTCTGGTTGACCCCGCAGACACGTGATCTGGAGTGTCCACAGAGAAGCCCCCAGGTGGGGGGGCTAGGGGGTGATCACGTGTCCGGGGAGAGCTCTCGAGAGGGATCGAGAGGGAGCTGGAAGGCTCCAGAAGGGGGACGGGGCCGAGGGCGGAGCAGCCCCGACCCATGGAGGGATATGAGGCGGGTCCCCGAGACGGACCGGGGTCGCTACATCCTCCAAGCTGAAGCTCCACGTCCACAAGCTGAAGCTCTACTTCCTGCAAGACGTCAACACGTGGTCGAGGACCCGAGTGAGAGGGCCCGACCCTTCGTAGCTGTAACACCTCAGTATAGTGTAGTTCGCTGGATTGTCACCACCCTCGGCTGTATCTGGTGAAGGGGGCAGTTACCCCTTTGTGTTAGGTGTTGATGTTATAATAAAGGTGTTGCCTCCAAAGAACAACGTTTGCGACTCAGTTGGACTCATTACACAATTAAACAGACAATATGTCACCTTCCTATATCTGACCCTCCACGTAAAAAGCTATGAGTACTGTTTACACTTCCGTTGGCCACACGGCCTTGTTGGAGTAATTTTTCCAGCCGTCATGATTTAATATTGTAACAGTACAAGCAAACTGGGCAGGTCTTGACATTTCAAGTGTATCATCATCCGTCAGATTTGTTTAGGGGCCGTCCATAAATGACGTCACGCACCTAGGGGTGGGGGGGTCAGATATTTGTGACGATGTGCGACGACGGGAGGGGTTTGAGAAATGGACGTCACATCAAAATGCACAACTTTATATAAATATAGACAACACGTTCTACTTAATTAAATAGACTTTAATAAAATTTTCTCCTACAACATTAGAGTGCATCGCCACATTAAATACGCACAATGACAATAGTTTAAAGCAGAGCCTTGTGACGTCATATTTGAGGGGGGTCTGACAAAATCGTCCAAAATCGCGTGACGTCATTTATGGACGGCCCCATATTATGAATTATATTGGTCGCGAAAGCTTACGTGTTAAACGGGTTACACTTCGATACCAAGGTGGCTCAGTAAAACCAATTATGTGAAATGGACAGGAGATGGCAGATTTATGTTTAATCGTGCACGGCTGGTCCAGACGTCTTGAGCCCCTCCCCCCACCCTTTATGTAAGTCTGTAAAATGTAATCTCTTTTGCATAACAAAAATGACTAAGCCAAGAAAATTAATAGGGGTCACCAGACATCTGGACGATTCTGTATAGTGCAGGTGTTGGCATCCTGCGGCTCTTTAAGGGACTGCTTAGTGACGCTATACATTTAGGACCGTCTCGAATTCACATGCACTGTGGTTCTTGAAATATTGATACGATAGTGTATGCAAGTGAGTCAAGGAACCTTCTGAAACTGTATTAAGACTCGGATTTTGCCCATTATAATAAATTATAACATTACTGTACAGTATTATTATTCTGCCAAGGCACTGAGCCCGCACTTGAGATAAATGGGATAGAATCGGTTTCATCCATCCGTGATTAAATCGGTTTAAGTGCAGCGTGTTTGTGGTCTGAGCCCTGTTTTACAAAAAAACCCCAGAACACCAATTTATTTCATTTAAATCTACTCATTATTATCTCTAAAAACTATAAAATGTTTGGTGTGCCATAAAATACTAATATACTGTGTACATACTAGAGCACGAGAGTGAATGAAATGTATTGTGGAGACCTGAAAAGTTGTGGTAATTTTCGATGGGGAATTCTCTCCAATGGGGTGATGTTGCGCTGCTTATGCAAGAGTTCCAAAAAGAAATGGCTTAAATCCAATGGTGCGATACTAATAAGCACAATTTGGGGATATTTATAACAAGTTCTACCAAGTATGCAAAATGTGGATGCGCTGGACCGTATAATGAACTGGCTCATACGTCCTCTTAAGCCACTGTTTTATTCATCTACACCCCAGAATTATAAATTGAGCCATTGGTAAATCGGATATACTCAGCTTACCCATGGATAATAAAATGTATCTGGAAGAAAAAAATGTCCTATTATCCATGCGAAACCGCCAATCATGCACGCAAATTCCAAGCCACAAGCAATAACAACATGCCATGAAGTTCCAACTTCATCAGCACGGATGAGGAGTTTCACTGCACATGAAAACAGGGGACCTCAAAACATGTATATATATTTAAAGTGGTGTAATTCTTTGCATATTTATTCAGTTTAATATATTTGCTCTGTAATTACATTGCACGATAACTCAGAACTCCAATATTTGTCGAGCAGCAATATACATTAAAACAGCAAGAGGAAATGCAACTTTACAAGAGAAAATTTTATTTTAGAAAATGTATGTACATTTGAGATGATTAGAAACTTTCAGCATCAGGAAAGAAATTGCAATAAATAAACAAAACCGGTGCTCCATTATGTAAGGACATCTCATTTGCCGTCTCTTTTTTCTTTGACACTCCCTTAACAAAAACTTCACAGCACTTCGGTATCACCGAGACTTTGTACCCGGGGTATGTGACAACCCGTTTCCCGTTTATCACTTTGAAGCGCAGCGTTGTTGTGTAAACGAGAGAAAGGGGGCAATGGCGGGCACTTTGGGACCGGGGATAACGTTAATCTTTCCAAGGCGAGGCATCGACACGTGCGGCATGTCGATACATTTCGTAAATGGAATAAAATATTTTTTTTACTGTGGGGGAAAAAAAGGTGGCCTGCCCAATCAACCAGACTGGCAGTTTGGCCAGCTCTTGACTTAAAATATCATGAAGGTACCATCAGAGGGGTTGGGAGGGAAGACGAGCAAGAAGTTACACCCATATCCTACCCTCACACCGATTTGACATTTTAAGTATAATGAAGCATTGCTGCGCTTCTCAATGCCATGAGGAACCACTCCATCCATTCCTCCGGGCCATAGGGCTCTTTAAAATACCAGCAATTCCCCCAAAATCAGCAGCTCCCAGAAACACAAGTAATTCATACATTAAAACCGGGGTGAGAGTGGAGGTTATAAACTTCAAATTTACATCATATAGTTTACACTACAACTCAACAGTCCATACACCGAGGGGCTATCGCAAACCCTATGGTAGGCAGAAATCATGCAATGATCAGCGTTAGTTATTACACCCTACGCACCTTATGATTTAGTTGAATGCGTCCATTCTAATGGTCAGTTGTAGAACGGGAATGGACTGAGGACACCACGCATACACAGTACAGTTCCCGCCCATAAACGTTCTGTTTTCCCGAGATGCCAGTTTGTTCAACATCTGGTGATAGGCTCAATGAAGCTTTATGTAAAATAAGGGGAATGTATAGTTATGTAAAACCAATGCCGTCCACAACACAATGACACTTTTATTTCACACGCATCTGAAGACAGTAGTTTCCAGGCAAAGGAACAAAACAAAAAATTGAGAAGCCTCTCTGCCTGATATGATCGGAATGCCCTGATGGTACCTGCGTACACATTTATCAACGAATGCTCTTGGTCTCAGATATGCTACTACTCGCAGCATTACACGTTTTTGTCATGCCCAATGGTCTGCAATCAGATTAGAATGGTGTGAAAATTGAGTCTTAAAATTGCATACTGCACCGTTGTCACAAATGACCCAAGACTACTTGGCATGCAAATAGATGTGAAGCTGGAGAGCAAGCAAGCGTGACCAAGCCAAATCAAATGCAGCATTTGTGCCCTTAGGTGGAATACAAACCCAGTACTGGCTGGGAGTACTATCCCGTGGTAGCAAATATCTAGCAACGAAATACAGTAGCATATGCTGTGACTTCAATGTGAACCCTTTCATGCTGCCAAACAGCCAAACAATGATACATCTTTAAAGCAAACTGTGCAACCATTCCTCCTGGCAACCTTTTATAAAATTCATTGTAAACTATACTATGCAGTGCAAAATAAAACAAAATTTCCATGTCAATACATAGCCCTGATAATATTTACCAAGAGTATGAGCCACTGTTCCATGCCTTGTTTTGCAATGGAGTGTATGAAAAAAATAACAACTTCTTTTTAAAATGCATTCCTTATTCGTATAAAAAGAAATTCCTCACTGTGAGCTGGTGGTCTGTGGCTGGGGTGGCTGCTTTAAGAGAATCAGCCAGAGCTGAGCGTGTGGGTTTGATGTTGGATGTCATTCAGGGGAAATGGGTTAAAGAGGAGCTGGACAGCGCGACATTGGCAGGGGATCAAGGGGAGGAAGACGACATGCAGTGAAGCCAGTCCTCAGTCATCCTGGTCCATGTACGTTTCGCCGTAACCCGAATCTGTTCGCGAGCCCTGGCGGCGGCGTGAGTATTTCAGCTGCAGGATGTCGCCGATCTCGTCGACGGCAGCCAGTGTCTGGTGAAAAGCAAAAAAAATGGCACTTTTTAGCATCACAAGATCTAATTTATTTATTTAGCCAAGTGAGAGACCTAGATCACCCAAATGACAAAAATAATGTATTAAGTGCAGCAAAAGCAAATGGAAATCAGAACAAAAACTGGTTTACAAAAATACTGAAAATACTAAAGAAATGAACGTTGAATAAATTACATCTCCTGTAACGTACATTGGCCCAGATGGTTAAAGCCACGGCACAACAAGTGTGACACACGACTCATACCTCGTCAAGCATTTCCCGCGTGTGTGCAGCAGATATACAGAAGCGAGCACGTGACTCGATGATGGGTGTCGCGGGGAATCCCACAACCACCACACCAATGTTCCTCTTCATCATCTCACGGCCGAAAGCTCTGCAAATTTGCAATCAAAAGGAAGGGGAGCAGCAGAGGGGGACACATCCCAGCACAACGACAACACTGGCACCTAACCTATACTACCATACTACCCACAAGACATGCATGCAACCCTTGATGATTTTCAGAGATCACGAGTTCACAAAGCAATTAACAATGTAATTGTTTTAAATCACGTTTGTAGGTAGTGGAAGCCGTTTTATACAGCCTGCCTTGTTGTATGCTGCTTTCTTAGGTCCTTCCTCAGTGGGACAACAGTTCTCTCTTGCACAGTCTGGTCAGTTGACATGCAGTTCCATTAATCATTGATTATGACTTTTATCATAAAGCAAACAATGAACTAAACAATAATAACACCATGATGTTCAGTCTGAGAAGAAGTGTAAACAAGATAATGGTGCAAAGAGAAAGGCAAGGTTGTTGAGAGAACTACAAAAATAGAAATAAAAGTTCCATGACCTGGCTTCGAAAGGAAAGTTACCGGATAGCACACATTCGGCACTGCAAATCGGGCATGGAGCAGCGGGGGTCAACAAGGCAGGGGTTCTCAACGCTACGCGAGACTGGATTGGGGGTGACAGCCAACCCACTCACGGCCCAAATTCACCACTAGAGCACTCAGTGGCGAGTCTGGCGATGGCTGCCGGTGGTGATCAAATCAGCCACAGACAAACATCAGACACGACCCCTCGACTCAGGAAGGTTTTAGTCAACCACGAGGGTCCGAACGGCAGAGAGTGGAGGTCAAATGAGAGGACCAGTTGGGGTCACTCTTGTTACCAGAGACCAGGTGACGCTACCAACTCTGCCGCCGCCACCACGTGCTGAAGGCAGTGATTTAGGGCCGCGAAGTGGGCCAGGGGACCCCTCCCGGAACGTCACGCCGAGATCCCTCGGCCCGCTGACCCCCTCTGCTCCGTACCCAATTTTGGCGGGCATGTACAGCATGACGGGAACGACGGGCGAGTCCTCGTTGCCATAGGTGATGAAGCCCATCTCGCGTATGCGCCGGCGAAAGTAGCGCGTGTTCTCCGCAAGCTGTCGGATGCGTTGGGCGCCTACGGGGGTGGTAAGGCACGTACACACACACACACTTTCGTGACCAATCTGTTTTATAAAATGAACATTTTCAAAATACAAGGCAACAAATTAATCATTTTAAGCAACATAGCACTTATTTTATACAGAAATGTATCAATAATTCCCTGGGGCAGTACATAATTCCTAAACTATTCAGATGGATATACTATGACGGCCAAGCCACTGTGATAGAAACAAAATTGAAAAACATGTGGCGCAATAAGTCTAGCGGTTGAAACACCTCTCACGTTACACCCCCTCCCTTCCCTTCAACCCTTAAATTAACAACCAGAAGTAACATTGACGATAGAGGCAGGAGGGGATGAGAAGTACGAGAAATCGTCTGACCAAGAGTAGTGCCGTCCTCTCCCATGATGCACTTCATGGACTGCAGGATCTGCTCGATGATGGGCGGCGACATGGACGTGGCGTAGACGGCGCTGTGCGAGTTCATGCGCAGGTAGTCCACCAGATCCTAGAAGGGGCAGGACACAGATACAAAAAGTGTTAAAGACAAAGTCCTTTTCAATTATTTACCCAGGAAAGCCTCGATGAACCGAGACTTTATAGACGGATCGTGCGCTGCAAGTATTTGGTCAAAGTATCTGCAGAAAAATTAACTGTGCAAATAACACTTAAAAATACAGTACACAAATAGGTCAAAAACCTACTTGCTGCTTTATCATCTATTGCACACGTGATGATTATATGTGATCAACTAACCCTGCCCCCCCCCAAAATTGCTCGAATAAAGATGTGCTTTAAGGATAAATTTTGTGACCGCTTGCTTTCTAAACAATTATTTATCTATTAAAATAAATGTTTTCATTCAAGTTGCATGGATCACACTGTACGTATATGAATAAATTCGTTTCAGTTTTTGAATGTGTAGATTATTCACATGACCTACAGTGAGGGAAAAAAGTATTTGATCCACTGCTGATTTTGTACGTTTGCCCACTGACAAAGAAATGATCAGTCTATAATTTTAATGGTAGGTTTATTTGAACAGTGAGAGACAGAATAACAACAAAAACATCCAGAAAAACACATGTCAAAAATGTTATAAATTGATTTGCATTTTAATGAGGAAAATAAGTATTTGACCCCCTCTCAATCAGAAAGATTTATGGCTCCCAGGTGTCTTTTATACAGGTAACGAGCTGAGATTAGGAGCACACTCTTAAAGGGAGTGGCCCCTAATCTCAGCTTGTTACCTGTATAAAAGACACCTGTCCACAGAAGCAATCAATCAATCAGATTCCAAACTCTCCACCATGGCCAAGACCAAAGAGCTCTCCAAGGATGTCAGGGACAAGATTGTAGACCTACACAAGGCTGGAATGAGCTACAAGACCATTGCCAAGCAGCTTGGTGAGAAGGTGATAACAGTTGGTGCGATTATTCGCAAATGGAAGAAATACAAAAGAACTGTCAATCTCCCTCAGCCTGGGGCTCCATGCAAGATCTCACCTTGTGGAGTTGCAATGATCATGGGAACGGTGAGGAATCAGCCCAGAACTACACGGGAGGATCTTGTCAATGATCTCAAGGCAGCTGGGACCATAGTCACCAAGAAAACAATTGGTAACACACTACGCCGTGAAGGACTGAAATCCTGCAGCGCCCGCAAGGTCCCCCTGCTCAAGAAAGCACATATACATACCCGTCTGAAGTTTGCCAATGAACATCTGAATGATTCAGAGGACAACTGGGTGAAAGTGTTGTGGTCAGATGATGAGACCAAAATGGAGCTCTTTGGCATCAACTCAACTCACTGTGTTTGGAGGAGGAATGCTGCCTATGACCCCAAGAACACCATCCCCACCGTCAAACATGGAGGTGGAAACATTATGCTTTGGGGGTGGTTTTCTGCTAAGGGGACAGGACAACTTCACCGCATCAAAGGAACGATAGACGGGGCCATGTACCGTCAAATCTTGGGTGAGAACCTCCTTCCCTCAGCCAGGGCATTGAAAATGGGTCGTGGATGGGTATTCCAGCATGACAATGACCCAAAACACATGGGCCAAGGCAACAAAGGAGTGGCTCAAGAAGAAGCACATTAAGGTCCTGGAGTGGTCTAGCCAGTCTCCAGACCTTAATCCCATAAAAAAATCTGTGGTGGGAGCTGAAGGTTCGAGTTGCCAAACGTCAGCCTCGAAACCTTAATGACGTGGAGAAGATCTGCAAAGAGGAGTGGGACAAAATCCCTCCTGAGATGTGTCAAACCTGGTGGCCAATTACAAGAAACGTCTGACCTCTGTGATTGCCAACAAGGGTTTTGCCACCAAGTATTAAGTCATGTTTTGCAGAGGGGTCAAATACTCATTTCCCTCACTAAAATGCAAATCAATTTGTAACATTTTTGACATGCGTTTTTCTGGATTTTTTTGTTGTTATTCTGTTTCTTACTGTTGAAATAAACCTACCATTAAAATTATAGACTGATCCTTTCTTTGTCAGTGGGCAAACATACAAAATCAGCAGGGTATCAAATACTTTTTTCCCTCAATGTATGGGGTCACGAGAGGGTGCTACAATTACAATAAACGAAACCAAACAATTATTGCTAAGCACAACCCAAATTCTGACAATTCATGAACTCTCAAAGGGGCCCAAATCATTATAATCCCATCGATTGGTATGGGGGGGGGAGGGGGCTGCCTCATCCCAACCTTCCCTTTCACTGGATACCACTAACTTCCACCCTTGCCCCCTCGACCCACACCTTACGACCGCCGATGTATCCTCCGCAGGCGCCAAAGCTCTTTGTGAAGGTGCCCATCAAGACGTCCACATCCTGGGGGTGCAAGCCAAAATACTCCACGACGCCACGACCCGTGGGCCCCACGGCGCCGATGCTGTGCGCCTCGTCCAAGTATAGGTAGGCCTTGTAGCGTTTCTTCAGCGCCACCACCTCCGGCAGGCGCACAATTGACCCCTCCATGCTGCACGCAGTGGGGAAAAGCAGAAGCCACAGGCGGCTGCGTTAATTCACCGGCTACAGAACGAGCAGGGGATGTGGAGGAGGAGGAAGTGGAGGGGGGCAAAGCCTCCTCGCTGTTGTGTAGCCGTATTCAATCTAACAAAGTCATCCTTCATTTAATACAAATTAAGTCCTTTGCAAGTTCCCAGGAAAGCCTCACTTAGGGCCGAGGTATGCACCACCAACAGCATGCGAGACACCGATGGCACAACGAACAGCAGATATCGTTATATTTTATTTACGTTTCATATTGATATTCTATATGCATGAGTACGTAAGACACAAAGCGGACTCGTGTATGAAATTACATAATAGCACAGACATCCAGACAGAAGCCTCGTTAGTATTCTTAGGGTTTGTCATCAATGCCTATTATTCTTAGGGTTTGTCATCAATGCCTAAAGTTCAAAGACAAAATCATGACTGTAAAAGTTGATTATTGATGCCGGATCCTTGCAGTACAGGATGCATATTTGACCAAGCACAGCCTTCTTCTGTTTATGCGTCTAGATAATGGAACCAAACCAACTAAAATTTTAGACAACCCCCCAACTGAAGTGGTATATGCCTACTGTGGCAGGTGACCACGGAGTTGCCTGCTAAAATAGTTCCATGCTGGGATTCACCCCATGACTGGCCTCTGGCTGGGGACACTGCCATCCTTACGGATGCTGTGTGGTGAGAAATAATGTATGAAAATATGGATATCTAAATGTACAAATATATACTTAGGCATAAGTAGGAAAATAATGGATATTTGCAAGCATAATCGGATGCATGTTTTGTCAGTGCGAGAATACATTATAATCAATTAATCGTGCTACACCTATCAGCAAGTGAACACATAATTCTGGTTATTCCAGAAACCAAAGTGGCTGCCTTCTGGATGCCATCTGGTGGTGGTGGGGCAGAGGGGGTGGTGTGTGTGAATTTTCGGAGGTCACCTGTAGATGCCCTCCACCAGGATGAGAATCTTCTTCCAGGGCCGGTGTGTGCGTGGTTGCCCGTTCACGATTGCGTCCCTCAACAGCTTCTCTAAGTTCACCATGTCTGCCAGCACAATGAGCAGCAACGCCACAGTTAATAGTTGTGGGGAGCGCGCGGTAATATACGTGCTCCTTAAAGGTGCAACCAAAACTAATGCAGTCGCCTTTTGATTATCTGTGGTCATATTTCCCAAATTGGGTATTGACCGTGCTTGTAAAGTAATATATTTATTTCCGCTGGTTTAAATATTAGTTGTTCCTCACTCATCGAGGTTCAGTGACTCAGTGCCCACACCATCACCACCATCCTCAATTGGTTTGTATAATTAATTATGCTTAAAACATGCGTTAGATTGCAATATACATAGCCTAGTTATATATAGATAACACAGCACTCAGTTAAGGGAGCCAAAGGGTTACCCTTTTGCTATGTCAGGCAAATATTATGCCACCTAAGACACTTTGTATGTTTTCACAAAAACTACAAAACTCCGGAAATAATCTCTGCAAAACTCAAAGCTTGCCAACAGTAATGCCCAGATTGCCAACAAAATATTTTCCAAGTATTTTGGTATACATAAAAAATATATATTCATGTTACCCTGCATACTAGCACGATCACGGCTCAGACCAAAAGGATGTGGATGTAAGGTCATGCATTCACTGTTAACAACTGCTTACAGCGAAATCCCCGAAAAAAAAACACTCTTAATGAACTACCTTCTCAGCTTTTTGTTGTTGCGTTTTCCATTCACGTAAAATAATGATTAATGAGCGAGGCGAGCAGCTCACCGTTGTGCTTGAAGACGCGGATGGTGGCGGTGGAGAGGCGAGCTCCCAGGACGAGGGAAGCGTGGTTCAACTCGTCGCTCAGGATGAGACAGCCCTGGGCGAGATGCACGATCGCCCACATTTAACTTCGCAGACCTTCAGCAGCAAGTTCCACTGATGAGTTAGGGTAGGGCACGCTGGCATCACGATGAGATGGTGCCGTCAGTTTTATCCTGGGCTGATGTTCAAGACCAAGGCTGCACCAAGTGCTAACTGAAGGCTGAGTGCACCAAGGCCAGACCCAGATCATGTTTGGATACAAGTTGGCACTGTTTTTCCAATTAGAAGTAGGAGAAAGATTTCCATTCTTAAAAAAAAAATCACTGCATCAGGTCAGAGTGCATAAAAAAAAACACGAGGTCATTCCACTTCTACAAGAAAGACAACAATTGCCTGTGCAGCTTACATATACTGTTGGGGCAAGTGCTGTTACCGAGCATCTATTACCGCTGGCACAGTCCGAGCAGGACTACACCCATCCACCTTTGTCTCCTCAGTGCTTTTGTTTGTACACTGCACCTTATTTAAGGCTGAGTGGATACACAAGCATTTATAACTTGAAAAAAACATGGCCAGAGCTGGGCTATCCAATTATTTAAGCCATTGATTAGCGATTATCAATTCGATTACCAAATTGGATAAAACAATAATGTTTGGAAAAGTCTCACTGTTACACTTGTGCCGCTGGACGAGAGGTGACACGCGGGGGCGATTGGCGACGTCACCGGCATCATCAGCCGTGGCTTGGAGGGCGTTTCCCGCCTTCGGGAAGCAGCATGTGGGAGCGGCCACCATTTTAACGTGGCACGAGTAAATCGACCGCAACAAAGGTAGCCTATGACAATTCTAGTCAATGAATTGGCTTAATCATCTACTTGTCCCAACACTGAAATGTGATCAAAGCTTGACCTTGGTCCCGTCGCCCCCTCCTCACCTTGCCGACGAGGGCCGGGATGTTCATGGAGTTGGTGGCAAAGCCCATGCCGAAGGCCATGGCGGCCTCCACACCCAGGAAACGCGCCACCAGCTTCTCCAGCTCCTCATGCTTGTCCAGGTTCCCTGTAGACACACACGCCGAGAAACGATTAACATTTCGCCAAACACCAAGGCAGCAGCTGGCACCGAGGCGACAGCTGACACCGAGGCGGCAGCTGGAAATCAATGGGAATTTACTAATACTGCATAGACGGACAAACAAAGAAGCAGACAATAAACACGACAGCAGGGAGAGAATGGCAAACATGGACAGGAGGAGAAACAGACAAAAAAGATGGAAGACAGACAACAACACAGGGCAGACAGACCGATGCATGGTTGGCTATGTACGGTGTGAAAGAAGTTCAACATACATACATTGGCAGAGAAGCAGACAAAGAAACTGACATGCACACAGAGAATGGAAAACACAGCAGACAGAGATGAAGACAAGAGACAGTAAACTACAGAAAGACATACATACATAGATCACAGTAATTATGCCATTTAATTATCCAGTAACGCCTTGCTGAGTAACAAGACTTGTCAGGAAGGCGCTGCATTGAGATGTTGGCAAAATGTATTTTAAGGAGTGTTGTGTGTATGGAGTACTCCGATAAACCAACCACCCCTAACGAGGGGGATAACTCAAATGTGTGCACACACATCCTCATGATCCCACTTTCTGGCCTGTAATTTTCTGGCCACACAAGTTGCATACATATTTGTGATCCACTGGCACTTGGATCCAAAGTACTGGATTACAGGAGGGCATCACCATCACACAAGATGCGAGCCAAATGGACACGAAGGGACTGGGAAATAAACAGAAAGTCACAGGCAGAACGACTATCAAAATAAGCGCCTTGCATGACTCCCTCAAATTTGTTTCACTGCCCAGTCATTAATTTAAATCACAAATACGAATTAAATAATATGAATGAAAAAATAAGTCCTTTGTCAATCCACTGCTGGATGAAGGCCTCCCTACAATGTGATGGCCAAAGGGGTTCTATGACCATGTTTCACTATTCTGATTAGTATTACGCCCTGGACCGGTTTGGATATTACTCTTCACTGATGTTGGCCGTGGCCTGGAATCGAATTCACCACCGTTCTCCGCACACATTAATCAAGAGCGGTTAAATGTTAAATCTACCTTGTCCGGTTCGGCTACGCACAGTGCGAAATAATTTCAACATAGATATTTCTGCACCCAGAAATATGACAACATGAACCACGCGTGGAACGTCCCCAAGTCGATATCCACACGTTCAGAGTGCTCAGACATCGTGCGATTACACAGACTTTCTAATTTAGTCCTGGATCCGCCTTCTACGTTCCTGTTTCTAGGCATTACTCTAGTCTTCCAGCAACCAAGACCACATTCAGTGAGAAATTAAGCCCTGAATACCAGTTTTATAAAATTGATTGCAGTACTTCAAAGCCCTATGACTTTCCCCTTTCTTATTTGGGACAAACAATAAATACCTGCGAAGGCAACGTATTTAATTATCACAAAGCTCTGCGTCAGCTGTTGCTACATCAGCAGAACAGGGTTTTTTTCTCTCTATACGCTTCGTGTAACCTCTTGGTGAAATACAGTAACGTCCGAAGAATGTGAAATGCTGGTCCTGTCAGCACTTGTTCTTACTGCACGTACCACCACGGTAGCGCCGGATTTAGACAAACCCACCCGTTCACCCCCTTTGCAAGCACATTAATCTGGTCGAGCGATACGGGCAGAATTCTGTATCACTGGCAGATTAGATCAATAATGCCACCAAAACGATTGGCATATAACCGTTAAGCGACCTTCAACAGTTTAACAAATACTGTCCTCTGGTCTTAAATCATGAATATATGATTGAACGCATACATTTCACTTCATGGGTTTCGTTTTCCTGTAACTGGAAATTACTATTAGATCAATTTGCCGCGTGCTTCATTGGTTCAAGCTGTTTGGCTCCACTCGCCATGTCACATTTAGGCAGAAACAACACGAGGCTTAGACCGACGGGCTCGGTTTGTATTCGCCGCGTTTCGTTCACGAAGTGGTGGCAATTACGGGCACTTTGTTTTATTTGATTATTCTATTAGGGAACTACTACTGTGCGGGGGAATGAGTTTGCGAATCAGTCATCACGGTGGGCAACCTCCGAGACCCATTCATTCAGTTTTCGGAAGGCACGTTCAGCCGAGAGTGGTCTCGTGTTCAAACATGGCCATGAGTTTCTGTGTTAAGCAATTAGAAGAATAAATAACAGGAGCACCTTGCACAATTTTTCTGTGCAAAAATGTGTTCCTTCTATGAACCATTTAAAGCAACTCTGGGCACAAAACAAGCACTGGGTAATGCTCACCTTCGCTGCTGGTTCTGAGCTAATGGTGGGAAAGCCACCATTCCTATGCCATAAACCAATCCCATTCATTCGATGGCCACTGTTGACTTCCCAAGTGGTGTGATATAATGAAAGACATTAGTAAATCCTAGCTGGGAGGCATGTAATGATTCATCCCACCAGCGATTCATTGAGTCATCACTATTATGGTTGACATTTGAAGCAATCATTATAATCAATGTACAGTATTTGTTCTACTTTTTTAGAGTCCCGTTTGTTTGGTTTACTCAGTTTTGCCTCATCTGTACAGTTACATCACCGAATAACCCTGAACGTAACACAAGCAAATAATAAACAATCGATTCTCGGGTCCACGAATCCCAAGCTTGTACCGTGAGCTTAAGAATCTATAATATTATATCAACTCATCGTTTCGTGAATACTATCAAGATTAACTTTAAAACACATTTCAACCCGGGATTAACTCGCCACCCGCCAACATTACGTGTACCCTTACCTAACCTTTCCTTTGCCAGGGTTCTTACTTGAATGCAAAGCATGTAACGATCACTACCACCCTCGCACCACACAGACCTCTGCGAGCAACGCGCCATCTCGCTCTACCCGTTTAAGTTGCTAAAACTGGCTCTGCCACAAGCGGCATTCCTCCGCCACCACGCCCACCCCGGCAATGCCGCAAGACCGGGCAAAAATAAAATCTACAGTGCAAGAGTCCAATCTGCCCACGCTACGGCAACGTCTGCACAATGGGACCCCCCCCCTTCCCCGCCCCCCACCAAGTCGACATCCCGTGGTGTCGTTACCGGCAAGGCTGGAGCCCTGTGTGTGTGCAGTGAACCGTGAAGGACTATTTCGCCTTAAAAACAATGTGTTTACATTACCTTTTCATCTTTGCCGTGCAAAACAACGTACACTGCCTTCACTGTTAAAAACCAGCAGCGAACATTTCCTGACATTGTCATCTCCTCTGCTGCTGCCAATACCGGAGTCAAGTACCGATACAAATACCAACACATCTCGTGCTGGTATTTGTATCGGAGTGGTGCTGGGACAGTTTGTACGTGTCCGTGGGAGTTGTGTATTAAACCTAGCTTCTACGAAAATTATGTAACTGGGGGAACGGTGGAAAATGGATAGGGTACTGGGTTACAAACGCGGCGATACGAGCTCAATTTCTAAATAGTTTTTTGAGTTCTATCTGAAATGGTCTTGGAACTGCTCCCACCACCCCCCTTTCACTAACACACCGACCCATGTGGTAAAGTATGGTCAACACCACTCCCACGATTGACACAACTTCAGTGGATTCATGTTTAAAGTGTATTTTGTTTAACTAGGTGCAGACTCAAGAAACCAAGATGAGTCTCATTTGCAAGAGTGATCGTGGGTATCTCTGCCAGAAGGATGCAATGATTGCTATGTATCCAAATTCAGTCATTTGTGGGTCATTTTTCAATTTGGGCATTTTAAAAATATGTTTTTATCACAATACATAATTAAAATCGTGCATTTAAGAATCGATCTCTTTTCGTTCGTGCATGTTGAATATCATAGGTTAATGTCACCCCTGCAGACTAGAGGCGTTACCTTCACCACATTCTTTAATAATAATAAAAAAAATTCATGACATTAGAACCTCAAAATTTATTCCTACACATATGCAAACAATCTGCCGACATTACATTGAGCCTAATGGGAACAACACTACTACAAGGGAGAAGAAACATTCCTGAAACGAATTGCAACCCTGAAGTAATTTAATCAATGGGGTGGGGGTAAGTGGTTGTTGAATGGTTTTAACCCTGAACCACCACACAACACAAAGTCCTGCTGACACCGAAGTTGTAAAATGTTCGGTGCGGCTTTGCAAAGCTTCACGAGCCAGCGGCGCTGGAAAGAATCACAGTTCATGAACAGTAAACATTGGATTCGCTCTATGATTAATGGTGAACGGGGGGGGGAGGTGAGAATTGGACAAAAGCAGATCCTGGCCTCATCCAATGCAATGGGCCAAAGCCAAATACAGCCCCATATATTCAGCAACAAAGAATTCACACCAGCTGCCCTGTACTAGTTACCCTCCACAAGCCCTACTCAAGGTTATCATCATTGGCCATGATCTCACAGAGCTGCTGGATGAAGGCTTCCCATCGCCATCCTTTACAGTCCTGTGATAGTACAATCCATGGTTCCCTCCCTATGTCATCGCTAAAATCATCTCCGTGGGCGTGTCAACTTCTTTGGCTACCGTTCCGTCACCAGTCTCGTCTACCGACCATAACCCCTTGAAGCCATTATGTGACCCGCCCTTGCCCATCAGTCAGGGTAGGTGACATCTGTGATTCGCATGCATTGCCCAAATCCTTTAGGTTGACGTCACAAAACCCCAAGGGCAGCACAGCCACACAAACGGCAACACAAAGCTGGCAAGCCTAGGCAGGCTGAGCCCACAAAGTAAAAGTGTGGAGCCAAACCGCATGCTTACAGGCACACCACCACCACTGGTTATCCCAGAAAGCCGCAGTGTTTTGTTTCTTGGCCAACGCGAATGAAGCTGCCGATTCAGCCCGGCCTTGGCCAGAGGCAGGTAATGGTCGGTCGGCCACCCATGCACGATTCTGCCAGCTGGGCAGCATTGAAGAAATACGAGGAGACGTTTGGGGAGACAAGTAGCCAAGGGAATCCATGTTGAGCATCCAAGGGTGACGGGTGAAGGATAGAAATCAGAGGGCCACAGAAAATGGCTCGCTGACACTTCGCTCCTGAAAGTAAATAAAAAACTGGGGCAGCTGCTTCAATGACATCTATGCTCCCACACCCATGGTGATGATGTATTTAAAATGCAGCCCACTGATGCACCCAATGTATAATATTAAATTATCATTCACAGCCCTCTGCCAATTAATTTCTGGATGGATGACGGCTTCGCATGGCCTCTTGGGGTTGGTTGCTTGACCATGCTTCGCCATGGTTCATAGCGCAGTGTACTACTCACTGTCACCAGTCTACCACCCTCAACGTTTAAGCCATTCCTACCCCTCCGAAGTAAATGTTTAACCGGCTTATTCAAACTGTTTAAATCTACAACCTAATAACCCTGGTGCCACTGCTCCAGGCTGCCGACTATCAGTCGCCATCTCGAACTCAAGGCACAGGGGCAATTTCACAATAATGGACGTCCATCCGCCTCCGTCCATCCGCCTCCGACATGCCAGTCCCCACACGCCAGTCCCCGTGGGACCAAGCAAGCAAACTCCCCCCACCACCCCAACAAAACCTCAACCCAGCTACCCCAGTCGTGATATTTTTTTTACATTGGCAGAAACGGACTATGTATCAGGTCGTTTACTTATATTTTTATTGCACATTTAATTTGGATACACCCAAAAGATATAAGAATGAGCACACACCTTTTCATGGTTAAAGTTTACGTATGTTTGCACGTATATACTGTACGTGTGTATATACAAGTCATCCTATTTGTATGTGTATATTTCACATCACAATGCCTCAAAGTACACCTCGGCTGCCATACGTGTATAGGTGACATGACCACCGTTTGTTTGGTGGTTGTCGGCAGTTGTTGCTAAGTATGTGTAAGTATACGTATGGAGCGGTGGTTTGCATACTGTGACATAAACCCAGCTATGTAGTTAGATTCATGACCATGAATAAACTTGTTTATGTTTAGTTTGTAGTCCTTCCCCCACACCTCCAATTAGCACGGTTGGGTTGGCTACGTACGGTGCGAAAGAAGCTCAACATGCATACATACATAACCCTGTCCTGGATCTCCCCGAGATCAACTCAACCTTAAAATTACTACCTAGTGCAGTGGGTACACATCATGTCTGGGCGGAAAAAGGTGGCTGGGCGGACGTCGTGTTAATTACACAACTCTATGCCGGATTCAATAGGTGCTCACAAATAACGCTTGTCCCAACAAACTGTATGGCTACAGGGGGTATTCATCGTGCGAGCATGTTCAGGTGTGAACGTAAAGCGTTGTTAAACGTGAACTTGGGGTCACTCTAGTCGTCACGGAAAGCTGAGACAGTGCAGACCAAACCCGCCAGTGACTGCGTGCGTTATCAACTGACCTGTGGTTTGGTTGCGAAACAACGACACCTAAACAATCCCTCTCCCTCCCCACCTCCTGGTGGTCATGTGCTGCTCAACAGAGGGAGGGACCCTTGCACAGACATTCAACTCCGCCCTTTCATTATTAAACGTGCAAAAATAGATTCCATTGGATGAAGCGCGCACGTGAAACGGATAGCTCTTACGGCATTAGCTCTTAAGCTTGTAATCAGGATGCCCCAATAGCCGCCCAATCTTGTCAGATCTCGGAAGCTCACGCACGGGATTTGAACCTGGTCAGTAGGTGAGCAACGGGAGGAACGCTCACCCATTTCCTGCCGCGTGCTGCACACGCCCACGCCGTACTTCTGCGCCACTTGCGCCGCCGCCTCCGTGCAGGGCCCCACGTTTTCGGCGAAGCCCAGGTAGTTGTATGAACCCATGTTGATCACGTCCTTGACCCGCCCAGTGAACCTGCGGCAGAGTGAGTTTTGTTGGGAATTAAAAAAAAAACGATGACCACATCTCTAAAGCAATTCAAATGCTTTCTGTAAACAGTGAGAAACTAATCGCAGGAAAATACGTCCAGGCTGAAAATAAATAGGAACATTACGAGTAATAACACGCACACAAGATGCTAGATGGTGGGTTTAGGTCAAAGGCCATATTTGAGATTTACCATAATAGTACGCTTATAAATAAATGAAGACTTTTTTGTATGTCATATCATTAAAAACTAACTGGCTCATTTGCAAGCGCTAGGCGGAGAGTTGTATCGTAGGATCATGAGCAGGTGGTTTGATTGTGGATAATGATGGCGTTGAACAGGAAAAAATTTTAATTTTTTGGAATCGATTTTATTTCCCATAACGAGTGACTGTATGAAAGTGGAAACAATTTTCCTTCTCTGACAAGTGTATCTGGGTGTACCACTGACAGTCAGTGCGATGTACCTGAAGTTCCAGTTGTAGTCATCGGTAACGCGCTCCATCACCTTAAACCTGGAACCAGGGACGCTGCATATGGGCCGGTTCCAGTTGTCTCGGATCCTCATGTAAAGGTTTCGCGTGTAGAAATTTTCAAAGTCTTGATAGAGCGGGACAAAGTCCTAGGGAGAAGGGGGGCACGGCAAATGGCGACGTTTGTGATGCTCAATAACGTGACTGGGGTTATCGTCCATTCATTTGCCAAGCTACCCACTCGCTCGCTCACCCACCCGCATCCTCACTCGTCCACAGTACCACCACCCCTCCCTGCTGGCTTGCGCTCACCCACCTACCCACTTACTCACCCACTAGTGTGCTCGTTCACTTGCCCACCCACCAATTCATTAATCCACTCACCAACCCACCCATTCACCCACTCATTCAGGTGACTAACCACTCGCTCAGTTTCCGACACTCGCTCACCTCCCCACACACGTGTTTACTTGCCCATTCACAGTATGATTTTATGGATTGTCACGATTAATGGTCACGATTTTGTTTTAGAATATTTTTTTTGTGTAATTTAAACAGTCTCATTCATATTACTTGTTTGTTCCATCTCATTTGAACATTTGTGTTCGCTCTATTTACTTAAATGTAACAATCGGTGTACCAATACAACGATTCAGATGCAAATCTACTATATTTCTCATGATACATGCCATCGAATTCTGAAACAGATTATTTGCTATTCGTACATGTGAACTAATTACTAATTAGACAATAATTTCGCATGACCTACAATGTATGGAATCTCGAATCAAAATGTGACCTCCCCCCCCCCCCAAATGGTGAAAATTAATTAACTCACAAGTGGGTGTTTCCTTACAGGTCTGACCTTCCCCTACTGGACATCTGTGAAAAACAGCTTCATAACTCATCGGATTCCTCCAGGATAAGTAAAGATTCTGATTCTAAGGTCTAATTACTACAATTTGCTTTTGTCACAAATCATTACACGCAGCATTCAATTGTGTTTAACCTGTAATATAATAAGCCGCTAAAAAACACAAGGACCACATGTAAGATATACTATTCTATGTATAAGGGGTGGATAAGTGGCACAGGGTATAGCGCAATTGAGCTACGGACCTGGAAATCCCGAATTTGATTCCTAGCCACAGCTAACATCAGTGGTTAATGGTATCTGAACCTGTTCTGGGCTTTGAAAGAAATGAATGCATCTTAGTGAACTCATTGGTGGTTAAACCAACATTTTGAATGACATGATTACACTTTAAACATACTTTTTCATGGTTTAACAAAAGCTGGAAATACAGTGAATATAATTGGAACAAATAAAATACAACCGTGGGACTTTAGTTTAAAATTGTTAATTTGCAATCCTTCAGGAGTATGAAATGGTTAGGTATTTAAATGGCCTTAAATGGCATCTCTACTCACCTGCATGCTTTGCCCACCCTGTTTGACCATCCACCCACACACTCATTCATCACTTGGTCGTCAACCCAATCCTCTGCTTAGACACTAATTTCGGTTGCTCAGCCAACCCACTCGCTTGCTCACTTGCCCACCTATCCACTCACCCACCAATCACACACTTGCCCACCTGCCCATCCAACCACTCACCAACCCATGTAGCCATGAACCCATCCAACCCACCAACCAGAAAACCCATCCACTTCACCCATTTACCAACCCAGGCACCCACCGATCTGCCCATCCACCCACCAACCTACTCGCTCACCAAACCCAACCAATCGCGAAATCATGTACTCACTCGCCCACATTTTCTCACCTTCTGCTCCTCGCGTTCGGTGGCATTTTGGCAGCTCTCAATGCCCCAGGCTCGGAAAAAGTCTCGCAGGTAGCCGAAGAGTGTGAGGACACCGTAGCCCATGTACGTGAGCACGGCCACCAGCATGGGCGTCTCTTCAAACGTCTCTCGGAAGGGCCGCTTGTACATCGAGGCGTAGGGGTCGCTGTCCTCATCCTGCGTGAACAGGGCAGTCAAGAAATTCCCGTGTATTAAAACCACACGCTCCTTCACAAGCTCGAGCTTACACGCAAAAAAAAGACCACCCCCCCCACCTCCTGTAGGCCACATACGCTGTTGGGGAATGTTCTGTAAGTGAGCAGTGTGCTATGTACTAGGCCAACGCACTTGCACACGCACACACACACACGAGGTCCGACGGGTGTCAGCTCGACGTTTGGGCCCCCAGTGGGGAGGCAATTTGTGGCATGTGTGGTGTAGTGGGGCTTCAAGCTTAGGTCCCGCAACTTGTAAATGCCACACTAGGCACCACACGGTATCACATGCGGTACTATATAAATATACGCGTGGGTGTTTTTTCAGTACTGTAAGGGTGCATGCACATGTACGTGGCATTGTTTTATGTGGCATACAGGGTATGGGTGGAACCATATAGCGCCATGCTTCAGACTTGGTTATGAAACTGGTGACCTGAATTTGACAGCCACGCCTAACATCAGCGGTATTAGACATGGCGATGAAGAACGGCCATTGCCCGAAACACCGCCAATGAAATATATTTATCAGTGGCAAGGTCTGTATGAACTGGTGTCCTGGGTCACCTCCATCACCAACCCACACTGAATTATCGTCAATAACCCCCAATGACCGAGGTGCCATGGGGGAGGTCTTAATCCAACAGTTCGTTGGTATTAGTTTACAAAAACATTATTGACAAACACTGCCTTACAAATGAAAAATACACCGAGCTAACGGACCAATGAAACATTTAAATTAAAATTTCCCATAATTGCCATATGCTAAATTTGCAGAAGGCTCTTATGACTGTCCTCATTGGGCTTGCAACGATTCAACTTGTAAATATTCTCCCATCACGATTTCATTCAAGGATCGATATTTTTTTCCTCACCATTGCGGTGCATGGAGCAGAATCAACAGTGGCTCATAGGCTTTCAATGGAGTAATCACAAACCAAGCGCAGATCGTAAACAAATTTTGCGTGCATAACGTGACGCATATTTCAGAAGTGCAAGAACCGATTTTAATGGGTGAACAGGTACACTTAACCTTCACTCGTGCTGCACTTTAAGCTAAACTCTTTTTTTATTTTACCAGGTAAGGCCCACTGAGCTATATAGCTCTTTTTCAGAAGCGACCCGACCACAAATGATAGCTTAACAAAGTGCCTTATCACGTGGAAATGTATAGCAGCCAAATATTCTCAACGCATATTTGAGGGCCTGGAGAAAAATCCACGTGACCGCGGGGAGAACATGCAAACTCCGAATATACAGGTGTCAGGGTCGGGATCGAACCCACGCCCTCCTGTATACCAGGCAAGGTAGTTAACATCTCGCCACCGTGGTGTCCCAAAAGCAAAAACCAAACTCTCGAACCGCTAACAGGTGGACATGCAGACATTGTTGCTACAAGCAGGGACACACAAGAATCACAGAAACATGTCCGAACAGCCACTTTCATCGCAATACAATGACTTTGCCATCAACCAGCTGTACGCGACTGCTACAGATTGTACCGAGATGTGATTATATATGAAACTCGCTTTTTCGTGGAACCTGGGGGAGAATATTTTTTTTCCCTTAGCCAAGTGTGCCCGCTGTGACTGTGTAAAAGACGTTCTTGTTGAGCCAACGCGGCAGGGGAATAAACACACACGACGCTGCCTCTGTACCCACTGACAACAGCGACGGTGTGACTCCACCGCAGCAATACGCACAGCAAGACAGCGATAAATAAATATGCAGAGTAAAGAATCGACGACTCGACGACTGGAGAATGAATTGTTTTTAAAACATGACAGCACAAACAAAAGAAAGCCGCCCTAGCCAATGTATGAAAGGGAGCATTCCTCCGCATCGTCATGACGACTATATATGTAACTTACCTGGCTTCATGTGGCGCAATCTTATTTCAACCCAAACGTTAATAATTAAAAGGCAACCACTACTTCAGTTCAAAGGAAATAGTTATGGGGCAAAGTTGAGTAAACTTGCATGGTGAATTAGAGAGATGTTTTGGCATTTTCGTTCAATGTTGATAGTCTGGATCATGTATATACCAGAGATATGGAAAGTGTGCCGACAGCTAGAGATGAAACACGCAATGATTCCACCCCAACCGAGGAAACGTTTGTTGCCTTGTTTGTCAAGTACATTTGATTAAAGTAATGGTTCAGTGCCATGGAATATGCACGCAGCCCAATTCATGACAAACTGACGATGCATCACGGCAAATCAACGCCAGGACCTCTTAGAGAAGAGCCCGCCTTTAGCAATGCGAAAAGTCTAATTCCATCCGAGGCAATTCGCCGCCAACGCCTGGTTCGTAAATCTTAGGCGCACGTTGGGATCACGGGTGCATTTTGCCATCGTCACGAGCTAACACGAGACGCACTAAAGAGACGTGCCATGGACGAGCTCGATTGGAGACCAGGCCACACAATATCTATCAACTCGGCAAAACTAAAAAGGGACCGACCTCATCTTAACCTTAACCCTCATGGAAATTTTCGGAATGTGCGGTGGGGTGACAGCGGCGCTCGCTCGTCCCGGTACAAGCCAGCAAGTACACGTCACAAAACCAGCCGCCACTAAATTCAAAACAAGCCCTGGCCGTCTCACGAAAGCTTGCCACAACTCCAATGCCAAATCTAATATCAAATAAAGGAACATTCTGGCTTATGTTTAAACAAAAATAAGTGGTAAACCTCTCACTGGAAAGGTAATTGTCTCAAACATAAGACTGGCAATGACCATGTAAAGGTATGTTTTAATGGCAGTTGTAACCGGTTGGTAAAATATTGTTAGTATGGTTAAAAACGATAATCACAACAGGAACCTAGGTCCTATAGAGGGCCGATTACAGGGTGTAAAAAGTCATAGGCTAAAATATGCAAAAGCCTTCCAGGCAAATTGACCAATAAAACATTGAACCGGTTACGGTTACACATTAATCGGTGGCACATTCCTGTAGTAAGTGCGCAAAGGGCTTCGCCCCATGACTTCAACTACAAAACATTTAGTCCCAAGGTCTGCAAGAACTTTTTTTTCCAAGGGAAAGGGCCCCACAAACATCAATCACCTACCACGAGGTCATATGCCCCACATCTTAAGTGAACCCCACTGCATGGAGTCGAATTGTTCGATTCCCACTCCTGCCACCCAGTACGATCTCCAGTGGGAAGTTAGCAAAGTGACGCTCATGTGCTCTAGATAGCCTAAAGCAGTATTCTTCATTGCAAGGCCAGCAGGCCTCTGGCGGCCCCCCGACAATACACAAATGTGTCAAACCAATGGTTTCAAATGTGTGGCAGCCCTCACACGGATGTCTTATCAGCAAAAGTGCACCCCCCCCCCCCTCTTAAAAGTAGTGAAGAACACTGGCCTCAAGAGACACCCCAGTGTCTTTGCTTGGCCGATGTACACTGACTGTCCCTACTGCTCATTCCCCAATCATATTGCTTTTGATTAAAAGAGACGTGTTTATACTGTGTATGCTAATACTGTACTGTACGTGTGTTCCTCTTTTCGCCTCTGTGTAAACCAAAATCATCCATCTCTCCCTATTTGCGTGCGCGCTTCCCGCGCACCTCCTATTAACACGGTTGGCTACGTACGTTGCTTACGAAGTTCAACATACATACACTTCTGACCTTTAGTCCCATTTTTTTTATAATGGCATGTGTTGCTTCACATCAAGTTTAGCTTTCGAAAAGCACTTGCAACCCCGCCATCATCGGCCTCCTGCTATGGTTCGTATATACTGGCCCCGAGTGTTGCGTGGCCGAAATGACTTCAACTTAATTACGAAATCTGCCAGAGTGCTTCAGAGGTGGCTGACGTCAAGGGCCTCGAGGCTATGACGCTGGCAGGAGGGGACACATCCAACGTAAAAAGGAAGAATGCAAAAAAACTTTTGAATTTTGATGAATTCGTAAATTATTTAAAGCAGTAACCAAAAAAGCTATGAGCGTGCTTGATACAAGTGGTATTTTTTAAGTACAGTACTGTATGATCAAATGACCCCGAATGAGGTGCAGTGTGGGGTAGGGCCCTCATCCAGCAGTGGAATCGAAGACAATATGGCTCTCTACGTGAACATTATAATAAACGGACTGCTTTTAACATGTACATGTCACATTAAAACCCCGAAGAATACAACAAATATGGGAGACGCCTAAAACCATAACCATCAAGGACGGTAATGTTAATTTCCATCGGAATTCGAAAATTCTACTTTACAAACCGACGCAGCTGTGTGTTCATCTTTCAGCCGCAGAACTTGCTTGACAACGTTCATCGTGCAGTCGGATGAGCCACTTATTCCGAGTGGAAGCAACCGGGGACGAACCTACTATACGTGGTCTCGATGACGAGCCGTGCAAGGCCGCATGACTTTTAACTTTGGTATTATAAAAAAATAAACCGTAAAAGAAGAGTTCATCGCGTAAATCTTGTGTGGTCGATGGGTGGGTGTGGTGTTGGTAGTCCTGTAAAATGCAGATAATAATCCAGGCAACGTGTCCAAGGCGAATAAGATCAGTCTTTTCTGGAAGGTGGATGGGGGGGGGGCCTTAAAAAAGCCGTGACATTTCACGGGAACGATCTTATTAAATGCACTGCATGCTGTGTATATACGGCCCGTTTAAACAACACTCGGGAGGACCGTGGGTTAACCCGTTCAACGCATTGCTCGCCACTTTACACCCAACAATGATTTCGCATCCTTTTAATATTTTTTTGTTGTAACGTGAGTGGCCAAAAAAAAGATTTGGTTCCCAGCTAGTAAAAGAGCTCATCATCGACAGATAACATCGGCCGTGCCGTGTCTTGACCAAGCGAGGCGCGGCCGCTTCCCAAAGCACATTTTTACACATCCCACTCCACGTTGCCCATCAACCATCGCCTCGAATCTCCCGGTAACGTCGCGACGTAACCCGGCGCCTTGAAGAGACCACGGCGAGCGTGGCCGCAAAACTTTTTACAAATAAGTCTAATTCCCTCCACGCCCACATACACTATAAACCCATTCGCCATATATAAAAATAAAATAAAACGTAGCGTTAAAGACTCCATACGGGGAACATCGCCCCTCCGGACACACGGCACACATTTCTGGGCGTGCGTGGTCAGGGAAAAGTCGGCTCGACTCCGTCCGTGTTTTGTTTGACGGGATCGGTGGTGGATCGAGCGCCGTCTCATCCCGGATCTCCAACCATCCGATAAAGGGATTCCTTGAAGGAGAACTGCACTCACTTCCGTAAAAGCGACTCCGTTGGCGTGGCCATTTTCCACTGCGTGCGTCTTCTTCGGTGGCCGCTGCCGCTGCTGCTGCTTCTGCTGCTTCCCACGCTGCTGCTGCTGCTGCGTCCCGGGGTGTGACCCCTCGCTGCCACCCAGGTTAGGCTCCGAGGCAGCCTTCCCGTTCGCCGTGACGGCCATGTCAATAGGAGCCCTAACCCTCTTTCCTCCAACACTCCCTCGCCTTAACAACCGCGACTCAATAATGTGGCGCACTATAACGCCTCAGAAATTGCGCGTATTATTTTTTTTAACTATCCCTTTGACTTATTTTTGAAACGAAGCGAAATTGCATATTACACCCCTTTAATTCTGGGGAAAAAACCGGGTCAGTCGCGCAGAAGCAGAGTATAAGGATGGCAGTGCCGAGGAGGTGAATATTAACACAAGACGGTAGCGAAGGGCGACTGATGAGGGTCGGCGCTGGAGCGCGGAGTAAATGGGAGCGGCCACACCCCCTCCCTACCCCGCCCGTCGGCCACTGATACGGAGGGGGCGGGGCTTTAACCCCCGCCCCCTCCGTTAGGACGGGGATTACTCCACTGGTAGGGCGTGGCTAACCTCCCGGTGGGGCGGGGCTGTAACCTTCCCGCCCTCGTGGTGCGGGGCTTAACGCCCCTCCCCGTTAGGACGGGGCTTACCCCCCCTGGTGGGGCGTGGCTGACCCTACGGTGGGGCGGGGCTTAACCTCCCCCCCCGGTAGGGCGGGGCCATTCACAGCAGTCGGGGCGTGGCCACCCCGCCGCCCTATGCAAGCAGAGTCGATTGGTGGACGGTGCCAGTGGGCGGCACCGAACGTAAAGTTAGGGGGAGGGGTTTAGTCGCGGACGGAGCTGATTGATGGACGACTGCAAAGATGCGGGGGGAGAGGTTCGAATGAATGTGCGCGCGCCCGTGTAATACGATAAAAGCGGAAGTGGGCGTGTTTTTATCCATATAAGGGAGTTAAGGCGTCGTAAGAGGCGTGTCTCTGTCCCGTTATGATCGCTAAATACGATCCATGATATCGATTCTGCCCCGTCAACTTGAAAATATCCGCTTTTACTTCAGCTTAAAACCCGCCGTGAACGGAGCTAAAGTAATGGATTTTTCATGGGATTTTTACTGTCAATCTGTTCTAACATTAGACGAGACTGCTATGCTTATTCGCTATGTCAAAAACAGTGTGTTTATGCCTTTAAAATGGAGTTTTTACAGTGTCCGATTTCATCATAGCTCCGTGTGAGTGTATTTTGATGCTGTATTGCATAAATTGTATTCATCGCTGAAAATACTTATACTAAACTTTATTCAGTGAGTGCATTAACGACTATTGTTTTTCGATGTTTATTTCGTTTAAAATAGATTTTGTGAGTGTTGTGTTAAGTGTAATAATTTATCTAATAAACGAAGCAAGGTTTGCCGGCCGATGTCAGATTTTATCATAGAGGCGGAGAAGTGTTCATATATCCTGTGTCATTTTAAACATCTTACTGGTAGGAACCTCCTGGTTACACCACCAGCCCACAGGGGATTATTGTGTCCGTCCGTCCGTCGTGCATCCAAAAATGGGAGGGGAGGGGCTGGGTGGAGAGGGAGGGGCTGGGTGAGGCTGGGTGGGGGGTGGGAGGGGTGGGGCTGGGTGGGGGGTGGGAGGGGTGGGGCTGGGTGGGGAGGGGCTGGTCACCCCGTGGTGCCCTTATACAACTCAACGTTTAACCTACTCACGCCGGCTTGTGCCCGCCCTCACAGTCGGACATGTTTGCGGAATACACCACGTGGTGCCGCCGTTGTTGACCCTGGCCATTGACCGAGCAACCCAACGTTCCTACCAGCTCCCTCCGCAGGAAAGTGTTCATTTCAGTGTCCGATCTCGTACAAACCTTCATTCACTGAGTGCACATAAGACCATTGTGTTGTCATGTTCTTTTCCTTCTTCGACTTGATACTTTTGAGTGTACCATTTTAATAGTTTCGTTTTTATTGTTCGGGCTTGGTGGTGGTGGCGGTGGTGTTGATATTGGGGAGCGGTGGTGCAGCGGTTTGTGCTACGCTGCGCTATGACGAACCAGGCCGAGATTAATTCCCGCTCACGGCCAACATCGGTGACGATCATCTGAACCGGTCCTGGCCCTCCCCATAGGTCGACTCAGCCTCAAATAAGTACCCTGGTGCAGTGTGTTAACATCGCCGCTGGGGAGACAAAGACGGTCCAGCGTGGTGCTGATCACCCATCCCCTTCGTGTGCCGTGCCGGCCTTCATCGGCGCTGCTACTCGCTAACAGCACCTTCCACAAGAGTATTCAGTCTATACGGGGGGGATCTTTGTCTTGTTTGTGTGTGCATTCACATCGGCTGGTGACGTACTCTCCTGCGTGCAGCGGTAAAATAATAGAGATCTCGAGACATTTTCCGTTTGAGTCCTGCAGCATAATCTTATTGAGCAGTTCCTGTCATCCTGAGCAATAAATGATTGCACTGACACGGCCATTATGACCCCACTGAGAGAGACACCCAGACCCACGTTCTCAATGTCACTGACACAGCCATTATGACCTCACTGAGATAGAGAGACACCCAGACCCAGGTTCTCAGTGTCACTGACAGCAATTACAGTGAGGGAAAAAAAGTATTTGATCCCCTGCTGATTTTGTACGTTTGCCCACTGACAAATAAATTATCAGTCTATAATTTTAATGGTAGGTTTATTTGAACAGTGAGAGACAGAATAACAACAACAAAATCCAGAAAAACGCATGTCAAAAATATTATAAATCTATTTGCCTTTTAATGAGGGAAATAAGTATTTGACCCTTCTGCAAAACATGACTTAGTACTCGGTGGCAAAACCCTTGTTGGCAATCACAGAGGTCAGACGTTTCTTGTAGTTGGCCACCAGGTTTGCACACATCTCAGGAGGGATTTTGTCCCCTCCTCTTGCAGATCTTCTCCAAGTCATGAAGGTTTCGAGGCTGACGTTTGGCAACTCGAACCTTCAGCTCCCTCCACATATTTTCTATGGGATTGAGGTCTGGAGACTGGCTAGGCCACTCCAGGACCTTAATGCGCTTCTTCTTGAGCCACTCCTTTGTTGCCTTGGCCGTGTGTTTTGGGTCATTGTCATGCTGGAATACCCATCAACGACCCATTTTCAATGCCCTGGCTGAGGGAAGGAGGTTCTCACCCAAGATTTGACGGTACATGGCCCCGTCCATCGTCCCTTTGATATGGTGAAGTTGTCCTGTCCCCTTAGCAGAAAAACACCACCAAAGCATAATATTTCCATCTCCATGTGTGACGGTGGGATGGTGTTCTTGGGGTCATAGCATTCCTCCTCCAAACACGACGAATTGAGTTGATGCCAAAGAGCTCCATTCTGGTCTCATCTGACCACAACACTTTCACCCAGTTGTCCTCTGAATCATTCAGATGTTCATTGGCAAACTTCAGACGGGTATGTATATGTGCTTTCTTGAGCAGGGGGACCTTGCGGGCGCTGCAGGATTTCAGTCCTTCACGGCGTAGTGTGTTACCATTTGTTTTCTTGGTGACTATGGTCCCAGCTGCCTTGAGATCATTGACGAGATCCTCCCGTGTAGTTCTGGGCTGATTCTTCACCATTCTCATGATCATTGCAACTCCACGAGGTGAGATCTTGCATGGAGCCCCAGGCCGAGGGAGATTGACAGTTCTTTTGTGTTTCTTCCATTTGCGAATAATCGCACCAACTGTTGTCACCTTCTCACCAAGCTGCTTGGCAATGGTCTTGTAGCCCATTCCAGCCTTGTGTAGGTCTACAATCTTGTCCCTGACATCCTTGGAGAGCTCTTTGGTCTTGGCCATGGTGGAGAGTTTGGAATCTGATTGATTGCTTCTGTGGACAGGTGTCTTTTATACAGGTGTAGTGGCCTTATTGACGACGGAGACTTGTTCTTTAGAGGCAACACGTATTTATTACAGACACTTCACTCTACAGTGGCTAATCTGATACTTGAGGTAATGGCCTCTTCACCCGTACTCTATAGAGGGAACGTTTCCCGAGCCTTAGCCCACGCTAGCTCCCTGGTTCCCTCTATTCTGGTCCTCTCTTAAGAGGCTATCTGACTTGGCCCAGCTTCGGCGCAGGTCCCGATCACCAGCCGCACGAGTCCGGCCCTCAAAAGGACATCGGGCCACGCGGCTCTGGGGTCGCACCCTGGCTTGCTTTGCCCGGCCCTCAAAAGGACAGCGGGCCAAAGGAGTTCCAGGGTCTAGCTAGTTGATCTTCTTTCTTCACTGGCTCTTCATCTTGCTTGAGTCAAACTGCCCCTCAGCTCTATGGGTCCCACCTTTTATACAGTCCCTCACTGAGGGGTGGGGCAGGGAGGGATCACAACGTCCCCCACAGCCCCCCAGGGTGGTGACCGTAGCGGACGTGTGTGTGGCCACTGCCCTACAACCGCGTGTCCCCCTCCCGTAACACCTCTACACAGGTAACAAGCTGAGATAAGGAGCACACCCTTTAAGAGTGCTCCTAATCTCAGCTCGTTACCTGTATAAAAGACACCTGGGAGCCAGAAATCTTTCTGATTGAGAGGGGGTCAAATACTTATTTCCCTCATTAAAATGCAAATCAATTCATAACATTTTTGACATGCGTTTTTCTGGATTTTTTTGTTATTCTGTCTCTCACTGTTCAAATAAACCTACCATTAAAATTATAGACTGATCATTACTTTGTAAGTGGGCAAACGTACAAAATAAGCAGGGGATCAAATACTTTTTTCCCTCACTGTATGACCTCACTGAGAGAGAGAGACACCCAGACCCAGGTTCTCAGTGTCACTGACACGGCAATTATGACCTCACTGAGAGAGAGACACCTAGACCCAGGTTCTTAGTGTCACTGACACAGCCATTATGACCCCACTGAGAGAGACACCCAGACCCAGGTTCTCAGTGTCTCTAACAAGGCCATTATGACCCCACTGAGAGAGACACCCAGACCCAGGTTATCAGTGTCTCTTACAAGGCCATTATTAGTATTCATTATTTTGATTTGAAGCTTTCATGACTGCAGGAGTCTATACTCTTTGGTTATTTCGGTAAAGTCACGTAGGTAGAAAAATATCTCGCAGTCTGTTAAAAGATCTAACAGATTGTGGAAACCCTCCCCGTAGAGGCGGTTCAATCTTGATTTGAAGCTTTCGTGACTGCAGGAATCCATGCGACATGTTGATAGGGAGAATGGGAAATTGTCGCCGTCGTCATTGCAAAACAAATGGCAAAGTCGTGTCGGTGGAGGCCAAGTCGATTCTGGTAATCGATTCTGGGAATCAACACCGATTCGCCTCGTTCTGCAGATCTATTCCAACGTAATCGAACGTCTGTCCGTGCGCCTCCGTCGTTCAAACCTACGCGCCCCCTGCATGAAAACGACGGGAAGTGTAGCGTTCATCACATAAAGTTAGGCGTATATACATATAGAAT